TTTTCTCTTACCGGCAGGTCCAGCATCCGGTTCTCACTCTAGGGGCCCATTGTCTCTTTCGAATGGTTAGTCGTTGTTGTAGCGAGGCTGCGGCTTCGGGATCTGTTGATTGAGGTGGAGAGTCCATGGTTCGCGGGACGCACGCGCCACGACAATTTTATTTAGGCGAAACGGCCGCCACGCCAAGGCCGCATGGGCTATCGGCTAGTACCTAGATATCAAAGATGTCAAATCAGCTGTGAGGTAACGAGTGCCGTGTACGAATATGGAATCCGCAGCGTCTAGACAGCCAAGTTGTTCAAATGATGATAAGAGTGGGAACTTGAATGTCTCATGAGATTGCAGAGGTGTTCGTTCATCCTACTACCCCACCCACTCACTGGTCGCAGTTGGAAGGCAGCCTTCAGCTGCCAAAATTGTGCCAGCCTTGTCTGACATGTCCAAAAAAGACTGATTTTCATCACATCAAAGATGGGACCAAAACAGTGAGGTTCTTTTGCTTCTGGTTGCCCTTGGTCTTATGCTACACAACTCAGCCACTATACGTGGCAAACGGCCCTAACAACTCTGCAAAAAGCTTGTCTTAAGCAGTGTCGTAGAGACTTGTACAGAGAAGCCGTTTCAGAGTTTTTATTCCAATGACAGAAGTCAAAAGAAAGGGAGAACACACAAAGGACCAGAATGCAAAAATATGCACCAAAGCAATGACTACCAGGGGACAGAAATCTCAAGATGCCAAGTCTCAAGACCACCTGTAAGAGCCCCCACGGTTAGGCTCCCCGCAAAGTCTTGGCGGTATATTTGTTGCACACGCAGTTCTATATAATAAAGACTAGCAACACAGCGCGCCCTTTTGGTAGTTTTTTTCACAAGTACAATAGTCATTGCTGAAACTCTAAACTGCATCGAATCCGATGCCATTTCAATCACTTTATCAGTAATACTAATCGCAAAGTCACCATAATCGAACCCATCGTCGCACGTCCATCCAAGACGGGGCGATACCCGCTTTACCCCGGTGAAAAGAGTCACAGCGGAGCCGGAACCCCGAAGCCGCCGCACGACCGCACTCGGCCGGTATAAATGTTTTTACCCACCTGTCATTTTACATCTTAGTCATTGTGAGTCGAATCAGCGCCTTCCCGATGGGTTATATGCTGCTCTCATCTGCGGGCAAAAAAAAAAAAGGTAGGAAGATGCGAGGAATGCTCAACAAAGTCCCGGGACCAGATGCATAAAAAACAAAGCCGAGAATGGCAATAATATCACACGATAGTGGCGCGAACGCCACAATAAATAGCAAAGAGCAGAGTCCAGAAACACAGACGCCCAGCAGCACGCCCGTCATCAGAACGCCACAACCACCACCACCACCACCACCAGATGGGGGATTGACGGCTTGGCTGCAAGTACTTGCCGGCCACCTCATCGTCTTCAACACCTGGGGCTACATCATCAGCTTTGGCATCTTCCAGCCCTACTACGAGCAGCAGCTCGCGCTCGACCCTTCTGCCGTGTCCTGGATCGGCAGCGTCCAGATCTGTCTCGTTCTCCTCGTCGGCGCCTTTTCCGGACGCCTGTTTGATGCCGGCTACTTTAGGCAGATGCTCGTCGTCGGCGCGCTCCTGCAGCTCGTCGGCATCTTCGCCGCCAGCGCGGCCACGCGGTACTGGCAGCTGTTCCTGGCGCAGGGCGTCTGCCAGGGACTCGGCTGCGGCGCCATCTTTGCGCCCACAGTGGCCAACACGTCGACGTACTTTGCGACGAGGCGCACCCTGGCCATTTCGGCGAGCGCCTGCGGCGGCGCCACGGGCGGCATCGTGTTTCCGCTCATTGCGCGGAATCTGCTGCACAGTATCGGCTTTGGCTGGACGATGCGCATCATGGGATTTGTGGTCTTGGCCGTATATGGCATTGTGCTGGTCTGTGTGCGGACACGGCTGGCTCCGCGCAAAGCAGGGGCGTTTATTGACACGACGGCTTTTCAGGAAGCGACATATATGCTTTTTGCCATTAGCATGTTCATAACGCTATGGGCAACTTATTTTGTGTACTTTTATGTAAGTGCAATTGCCCGGCGCCGGCTACATGCCCGTACTAAATAAAATCAACCATTAGGCCCGCGCATATGCCGTCAATGTGCTCAAGGGTTCGCAAGTCGACTCTTTTAATATGCTCATCGTCATCAACGCCGTTGGCATCCCGGGGCGACTTGTTCCGGCATATCTGGGCGACCGGTACTTTGGCGCAGTCAACGTATTCTTACCCACAGTGTTTGCCATGGCCGTGTGCGTCTACGCATGGATCGGCGTAAAAACCATCACGGACGAGTACATTTGGATCATATTCCTGGGCTACTTTGGTGCCGGCATTCAAGGACTCTTCCCGGCGACACTGGCCGGCCTCACCAAGGACCTCAGCAAGAGCGGAACGAGAATCGGCATGATATTTAGCGTCGTGAGCATAGCCGCTCTGACTGGACCTCCGCTGGCTGGAAAGCTGATTGACGTGAGAGGCGGGAGCTACCTTGGTGCGCAGCTCTGGGGAGGCACATGCCTGGTCGTTGGTGGCTTGATACTGGCTGCTGCGAAATTTTTCAGCGTAAAGGAGACGGTTTGATCGTGGAACATGTTCAGCGAGTTGGAGGAATGCCACAGTTTGAAATGACCGTCATATAGATCAATGTAATAGGCGTAGCTCATCGTAAGTCCTAAGTGAGCCTTCCGAATCTGTGTGCGGTACATATGTGTTCCCCACCACATGCTTGGGTGCATTGCCTGCTATGTATCACCACGACAAAGTCTTGGGGTAATGTAGCTGAACGTTTTTGAGATGCCATCGGCGGCTGTCGTTCTCTTGGCAGTTGCAATCTGTGACTGGGGTTTCATAGAGGGGCTAAAACGGCAAACGTAAAAGCCTATTCCTCGTATTATGAAAGGAATGGGCCGCTGGGACTTGCGACTGAGTCGTCGTCGTCTCATGATGACGGCCTTGGAGTTGGCAGTGCCAAGAGTGCCTAGCTTTCGTCTTAAACCACCTAGGTGGGGCTGATCACTTACACAAAACACATCATTCGCGCGCTTACCATGGTATGTGGCGCCGAGAAATCCTTTCTAATGACGTATATACCTCTAGCAGCACTATGTTACATACATCTCGTTCTATGGCGGCATCTGCAGCGACAGGTCCTTGCATAACGAGTCTCTGCTCTGGTTAGAGCCGCGCCACTGGCGGCCCTATGTGCCACTAGTGATGAGCTTACCGCGGCTCAGGGGACTATGCTCTCTAAGTGAAGGACGTTGTTCGTGAATCAGTCGTCCGTCTCCAGGCGGTAAAGTCACCATTCTTATTAAGTCACGAGTCAACTCCAAACCGGGCCCTCGGCCAAGACGTGGGGATAGCCCGTAACAAACAGTATGTGAGCTGGACTATAGCAGCTAAAGAATTAGTTGAGATTTATTTCGTAAAATTTGGGCCTGATTCTGGAAAGCCAGGCAGTGGTTTCCAGGGCAGATACCTGTCGAGGCTCATCGGCGGTCCCCTTGGCTGTGGGTTGTGTGGCTCCTCTAGTAGTTAGCCGCGCGCTGTCGAGCCGCCCGTCTTCGGTCTAGAACTTGTTCAGTGTCGAGTTTTACTTCTATAGGGTGTATCGATATCCGTGCTCAATTATATACTCGAAAAATCGAGATGCAGACTGGCTTTTTACGGGCACAGATGTAGGGATCGGTATACGTATGCATTTTTCGTATTCTATATAGCCCAACACTTATAGCATCTTACTGTACGATATTTCTTGAAAAAATGCGAGAATTCGTATTTTGTCTGTATAGAGCTGTTCTATAAAGACGGCGCTTTTCCTTCTCGCTTTCTCATAAGCTCAAGTTTACAGCCTCCAGTTCACTACCTCAATTTCACAACCCCCAATTCACAACCTCAAGTTCACGACCGCTCTTGTGTCCAGACTCACACTTCGCCTTACTACCAGCTTACTACCAACTTTTTCTTTGAAACCTCCTCATCTGCATTCGGCATGAAGTCCTACATCGCACTTGCCTATCTTGTCGGTGCTGTTCTTGCAGCCCCCCAGCCTGCTCGCCCCCAGCTGCAAGATGTGCCTGGCGGCCCGAAGCCCTTTATTGAGAAGCCCGCACCTAGCCAGGCCTGCATTCGCAGCGATGCTACCCTGTTAGACTCTACGGTTCAGACTGAGGAGTGCCTTGGCACCTATCATTACTGCTATGCCGAAGTTTACGAAGATAACGGAGAGCACTTTGCCGACTGGGAGGCATGCTTACAGTCCCGAGGCAAGGCCCTTAAGACCAATGAGGAGACTGCACCCCCCCAGCAGCGGGGTGTGGCTGTTGGCGGCTCCAAGCCCTTTATCGAGAGGCCCGCCCTTAGCCTGGCCTGCACTAGCAAAGATTTTACCCTGATGGAATCTAGGATTCCGACTGAGGAATGCCTTGGCACACGTGCTTACTGTAATGACGAGTATTACATTGATAACGGAGAGGACTTTGCCGACAGTGACGAATGCCTTCGGTCCAGAGGCAAGGACCCCAAGACCATTTAGGAGGTCGCAGATCCCCAGCAGCAGCATGTGCCCGACGCGTTCAAGCCCCTCTAAGGGACGAAGCTGACGCGGCTATGCAGCAGGCCAAGGACAAACTTCAAGAAGTCTGGGGAGAAATCGAGAGGGTTGATATCGAGCAAAGTTCACACCTTGGAGATCGGCTTATTGGAATCACTCAAGTTTAGTACCATTAGTAGTATATTTTAAGTCTATAACTATATGATATATATATAGATTATATATTTTGATGTTCTATAACCATCTTGAGTTTTAAGATTTATAGTATCTCGCCTGTCAGCCAGCTGCCATAGTATGGTACTATGGTAGTATGCTATAAGAGTAGGCTATAGTAGGCAAAATGTAGCTCACTCGTGCTAGCCGGCTGCTGATATGTGGCTATTTATAGCTGGATATGCATCCTTTAGTCGTGACTCTAGTATTGGATAGGTGCAAATAATACTATTGCGTAAAACATAAAATAGCTAGCGGCCAAATTATAATTTTGTTTGTTTACCTGCGAAATATTGACTGTTAGAACCAAACTCAACACAGCTCGGTATCAAATGCTGCCACTCGTCGTCCGCTACAAGTGGCGATATGACGTATTTTTTCGCGTCTATTCTATCTAATAGATCATCCATCTGTGGACAGATGGCTTCGAGTGCATCGATTTCATTATCCAGTATTTGCCTTCACGTCCAACCTAATGCTTCGACATACCAGCTAGGATTTTGCGCAATGCAAACATTCTCAAACGCTTTCCGTACCTGTTAAGGCACGTATTTAGAATCTTTTGCTGCTTCCCATGCCATTCTTTGACCAATAGCAACGATGTATGATCGGCATCGAGGCAGCACTACCGTGTTAAAAAGTCAAGCATGTTCAACCTTAGAACCAGCCGCTTCAAGGTAACTCTCAAGTTCACATAACAAACCAATCTCGTATCACGCGAGATTCGACCTTGCATCTCTCGCTTCGTGCAACTTATACTTACCTGTCAATAACTCGTATGTCAGTCCTGGGTTACAAAGTATATTAGCGACCAAACTCGGCATATTCGACGACTTCAATATCTGGCACCTACGTAGACACAAAACGTGAACATCTCCCTCACCAACCGCGTTCGCAGCAAAAGATAAGTACATTTCAGCAATTTAATTATGTCCATAGTAGCCTCGCCAGCCACACCTCTCGGACAGCTCCGACAAGAGCGCAAAGTGATATATCACGACGGCTTTATAAACAATAGCGATTCCCCGTCACAAATGTAAGCTAATACTCGGATTTCGAAAGATGTCAATACACCAATCCGTCATTACTCTTAATACTTCGCCAGCGGCGAGGCTTTGCAAAATAGGGCGATACTATGTGCTAAATGAAATAATAGGGACGCGTCCCATCTGCGAGTTTTATTATACCATACGTCGTTTGCTGTAGACGGCTGCGATGTAGGTGCCGACTTGCAAACAGTTCAAATTGCCGATGGATAGCGCAATTGCCCTAACAGATAGTCTCCAGAGCTAGTGGTGCAGATCTAGCTAGGCATCTTTTGGTTTCGCCAGGGACAATAGAACAGATTCAGGTAGCAGCCGTACGTGATTAAAGGCCGTAATAGCATGGTCCAAAGGCTTAGTTCCAGGGCAAACAGGCAATAACCAAGTCGTGACGCCTGAATACATCTTATCCCGATCGGAAATAGGCACAACAAAAAGCTTCAGCCCTCTGTCTTATTCATCCACAATCAACTTAGCCAATACAATGCCTATGCGCTTCATCCCTATGACAGGTGCAGCCGGCGGCATAGCTTTAGCAGCGTTTTCGCTAGGAGTATGTAAATCAAAACACCCGTCTAGCAAAAGAGTAGCTATTGTTTCAATATTCTTAACATCAAGACCATATCCGAGTTCCGTGATGAAAATTAAGCCAATGGCTTCGAAAGACATAAGTTAATCCAGAACTGGTTGTAGCGCAGGCTTGTCTTGGACGCATGCTCCAATCATTCCCACGCAAATATTAAAATGAATCTGCGCAATCTGGAAAGCGCTCACATCTCGAGTCATGATCACTATACATGGTCAAATTAGCGACGTCTTGCACAGAATTCATATTTTGACGCATTGACGCATTGTCGCAATGTCCTACAGTCTTTATGAAATGTCCAAAACTTAGGACCCAAATTCACAATATCATCAACACATAGCCCTGATATCAAGATCATGACGCGTTAGCACATATTCCCGCACTAATTCTGTCAAGTTTAGTACCTGATTTGGTACACATTGCCTTTGCTCTTTCATAAGCTAAACGGTAGGCTTCCCGGGAGCCAACGAAATTTTAACACGGATTATCTGTCCAGAGGGCCTGTGCGACAAGGGGCAAATCGGACGCCATGTTTATAGTAGATGGAAGCAGAATACTGCTGGTATTTCAAGCTCTTCGAATCAGATGACCACGAGTAGCGACAGAGATGAAGACGTAGGGGTAGAAACAAGGAATATATAACTGATACACATAGGTACGGCTGGGGAGAGTTGGCTTGAATGACCTCCCATTGGCCCGATTTGGTCAGCGCCCTGCGTTTTGTTGACGAGGAACGGCTCTCAACGATCCGCAGGGGGGGAAGCCGTGTTGTCGAGACTTTTCCCTCATCTCGTCTTAGAAGGGTTAGTTCGTGCGGAAACCCCATTCTGTTGGGACACGACATCCCGAGACAATCTTCTCCTCTCACGGGTGAGTGTTTTGGTGGCTTGAGTGTCATGACAGACGTCAATCTTTTTTGCCTAAAAGTTAGGGAACAACGCAAGCCGCCGTGACAAAAAGACGTGTTGCTATTCACAGTCAAGTTCAGTATACAGCTCTTTGACTCTGAGTTATCTCGCGCGTAGAATATAAAATCAAGGTTGGGTTGCCAGCAGAGAGCAGACGCAATGTTTCCTTTTCTCAGGCGTCCTAAATAAAACACGTGTGTCTCTGGCAAGTACCATAGCTACCTAGGGAAGCGGCGCTTACAACCCCTGTCCGTGACCTCAGAGCTACTTTACCACTGCTAAAGGGATACGAGCTACGGATTACAGCAACGTAAACTCGAGCGACAATTGACCCTAATAATTGTAACAGTCAAGAGTAAATTAATTGTTCTTGCTTTAATTCACAACTAACGCCAACGAATACAAATCCAAAGCTCTCTTTGCTCGCTCTCCATGTCCCTTGTGCCTGGTGGGTAACCTACCTACAGCGGTGTTAGCGTGTACCGCAAGACCCTGATGTGTCATGACGTGGAAAAAAATCTCCAAACCATGACTTGAATATCAACACATTTGCCAACCGCAGCTAAGCATGCTCCGCGTGCCGTGGATATGTCACAGCTGCCACAGGGCTTTATTAAATCCAACCCGATTTCCAAAGCCCAAATTGGCGCGCTTTGTGTCTACTGGTAAGCCTTGTCAATCAATGATTGAGCTGCTTGCCTGGGCTGACGGGGGGGGGTGTTACTCCCTAGAATCGACACTTGCGCCGAGTCTTATTCTGCGAGCAAAAGCCCTCACAGCCGAACACAATGAACTGCAAAAGACGCTCAACGACTCCTTTGATGCTGTCAAGGCGAAACGAGCCGGTGAGCTGCGGCGCGTGGCCACCGCGCTCGAGGACTGGGAGACGGCAAACAGCGCCATTGCCGAGCTGCGCAGCATGACGCAAGAGCCCGCCGACCAGGACGACGCGGATCTCGCCGCGATTGCGCGCGACGAGCTCGATGCCGAAGTCGCCAAGCTGCAAGGGCTAGAGCGGAACCTGTCGGCGAGCCTGACGCCGCGGCACCCGTTTGCCGACCTGCCCTGCATGCTCGAGATTCGGCCGGGCCCCGGCGGGCTCGAGGGCCGCTACTTTGCCGACACCGTCTTTAAGATGTACAGGGGCCTCTGCGCGCGCAAGGGCTACCGAAATAAGGTGGTCAAGTACGACTTGGCCGAGGGCGCGGGCGACCACTCGTCGGCCGAGGGCGAGCTGCCGCTGCAGGAGGCCATTCTCGAAATTGAAGACGCCGGCGCGTACGACACGTTTCGCGCCGAGGCGGGCATGCACCGCGTGCAGCGCATCCCCAGCACCGAGAGCAAAGGCCGCGTGCACACGAGCGCCGTCGCCGTCTGGGTGCTGCCGTCCTTTGCCGAAGCGGCGGCCGACGACGCTGTGGACTTTGAAAACCCCGAGAGCGATTTTTACATTGACCCGCAAGAGGTCAAGATTGAGACGATGCGCGCGCGCGGCGCCGGCGGTCAGCACGTCAACAAGACCGAGTCGGCGATTCGCATGACGCATCTGCCGACGGGCACGACGGTGTCGATGCAGGACCACCGCTCGCAGCACAGGAACCGCGACGAGGCGTGGAAGCTGATGCGCTCGCGCATCGCCGCGCAGCGGGCGGAAAAGCGCGAGGAGGAGGCGGCGAGGCTGCGCAACAGCGTGCTGTCGACGACGCAGATTACGCGCGGCGACAAGATTCGCACCTACAACTACAACCAGGACCGCTGCACCGATCACCGCGCGGGGCTCGACGTGCATAACCTGCCCAGTGTGCTCGAGGGCAGCGATGTGCTGGACAAGATCATGGATGCTGCCAGGGAGTCGCTGGTCGGCAAGGAGATTGAGATGCTTGTGGCCGAGGAGGAGGCCAAGGCCAAGGCTGCTGCGAGTGGTGGTAAGAAGTAAATGGGGGCTGCCTGCAAGTCCATGTATAATTGTAGAAAAATATGTATCAATAGTCAAATGTACACACGGAAATGGTCGTGACCTTTCATCACAAAAGCCCCAGTTGAACGTTACGAATATTTGTAGAATCCTCCAGAGAAATGAACCGTCCAGATGCCCAACTTTAAGAAAAAAAAAGGTACACCGTTCCATCACCCAAGAGTCCAATACCCCAGCACCAATAAAAAAAAGTATAATAATAAATACGCCAGGCCCAGATTCAAACTCCCTTTCCACATGAATGCTTTTTGTCCCATTCTCAAACATTGTGAGTCGTTACATGAGCCCGCTCAAGACAACCTTGCCAATGTTGGCCACCTCTGACCTAATGTGCGCCTTGCTGTGCTCCTCAAAATCCTTGACGATATTTTGCACAATAATCTTGCGGACTTTGGCGTCGGCCTTGGCAAACAGCTCGGCCACGGGCGCGGAACACTCGCGCGGCGTGGGCATCAGCGCCAAGAATCGCCTGTACGAGTCGATCAGCACATCGCACAGCGTCGCAAACGTCTCGAAAAAGTCGGGGTCAAACGGCAGCGACGGTGTCAGCAGGTAGGTGTACTCCTCGCCGGGGAGGAGATCAGACTCGGAGGCGGCAAAGTTCATGACGGACGGGCCGCTGCCTCCCGTGCCGGCAGCGGGAAGGCCGCCGCCACCACCACCACCGCCGCCGCCGCCGCCGCCACTGCCGCCCTGGCCGTGGTCGTCGGTGAGGGACGTGTCGGCCGTCGAGATGGACCGGCGCGACTTGCCTCCCGGCCGACGGAACATGTTAGGCAGCCGGGCGCGGGACAGAGACGAGGACGAGTCGCCGTGCAGCTGCTGGAATGAGTCAAACTCGGAGAAGAGGCTGTTGAGGCAGCGCAGAAACTCGACGGGCGTGGAGGAGTACAAGTCGTTGATGGTGGGGATCGAGACGCCGAGAAGGAGGATGTTGGTGGCCTTGCGGGCGAGCTTGCGAGGGTCGTACGCGGGCATGCGGCTGAGGTCCGACTTTTCGAACAGATATGTGTTGAACCAGTATACCCGACCTTCGTGACTATGCACTGTTAGCTACCATTTACATGGAAATTCGGCATCTAGGATGCGTGCGGCTTGGCTTACGCCTTGCGGAGGTAGCTCAGCGTCGATATCCGCTTATGCGCTGCCTCGATGATTTGCTGATGCATCATGGCCACCTCGCTCTGCCGCCACTGAGTTGGGCTGATGCCCGTTGCCGTCGAGGGCGTCTGCTGGGCCATCATAAACGCAGTACTCGTCGTCGAGCGGCTGATTGCCGAGAATGGCGCATTGTCGGGGCTGATGGGACTGCGGACCGGATCGCGGCCGTCGCGCGGCGCAATCTTGACCGCTGCAGCAAGGGCGTAGTCGGGGAGCGCAGGCGGCACCGAGTCATCCGTCATGACGGCGTCGGCGGCGCTGCTTGCCGTCGTAGAGACGCTGCTGCGGCGACGCGCACCCGACAGCGACGCCTTGCGCGAAAAGGACGCCTTGCGCTCCTTGGACAGGGTGCCGCTCAGGAGGCCCAGCGCGGACGAGACTGCGGAGCCATCGCGTGTCGTGGGCCGCGAGGGCAAGGCCGAGTCGCCGCCGCTGCCATGGCCGAAATGGGATGCCGTCGATGTCGAGCCGGGAGCAAAAGGATTCTGCATCGCGAAAGGAGAAGGCGAGCCGTTTGTTTGGCCGCGACGCCTCGGTTTTGTTCGGTCTGCTGCTACTCCTGGCGGGGCAACGATTGGGGGGAAGGGGGGAGGACTGCGGATCTGGACGGCTGGCGGTGTAACCCAGAGCAGGCGGGACAGAAATCTCCGCCGGCTTGGCGCCGTGAGGAAGATTGGGAGACGAGGGCCAGGCGAAAGAAAGCGCCGCCGGAGAGTGAATGAGCGCTCGTATGACGGCGGCGGGATGCGATGTTGTCGAGCAGCGGTAGAGAGAGGGAGGGGTGTCAAGGCGGGAAGCATAAGCGGGCCACTTGTAGTCAGGGCGGTTGAAGCCAAAAAAGGCTGTTGGTGAGGAAAAACACAACAAAGGAGCGATGCAAGGGAAGAAATGAAAGACTGATCTGTAGATGCCATAATTTACCGTCAATCTTGCATTTATGACTTTATTTACTCAAGTTATGGTACGACTGTCGAGAATGCTTGTTCTTCCGCGAGGCGCCATCTATACTTGAAACAGCATGATGAGACATACTATCTATGTATGCTGCATGCAACAGACAAACCATGGGGAAAAAAAAGAAACAGGTCAGAATTACTCAATGAAGTAGGGCCCATTGATATGAGAGAGCCAAAGAGATTGCCAAGGACTTGGTCAAATTGATTTGCGAGCTGCATTGGCTTCGAGTGGCCTCGGGGGCTCTACTTTTGGTTTATTGAGAGAAAGCAAAGCTCCTGCGCATAGTGCATATTGCGTTGTCTTCTTCACGGCTACATCCATGGCCGTGAAAATTGCATAAGAGATCTTGCCTCCCATTGCTTATGACTCTTGCGAATGACCATCACAGCCTTCGCACAGCTGAAAAGATTGGCTCATCTCTGTACCTCTAGCGATGCACAGATATTGGAGCACCCCTATCGAGCGTCTTGAAGACGGCACGCGGGTAAGGCTGACAGCGTCGAGATCAGCTGAGCGTTGATGCACCAATCATCCGGCTCTCTGGTAGCTGCGGTGCGCATGAGGGGTTGCTGCCTTATTGTAGCCGCTGCTTTGGCACTGGTTAATTTCGGTCCGTCAGACAAAGTTTGATGCTCAAACAATCATTGGTATTTACAACAAGAACCAGGAGCCTGACCAGCTCGGATTCGCGCCGCCCAGCCTCGCCTCCTGTGACCTTGCAAACGCCACCAAGGTAGCCGCCCTCCCCAGCAAACGCCATATCAGAACTTCCGGGAAGAAGCCCGGGAGAACATTCCCTACCGAGGAGATGATGAACTTCAACCACATCAACACAAGCCGAGAGACCACCACTGAAGAGGGCCTAACGCCTAGGGGCTCAAAAAGACAGAGGCTGAACCACACGATCTACACAAATGGCTCAACCCTGGCCGCGCTATCGCATGACAAGTATACAGTTGGCTGGATATGCGCACTTCCGATAGAAATGTCAGCTGCAGTAGCCATGTTGGACGAGACACACCAAGGACTACCAAGGGCTGACGAGGACACCAATACATATACGTTGGGACGCGTCGCTGCACACAATGTCGCCATTGCGTGTCTTCCATCAGGCTACTACGGCAACAACAACGCCGCGGCCGTCGCGACCAATATGCGGCGAACTTTTCCTTGTATGCGTCTTTGCCTAATGGTTGGCATTGGTGGCGGAGCTCCTGGAAAAGCCGATATCCGACTCGGGGATGTTGTCGTTAGCGAAGGCGTGCTGCAGTATGACCTAGGAAAGGCACTCAGCGAAGGCCGTTTTACGCGTACAGGCATCATGAACAGACCGCCGCAAGAGCTACTGACTGCCGTTGCGAACCTGCGAGCGCGACATCGCATTGAGGCTAGCCGGATTCCCTCGATTCTTTCTGAGATGCTTGAACGCCATCCAACAATGGAGCAGTTCGTTCACCGCAACTCGCTGCGAGACCGTTTATTCGACAGCACATACGAACATGTCCAATCGAAGGACGTTCCGACGGACGATTGCGAGCTGTGTGATATTTCTAGATTGGAGGACAGGTCTCCACGAGATAATCCGGATCCAAAGATTCACTACGGAACGATAGCCTCTGCAAATCAAGTCATGAAGCAGGTCAAGACTAGAGACGAGCTATCACACGAGCTAGACGTGCTATGCTTCGAGATGGAGGGGTCAGGCGTCATGGACGGCTTTGCGGGGTTGGTAATCCGCGGAATTTGTGATTACTCTGACTCTCACAAGAATAAGCAATGGCAAGAGGTTGCGGCCACAGTAGCGGCAGCCTATGCAAAAGAGCTTCTTTTAGTTATACCTGCCGACGTGTGTACAGCAGCACCAGTAGTTGCGATACCTTCTGTCGATCTCGGTGAGTAAAGCTGGTTCTTCTCTTGAGTTTTCTTCCACTTATCAGGCCACTATTCAGATCGTCAACAGACTTTGTTGCGTTCTTTAGAATTCGAACAGATTCATGCTCGCCGTTCAAGTATCAAACCAAAGTACTCAACCACGTGCCGATGGCTACTGGCACACCCCGACTATCTCGACTGGCAAGACCCCAAACAAGCCGTCAAACACCATGGATTTCTGTGGATACGTGGAGGCCCTGGTACTGGCAAGTCGACTATCATGAACTTTGCCTATAGAGAAGCAACGACTCACAAAGATGTGGTGGTCATCTCATTCTTCTTCAACGCGCGGGGCGAAAGTTTGGAGCGATCTACTCACGGAATGTATCGATCTCTCCTGTCACAGCTACTAAACACTTTACCAAACCTGCTCTCAATTTTTGACGCGCCAGAGCACAAGAAGTTCCTCGACGACTTTTACACGGCTCTTTTGAGTCACCACAACCCTATGTGGCAGATCGTCGTTCTCCAAGATTTGCTACGAAGCGCATTGACGAAGCTCGGACAGACCCCATTGGCAATCTTCGTCGATGCTCTTGACGAATGCTCTTCTGGTCAAGTGGAGGAACTAGTAGAGTACTTTGAAGCTCTTGGAGAAGAAGCAGAGCAAAATGGCTTGCGACTTAATATCTGCTTCTCCAGCCGCTATTACCCGTACATCGATATTCAGTACGGCCTGAAGATTAAACTTGAGGCTCAGGACGGCCACGAAGAGGATATTGCCATGTATATTCGAAATAAGTTGAGAATTGGCGCAAGCAAGACTGCGGAGGAAATCAAAACAGGAATGCAAGCCAAGGCAAAAGGCATCTTCATGTGGGTTGTTTTGGTTGTCGACATTTTGAAAGCAGAATATCGAGATGGCCGGATCTTTGACGTCAAGAAACGGCTTGCCGCCCTACCAGACGAGCTAAGCGACTTGTTCAAGGAAATTCTGGCAAGAGATCAGAAGAACATTAGAGATTTGAAAATTTGCATTCAATGGATTCTGTTTGCGAAACGTCCATTGAAGCTAGAAGAGTACTACTTCGCGGCCGTGTCCGCGCTCAGTCCTGATGAACTGGGCGAATGGGACCGAAATGACATTACTACAGAGGACATGAGCAGATTTGTCATAAGCTCCTCGAAAGGACTCGCAGAGACGACGAGATCCAAAGTCAAAACAGTTCAGTTCATTCATGAGTCTGTACGAGAATTCTTTCTCAAAAATGCCCTGCACGAGTTGTGGCCCAATCTTGCCGCAGCAGACTTTGAAAGTGTAGGCCATAGCCAACTACAGCAATGTTGTTATGCCTATTTCAATTTCTGCGTCGTGTTCAAATCCGAAACTTGTTTATCCGCCGCACAGATGATACCAGCAGCATCTTCTGATGAAGCAAAAGAGCTGCGCAGCGCCGTGTCGAGCAACTTGCCGTTTCTTGAATATGCAACACGCAATCTTTTCTATCATGCCGATATTGCAGCCAGCGCCATTTCACAGCAGGAATTTTTAAGTACTTGTTCCCTCGAAGCCTGGATTCTTCTCGACAACCTTTTCGAAATGTTTAAAATTCGGCGCCACACGCCGACAACAAGTCTTTTGCATATTCTGGCAGAAAGAAATTTCGCAAGACTGATCAAAGAAGCATTGCATCTCGACTCAAGAATTGATATCAAAGGAGGGCGGCATCGCTATCCACTGTTTGCTGCTTTGGCAAATGGCAATCACGATGCCGTCAAAGCACTACTACAGACGTCAGCTTACCTCCCGGGAGATGACGCATTTACCCGTTTGGATTATGGGCCGAATTTCAGAGTCGAAAAAGATCAAACGCCGCTTCACTGGGCTTCTGCGAGAGGTGATGACGTCATTGTCAAATTACTTCTTGAGAAGGGCAGCCATATTAGGGCGGAGGACAAGCGTGGTCGGACACCGCTATCACATGCAGTCAAGAACGGTCATTACGGTACTGTGCGGCTCCTACTTCAGAATGGCTGTGATTTTCGAAATCACAATAATGACTGGAAATCACCGCTATTATATGCTGCTATGAATGGAAATGACGCTATTATGCGGTTGCTACTGGAAAACGGTGCGAATATTGAAGCTCAAGATTGTAACATGGAAAGTCCATTGAGAGCTGCTGCCTCATTTGGAGAAGAGAAAGCTGTACGGCTGCTGCTTGAGGCAGGTGCAGATATCGAAGCGAAGGACAATGCTGGTAGGACAGCACTAACATGTGCTACTGAAAGAAAGCGTGAGGCTATCGTTCAGCTATTACTAGAGAAAGGTGCGAATGTCGAAAGCCCAGCGTCCGGGGTGCACAACCCGTTAATAGTTGCCGCCATTTATGCATACGAGAACGTTTTACGGCTGCTACTCAAGGCAGGTGCAAATACCGAAGCGAAGGATAATAGTGGTATGACCTCACTAATACGTGCTGCTATAAATGGACATGAGGCTATCGTCTGTCTGCTACTCACAGAGAGTGCAGATATCGAAGCGAAAGATGAAAAAGGTATGACATCACTTATACATGCTACAATGATGGGGCGTAAGGCTATCGTCCGACTGCTACTCAGGGAGGGTGCAGATATCGAAGCAAAGAATAACAGGGGTATGACATCACTTATATATGCTGCCGGGTGTGGGAATGAGGCCATCGTTCGGCTGCTACTCGAGAAAGGTGCCAATGTTGAAGCCGTAGGGCCTGAGGGAAACAGCCCGTTAACATTTGCCGCTTCCCTTGGAAGAGAAAACGTCGTACGGCTACTACTCGAGGCAGGTGCAGATATCAACAAGAAGGATTCAAGGGGTTGGCCAGCACTAACTCATGCTGTCGAGAGTGAACATAAGGCTATCGTCCGCCTGCTACTTATGAAGGGTGCAAATATAGAAGCAAAGGATCACATCGGAAGCACGCCGTTGGGGCATGCTATTCAGAATGGGCTGGAGGATATCGTCCTGCTGCTACTCATGTAGAGTGCAGATATCAAAACAATGGATGTAGACTATGATAGTAGCAGCTTGCCAGCTCAAGGAAAAACCAGCTCCGATTATTGTCGCAGCAGCCTCTCAGCTCTCACATACAAGTTGGTTCAACTATCTACCTCGCCGGTGCCACATATCACGCTTTGTCTCAAATACCTGCACTTTCACAGCAGTGCCCAATCCTTAGTTCATTGCCAGTAACCAGAGAGGCCGGGTTTGACATCCAGAGAGGCCGGGTTTGACATCTAACGAAAATACCAGAGTTTGGTGCTATTCTTCCACGCACAACTCGCCGCTTAGCACGGCCTGCGGTAAGTTGTCATTCTTCCAAGTCTCTAGCGCGCTTGCCTTCCAATTTTCCCACTCTTCTTCCTCTTGCCCTCGGCTATCTATGCCGATATCATGACGGCGAGCGAATGCGGGTTTGAGTCCCATGGAAAGGCCAGCAAAGGTTTTCCTATTCTCGTGTGATGCTCCACCAGGGCCAAGTGCGAACGGAACTTTTGCCCATTCAACACGCAGCGAGCCAGATCGTCGCGGCCTCTCTCACGAAACGCACGAGCTAAAGAAAGCTCTTCTTTCTCGAGCTCATGCTGCGGAGGTGATGTTGGACTGGACAGCCTGAATCGCGCAAGCCATACCACACCATCTTTGAACATAATCTCCGCATGACAGTTTTGACCGCCCATCATGGCGGAAATCTTGTCCGGCGACAAGTCGATTGCGCATGGCACGTAATCGTCACTGCGCACTTGTGACGCACGCGCACACAGCTTTGCACCGGCACAATTCGCATAGGCGTCGAGCTTCTGCAGCAACATACTTGGCGCTATAGTCATCTCAATTTGTCTGGTATTATTGTCAAATGCATTTCCTCAGATTAGGGCTGAGGGGACACAAAGTAGTTTCTTCTGGTCTTGGGTATTTATGCCATCGGCCTTGCAAATGCATTCGGCAGAGGTGCTTGTCGCAGACTCTATACTACACGGCCACAGGGCGAGCATATCGCCTCGTTCAGATTAAAAAAAAAACTGATAGATGTCTCGCAAGAGAATTGAGATGGATATGATGAATCACAACAGACCTAGTCAGCCTTACAGCCTTGCTGATCCAAAGGTTCGTTGCTGCCTAGATGGCGGAGATGCTTGCTCGAGGGTTACTGTGTGGAACGTATTCCAAAGCCCATTCACAAAGACCCCAAGCATGTCGATGCCTAGGAGCTCGATTTATTGGAGGAAGGACTGGGCCACCCGCCTGATGTATGCAACAGCACGGATCAAGGTACTGAATCCAAGTTTGTAAGCCTCAAGGTGGTGTGAAATGCTGGCTGGTCTGAATTGCTCGAGAATTCAGCATGGTGCGCTCTTCTCCCGATAAAAGGCTTCATACAGGACGTTCTCCGACAGAGGTACTTAAAGTATCAGCAAGACACTCTAATACATTGTCGGAGTCTTTGCCCAACCTATACGACCAATGAGGAATTTTTGGCGGATGAATTGGCTATGAACGCACGCATATGCTTCTCACTCTACTGTGGTGCGGGAGTGACCGACGCGGTACAGACGCAGCCTTGGCCAGAAATGCTCGTGATAGGTGGCGCATTGCATGTCGCTTCTGAAGTAAAGGATACAATGCTCGACGTGGTCGTGGGCCGATCTACTATCTCGGCTTTGACGAGGACCGGAATAATCTGGCCCGTCTGCAGACCAAACTTTCTATGATTCAGCACACTCAGCAGACTAGCAATCTCGCCCGAGTGACTAGTGATGCTGATCCAGGTATTGGCATCATTGGTGAAGACGTCGTCGAGCACCACCTTGTTGCGGGCCTTTTGGCCGTCACTCGTCTCGCCCTCGCCCTGCTTGCCGCGCCACAGCTCATCCTGCTCAGTGAAGCCGGCCTCAATGGTAAACTGCGGGGCGATGCTGCGAATGTACGTCTTGTTCGAGCGGTGGTCGCAGGTGTGAATGGAAATGGACTCGCGGAACAGCTCCTTGATGACGGGCGCAAAGGGGCGCGCGGCGGGCAGGGCGAGGCCGGCAAAGGTGCCCTGGGCGGTCTGGACGCAGCGGGTGAGGGGCGAGCTGTAGTATGATTCAAAGAAGGGCATGCCGTGCTCCTGGAAGCGCGTCTTGTAAAAGGCGCTGGCCTTGGAGGCTTCGGCGAGGCCTTGCGGGGTGAGCTTGGGGTCGGCCCAGGTGGAGGTGCCGTTGCCGTCGAGCTCGGCCCAGTAGCACTGTGAATTATAAGTTGTGAGGAAGAAGGAGGGGTACTGAGAGGGAGAAATTCCGTACGTTCCAGGCGGGAGTCCCGTAGCAGCTCTCGGCGGCGTTGTGGTAGCCCTGGCCGTGGCGGCCCATGACCAAGACTTTGAACCTCACGCCGCTGTCCTTGTGGCAGTTGTTGTTGAGATGAGCGACCCAGCGAGCAAAGCGCTGCCACTGTGTCTTGGTGCCATCGCTGTCGAAGCTTTTGTCGGTAGGATACGACCTCTCAATGAGACCGAGGTTATGCTCCGCCTACCTCATGTCAGTCTTAGACGGCACAGAGGAGGTAGCCAAGACGGCGCATCGGTAACTCACATAGTCAAACTTGGACGGATCAGTGGCAGGGTCATCTTGAAGGAAATAGCCAGGGACAGAAGAGTATTTGATGGTCTTGCCCTCGGCCTCGGGCCATTTGGCGACAGCGGCCGGAGTCAAGGCGAGCAGGGTGTGGAGGTGGGCAATCTTCATCTCGCCGGGCGCGTCGTCGCTGAGGACGATTTGATCGGGGCTGCTAGCAAGCGCGGCAAGAGGGTATAAGTAGCCGCATGGCAGAAGAAGTAAAAGGAGTCGAGCAAGACCCAGCATGGTGCGAAATTTGATATTGGTTGAGTTGACTAAGGTAGTTATTACGATGAGTTGCTGTCTGCGCAGCTCATAATGACTCGTATTAGTGGCGTCGTTAGTCGCTGTTAATCCTCCACAGTGCGGTTGAACGTGTGCTGTAAGTCTGTTGGGATTGGTGCGACATTTTGGAGACGATAGAGGACGGTTATTGTATTGCCGGTCGAAAAAAAATAATTATGCAGGATTTGCTGCAAATGAAGAAAAGTAAATTCTTGCTGAACCTTGGTCCACGTGCAACTACCTTATCTACTTTGCTACTATTTAGATGTCCTTTACCTCGACTTGAGATTGCGGAACCATAACTGTCCGTTTTCTGTAGCCCCTACGCCCGTCACTACCTTACTTGGCTAAAGGCGTGCCAATTGCAAGAGTCTGGTCCATCTATAGCAGTTGCTTTTTTCTACATGTAGTACTGTACATCATGCCAATGAATCCAGCACCATGGTTTGAGTCCAGAGCTCCATCTGCTTTTAATAATTTTAGAGCAAAGATTATAGCGCTTGCAGCAGTCAGACCCCACCAGTTTACAGTGGCTGGCAAGCACCAAGTGCACTGTCTGACCTAGGTACTCGCTAAACCGCCAAAACCCCCCTATGACGTAGCTTGAGCCGCTATCATTACAGGCAATCAAGACCCTGACAGACAAGGCCAGAGCGGGGCCAATTTCAACCGCCGGTTGTCTCTCAGGGAGTCGAGACCATCGATTCGCAGACCCTTAGCATGACCACTTCAGAAGCTACATTCCTGTATTTCATCGCTTCATCACATTTGCCCTTGTTTTTTTTAAATTGAAAATAACTCTAGCCTGCTGAATTGACTTGGCGGACAACCACTCGATCGCCGGGCCATCAACTCTTCCAATATTTTACCCCTGGGAGCTTCTTAGCTACCCCTCCACACCCCATCACCCTATCCCACCATGAGTGCGCCAAATACCATCCCACCTCCTGGAGAGCCTGCACCTGAGCTCCTCGACGGTCGAATCTGGGTCGATGGCTGCTTTGATTTCTTCCACCACGGTACGTCCTCCCCGTACACACCTCATCTCGGCTCACAGCATGCCACCGTGATGGCCGCATATCTAACCGCACCCGCCGCCCAGGCCACGCCGGCGCCATGGTCCAGGCCCGCCAGCTCGGCCACGAGCTCTACTGTGGCGTCCACTCCGACGAGGATATCATGGCCAACAAAGGCCCGACCGTCATGAACCTCCGCGAGCGCCTCGCCGCCACTGACGCCTGCCGCTGGGTCACCCGCTCCGTCGGCCACGCCCCGTACGTCACTGAGCTGCCCTACATCTCCCACTTTGGCTGCAAGTACGTCGTCCACGGCGACGACATCACTTCGGACAGCGACGGTAACGACTGTTACCGCTTTGTCAAGGAGGCTGGGCGCTTCAAGGTCGTCAAGCGCTCCCCCGGCATTTCCACCACCGACCTCGTCGGCCGCATGCTGCTCTGCACCCGCACCCACTTTATCAAGTCCCTCGAGAATGTCCTGGCCGGCACCGAGGGCAGCGGCACAGACGAGGAGCGCATGGCTGCTGCCAAGGCCATGAATGAGAGACTGGCGCTGTATGCGACTGATGAGACGGCAAAAGCGCCCGGCGCTGAGATTTGGTTTTGGCGCGCCTCGCTCGAGGCCAAATCCGAAGAGACGGCCCGCGAAAAGGGACAGTTTAACCAATTTCTCGAGGGGCCTGGTCCTCAGCCTGGCCAGCGTATTGTCTATGTCGACGGTGGTTACGATTTGTTTTCGAGCGGCCATATCGAATTTCTGCGCAACGTTCTACTAGAAGAGGACAAGCTCGCCAAGGAGACGGACTGGTTCACTGAAGCGGCTGCCACCAAGCGTAAGCAAGCCACTGGCAAGGACTATGGTCCGGCATATGTCGTTGTCGGCGTCCATGACGATAATGTCATCAACTCGTGGAAGGGCGTCAACTATCCCATCATGAATATTTACGAGCGCGGGCTATGCGTTTTGCAATGCAAAGTAGGCTACCCTCCTCCTTCCCCGCAGCGTTACTTTTCGCATGCTAACAATTCCAGTACATCAACGCCGTTGTTTTCGGCGCCCCTTTTACTCCCACAGAGCCCTACCTCACCAATCTGCCCTGGGGCACGCCCAGCGCCGTCTACCACGGCCCGACCAAGTTTATGCCGCTCACCTACGACCCCTACACGGCGCCCAAAGCCCTCGGCATCTACCGCCAAGTTGGGGCGCACGAGTTTGCCGACGTCAACGCTGGCCAAATCGTCGATCGCATCATGAAGAGCCGCGAAATGTACGAGGCGCGTCAGCGAGCCAAGGGCGTCAAGGCCGCGGGCGAGGCGGCGGCCCGCGAGCGCGAGATTCTCGAAGAGGAGCAGAAGAAGAAGCAAGCGGAGCGAGAAGCTGCGGCAAAGCAGTAAATTCGATTCATAGTGAGGTTGATTTTTTTTTCACTCCTTTTTAGGTTACAAAAGTTTTTATGGCATAGCATTTTAATACATCAACATATTTACAGTCACAGCATGCGGCCACGGTGAGATTTCATCAATGAATTGTGTTTGATTCGCAAACAACACAGCTTGTGTGCCTTGCGAGTTTGAATTAAAATCAAAGGCTAAGTCAGAGTCTTGCCAATTTTGGGCAGATATGAATGGGTGGATTGGGCCAAGAACCCGGCTAAAGAGATCAGTTTTTGTTTTTGTTTCTTTTTTTTTCCTTTGGTGTCGTCAATTCGTAGCGCAAGGGAACGCTTCCCACGTTCCGATGAAGGGCTCAGTCGGTGCCGCCAGAGGCGACGAGCGCGTCGGCCGTGGGCGGGGTGCTATCGACCTGGATGCCGCCGCGCTTGGGGTGGAAGCTGTCGTGGAACGGCAGGCACCAGCCACCCTCGTGCTCGGGGGTGCCGACCCAGGTGCGCAGCAGGTGGCGCGGGGGCTTGGGCGGCACGGCGTCGACAAAGGCGGTGCGGGAGTGGAAGGTCTGGCAGCACGAGACGAACTGCATATCGCCGACGTCGCAGGCGTACTCGAAGCCGTGGCGCGCGCACGTCGCCTCGAGGACGTCCATGGCCTCGATCTGCGCAGGGGAAAGGGCAGGGATAAGGCCGGCGTCGCTGTAGCGAGTGAGGGACTTGACAAAGTAAGGGTCCCATCTGGCAAAGAAGAGTTAGTGTCAGGTCTATTGAGGTGCGAGGAAACACAGAAGAAATAGAAGGCTTACTTGACATAGATGCGCTCTTGACCACCGGGCTCGAGGTAGAAGACGGGGACCTTGATCCACGGCTCCTGGCCGGCTGTGATTTCACCCTTGCGGTCAAAGTACCAGATGGGCGAGGCCAGCAGCCTGGCCACGTCGGGACGCTCCTTTATGAGGGTGTTCCAGACGGTGTGCGCCGACGCGCAGCCCGACAAGCCGCCCGTCTCACCCGGGGCGCAGAACAAGAGACCGACAATGTCGGCCTCATCGGTGTGGAAGAGCTGACTATTATGAAGGACGTTAGCTTTTTTCTTGGACGTCTTTATTGGGATGATGGTGAATGGCGTACGCGGCATTGGTCGCGGCAATCTTGACCTTGTCGAGCGAGTTCTTGTAGTCGGCGTCGAGGTTGGTGACGTGGCCGAGGACCTGGCCGAGCTTGTTCTGGGACAGCAGGTAGCCGAGGTGCGCCGAGATGCCCATCATGGCGATGGCGGCCTTTTGGCGGCCCCATTCGTTGACTGGGAGGCCGCGGAAGAGGATAAAGCCGCGACCGTTGAGGATGTCGTGGCGGACGGCCTGTAGCGTCCGCGTCACGTTGGGGATGTGAAAGTTGTGCTGGTTGTTGCGTTGCACGTCAGCATATACTGTGGCGAGATTTTCTCGAGAGAAAGGCAAAGAAAAACATACCTTGTTGATGTTGATGAGGGGGATACCGGAAACAGTAAAGGCGTTGACGGCTTGGAGCAGCTCGTTGAGCTCGCTCTCTGTCCAGTGGTGCGCCCACTCGTCCTGGCGGGTGGCAATCTCGGAGCCCTCCCAGACGGTCGGGCCGGTGATTTCAGTGGGAAAGTCTTCAAAGGGGCGGATCTGGCTCTCAATGGGCGGGTGCTGGCCGCTGGTGCGCAGGCCGTCGGGAAAGGCCTTGCGGTCGATGGGCTGGTGGTAGGGCAGGCCGCGAGGGAGGCCGCGTAGGCCGGGAGCAACGTCGAGCGTGGCGGCCATGTTTTTTTTTTATTATTGGGGATGTGAAGAGGGAAATCAAAATAGTATATTGTGTCTGTGGGGATATATTAGGAAGAAGAAGAAAAAAAGGAAAAAAGTTATTTTGTGAGGGCATCTACAGATGGTCGGGAGTCGTGGGGATGGGGAAGCGATCTGGTTGTATATATACCTTCCCACGAGCGAGCCCGCATCAGATCGGCATTACGTCGCTAATGCTCAGTCCATGCTGTTTCGATTATCCTTTCAGTCCGGCTTCGGAATCCCAATAATCACATAAAAGGAGGCGGCATGCCCACTCTGTTTTTCTCCTCAAAATACATGTAAGCTTTGGCAACTTTTTTGGCGTCCAGGATTGTTGGCCGCTAGGATCCACGGCTCCAATTGACATGACAGGCAAAACAAAAAAAAAAAAACAAAGTACAGTTTGTATGGGTGGAATATGGCCAAGATACCTTGTTTGAGAGAGGGCGCCTCGGAAAGCCGTTGCGCTGGTTTTGGAGGGCAGAGCGCAGGTGTGCTTGGGCGGAGCGTTGGCGTGCTCGCGCTCGGAATGACACCATCTCTCGTGATGTCCTAGACTCATGCTGATAGAAGGCCGGTGGTCGGTGGCCCGATAGCCGGGTCTTGGGGGTTAATTTACAAATGCATTACGATTGCATGAAACTAATTAGTCGGGAATTGCTTTACAAAACAAGGAGCAATTTTTTTATCGTTTTATCGGTTATCATTTTATCGTTGGGGTTGCTGCTGCTGGGGAGTTTTACAAACTGATGTTTGTTGATGCCACTGGGCCCTCTTGCACACTGGAGCTTATGTAAACAACCGTAAATCGCTAGCCATCCCCCTGCACGATCGCTCCGGACTCCGAGGGCTGTTTTCTCCCCCAGATTGAACTTGCCCTTTTGACTTGTTCTCCCCTCATCTGCGTTTTGCAAGTTACGCAAAAGAGAGCCCGGTTACAACCTCAAGCAGGTTTGTTGCATTTCCGAATTTTCCCCCGCCACTTTCTTTGTTTCGGAAAAGAGGGCGGATGTCGGAGTACCTAGAACCTATCAATTTCTGCGTCGTTGATAACGGAACGCGCTGACGGCTCGCGTTGCAGTTTTGGCGTCCAGGGTCTGCTTGAATAGTCTGCTTCTTGGCGGAGAGAGAGGGTGTGGTGCCCGATAGGCTGCCTCTGGCTCCTGAAAATGTAGTGCCCGACGAATACTAAACACTCAATGGTTATGATACTTTGAAAATGGCTCATTCAGTGCATATAAGAGTTGCAGAGAGTGAGTTTGGGGGAAAGAAGTTTTTAAAGCTTGGTGATGCCAGGACGACAAACTGGTGATGGAGGGGCTTTGGTGGTGGTGGCAAACGATGACTTGGGATCTGCGGTTGAGCGCACCACTTTTTTATAGCACCTGCAGCAAGGCAGGGATTTTCAATTTAGTAGAGCCCAATGATTTATATGCTTTGGTGGCTGGCAAAGACGTATCAGGCATGAGCCGGCATCGTAAGGTCGCCAGTCCGACGCGGCTGCATAGCGTGGCAAAGGGACATGGGTGCAAACAAGTGTCAGTGGTGAGAGTACCCGTGTCGGAAAGCAACGGCAGCCTGCTTGCTGGACCGATAAGCTGGGGTAATATACCAGGCAAAAGGGGCTATTCTCGGCCGCCCATGTATCTCTCCCAAGGATTACTTACCAAGTATTACAAGTAAATAGATGCATTACCCCACACGGAAGACGGCAAGTCGCAGTGCTACATAAAGGAACCCCTCACCGGGATAATCTTTGCTCATTATTCCTCGCACTCTTAATTCGGAATGATTTTGAATTATCAGACATCGAGGCAAAGCTTGTGCCGTGTCTCGTTTTGACCTCTTCCGCGTCTCCAAGTGTCCGTTTGCATGGCGGCATGCAACACTGCGTCTTGTGCCCAGCCGGCTCCAAAGTACCAAGTTAGCTGCATTTAATTGACAAGTTGATGATGCAAGTATTGCCGCCCTGTTACGGGCCAGGATCTGCATTATAGTTAACAGCGCAAGCAAGCCGGTATTCTGTTGCTGCACAACTTAGCCAACACCAAAAAGTCTGCAACCTTTCCCACCGTATCCTCACACAACAAGAACCAAACGAAGCATAGTACCCACCAAAGCGATTTCATACGAGGCAACTCCCTCGCATAAAGCTTTTTAGACCAAAAAAAAATAAAAAATAAAAATAAAAAAACGGTTGGGTCTCCGAAAAATCCGTCGCGTAAATCGGGTGTGCAGGGTAGGTAGGCTGCCATTCGGCCGTAGCCGCCTCTACCGCCTTACCCTTTTGGGACTTTGTAGCTTCATTCCCGAAATTCCTTTTCACATCCACTGCACCCGACCCAGGCTCAATCATCATTGGCGTCCTCGATCCGGCCTCAGGTCTGCCACCAAGCCATAGACAATACCGAGCGCCCAATTGACTCCCCAACCATTCAATCAACTCATCGGCTTACTTCGTCACAGAGGCAGCCATGGACAAGATCGCCCGGCGTGTGGCGCAGGCCCAGCGCTCCGCCAGTCGCAGAAGCCAACGAGTGGCGAGGCGGCAAAAGATTCAAGCCTACTATCGTGCCGACAAGGCGGTGACCGACGCCAATCGAGAAATCATCAACAACATCAAGGATGCTAAACAGGCCATGAAGGAGGACTGGGAGCTCGGCCCCTTGGCTCCCAAGCGCGATCTGGGCTTCAATAAGTACGGCGTCATCACGTCCGCGATCCGCCAAGACTGGAGCAACTATGGCCAGATCAAGTTTCGGCAGAAGCTTGCCGAACAACGCTGCGCTTGGGCCGGCGGCGCTCATATGCTGAATTTGGTCCCGGGCGACAGGGTCGTCATCTTTGAAGGCCACGACAAGGGCAAGATTGACACCATCAAGACGATTCAGCCCGAGTCTGGCTCCCTCACCCTAGAAAATTACAACCGAGTACGTTGCCGCAAACCGAAAAAAACAAAGCTCTGCAGCTGTGCTAACCGAAATCCCCCCCTCAGGCCATGGTCGAGAGCATGCTCGGCCAACCACCCCGCTCACAGCCCATGCCCCTTTCCATCGACTCGGTACGACTCGTATACCCTCTGCCCGACCCCGTAACGGGCGTCATCAAAGACACCATCATCCGCCAGCTCCGCGCCGTCCCACCGCGAATGGAGTCGCCCAACATGACCATGGAGCGCTGGCGCTACGGCAACAAATGGGACCGCATCGTGCCCAGCCTCAACCGCATCATCCCCTGGCCCGAGACGCCCGCGCCCGAGTTTGCGCTGACGCCCAGCGACACGACGCGCGACCAGGTCGAGGAGCGCACTTTTTACTACAGCCTCGCCACGCCGCCCATGCCCGACGGCGTCATTGACGAGCTGCGCAACAAGTACTCCAAGTTCCGCACCAGGCACGAAAACTGGTACGTTGCGCAGAAGGAGGCCGAGGACGCGAACAAGAAGGCGTCCAAGGGCGACGCGACGCGCCTCATGCAGACGCCGCTGGAAGAGTTCAACGAGATGCAGCGCGCGATCCGGGATGCTGCTGGCGAGCCGGAGCTGTCCGAGGACATGCTGGCCAAGATTGGCGAGGTCATGGCCAAGAGCAAGGCCGAGGTGCTGGAGAGGGCTGGCATATCAGAGGTTAATTCCAAGCAGTAGAGCGATTCTGTGTACTGTTGAGATGAGAGCATTGCTGGATATCAAAGCTGTTTGGGTGCCAGGCTCGTCTGTCGAGACGCGGATGGGCTGCGCACGTGTACTACTCGGTCCAGGACTTGTATATTACTATTCGCAAATAGACGATTGTCAAATACGTTGCTTGCGCATATCATGACTGCTTCAAGAGAACACCATGTTTATACTCCCTTTGAACCCGGTGGAACTTTTGCTGGCTGACCCGTCTTGACCCTTTAGATTCTGTCGAGCGCCTGCGACTTGATTAAAAACTTGTCTGCTTCAACTCGGATTAGCTTGGCCGTTTCAACTCGAATTGTGCAAATTCTGCGTGACAGCATCTATCTACTCCTGCTAATCATCTCTCATCATTCCAATGTATACAATCGGCCTCTGGAACTGTCCACAATTTATTCTTCTTTACTATAATTAGCAGCGGAAGGAAACTAGCGTAGACGGCAATCTCGGAACATTGTTCAACTCCCACAATTTGGATTATTAAGAATGTTATAATCAAGCGCGGAGTCCAACGCTACTTGCTTAGCAATGCAGCCACCACATTGGCCAGACCCCGAAATGTCTTAAAAAATCGGCAATGAAACAGACCCGGTCCGATCTAGGTCAACATTCTTTTGCCCTTGCATTTCGAGATTCTGAGGCATGTTAGTCTCTCGCTTTCACGGACTCGCATCACTAATCGCTCGGCGCGCCCACCGCCACCTGTACCTTTTAAACATGGCGGCATCTGCTGCCGCTAAACATGATGAGTCGGATTTGCATCATACGAAAACACTCCATTCACAGCAAACAGCAATGGCATCAGCGCAGCCCCAATCAGCCGGCACTACAGACTCCGTCACCAAGACCGAGGAGCCCAAGCCGGCACCCAAGTTGTCAGACCACGAATTTAAGATATATAATCGACTAGCCGTCCGCATGGATTTCTTTGTAAGTTGACCATCATCCCCATCCCCGCCGCCCACCTTGGTCACCTATTCATCCCCCCCTCCCTCCCTTGCAACCTCTCACACCACCACCACCAGCATGAAAACTTTCGCCGCACCTGGAACCTCCTCTGGGCCTACGCCACGACCGGCCAGCGCCCGCAGGGCCTCACCCTGAAGCAGCTCGTGCGCGCCGGCCTCGACTTTGCCGACCACCTGACGATGCACCACGACATTGAGGAGCGCCACGTCTTTCCCGAGCTCGCGCGGCGCATGCCCGAGTTTGACCCCCGCCGCGGCGGCGAGCTCGTGGCGCAGCACAGGACCATCCATACGGGGCTCGACGGCTTGCGGGCGTACCTTGAAGGTGTGCGGCGCGGGGACGAGGCGCTCACGGCGGGCGCGCTGCGGGAGAGCATGGAGGCGTGGGGCGGCGTGCTGTGGGCGCATCTGGACGATGAGGTGAGGTCGCTGGGAGGGCAGAATATGGCGAGGTACTGGACAAAGGAGGAGGTGATGAGGATGCGCTGGTGAGGTGTGGTGGCTGGAAGACATGCAATTGCAAGAGATGCTGTTTTATTATGAGTTTCAATCTGAGTCTATATGAGTAGAATGAATACACATGTCAGACGTAGGGCTTCATGGGCCCTCTTGTAGCTAGCTAGATAAAATGAAAGGACAAAGAAAAGAAAAGAGAAGAAAAAAAAAGCCTCATGGTCAAAGGTTCGCCGTGAAAACCAAGCAATGCTTTTATAATGCCATGAATTCATTCCATTCCCGGCTCGTCCCCGCCTTCGTCCTGCACGTCACCACATCTTGCATCTATATATATACGCCATCACCTTCCCCCCTCCTCCTCCACCTCTTCTCCCTCCCTCCCTCTCCCTACTCATCCATCTACGCCGTGCGGCGCCATAGATCCCTCATGCCGCCCGTCGCCGGGTACAGCGCAAACAGCGCGACCAGCACGTCCGGCAGCAAGCCGCCCGGCGTGCCCCAGTGCATCGTGAGCGGCGCCCACGCCGCATTTCTATAAAACGCCGTGCGCCAGTCCTCCTGCCACCTCTTCTCCTCCGCCGCCGCCGCCGTCGCCTTTACGCCGCCAGACGCCGACAACCGCCGCGCGCGCTCGGTCAAGTGCTTGACGACTTCCATGGCGACGTACGCGCCCCAGAAGCGCACGCTCAAGATGGCAAGACGGCCCTGGTTCAACGGCTTGATGGGCAGAATCTTCTTGCTGCCGAGGTACGCCGCGTTCTCGCAGACCTGGAACACGACCAGACACAGCGTCTGCGCCCACGCCACCAGCGCCGCAAACGTCTTTTCGGCCGACTCGTCGCTCAGCGCATCAGTCTGTTTCTGCTGCTTGCGTGCCGCGATGAGCCCCTTGACGGCCGAGTACAGCCCCAGCAGGCCCCAGAGGCGGCCCATGGTCCGCATCTCCGACACCATGCCCGAGTATGCCTGCAGCCGAGCGGCGAGATCCAGCACAAGGGCAATGGACCTCGGCATAGTCGCCGGCTTGAGCACGACCGACGTCGACGGCGGCAGCGAAAACAGCGCCGCGACGAGCTGCCGCGCCGAGGACCGCAGCGCGGCGCGCCCGCCAATGTCGAGCAGGTTGCCGGCGAGGCGGGTCGCGTAGCACGCAAACATGAGCACCGTGTCGGCGCCCGCGCGCGTCTGCATGCAGCGCTGGAGGTGCGCGATAAAGGCGTCGGTGCGGGCGAGCGCCGAGGGGGAGGAGGAGGAGGAGGCGGAGGAAGCGCCGTCGGTGCGCCGAGGCCGAGGTGTGGATGCGGCATCGGAGGGGCGTGCAGCGGTGACGGCGGCTTTTTCGCTGGGCGTGGTTGAGGGCAGGACGGCGAGCGGCTCGACGGGCGCGAGCGTCTCGCTGGCTGATTCGGACATGGCTGCTTTGTGCGTGTGCGTGTGCGTGACGTGCGTGTGTTGTTGATGTTGTTGTGTGTAAAGGAGGGAAAGCTGATCAGGTTGGACTTGTGTGGTGCGATGGGATGGGGTAGGCAAGCGGCGTTATTCGGCCAAGATACGGAGGAACCCCAAGAATGCAATATCCCTCGCGAAACCACCGAAATTGCTTTCTTATTATTCGTCTTATTCAAAGACTTGTAAAAGTCTTGGAATTGAGTCTTTAAAGAAAAAAAAAAACCTGTGTGAATATGAATGGTTTAAAAAGAAAAGCCCGCTACCCCCCCCCTGGGCAAAGCAAAGCCGTCGGTCGGTTGCGCACGTCGAGTGAGTGATCAAGACCACGGCCGAGCAAAGCCTCGGCAAAAACTTCCTAGTTGAGCTTCTTAATCATTTTTAGCGAGCGTTTTTGCCCAGACAGAGTGCCCCAGTGGTTAAGGAATACTTGACATCAGATGGCTTTGGCCGCGCAGGTTCGAACCCTGTCTCCGTCGTTCCGGCGGAGTGTCCGAGTGGTTATGGAGTCTGACTTGAACGTTTCCTGCTCTGTCGATTTCTTTTTTTCTTTTTTGCCCCTGAGTATAGATTATTGTAGAGGTACGGTACTGGCAGGCTCGTTGGAGAATATTTATCCGTATCTAAAAAAAATTCCTGGCAAGTATTTAGGTGGCTAGGTACTACGTATGTTAGTTCGCAGCGCCCACCGCCGCCTCCCCCCCACAGCTTGGCGGTGTTATATAGCTCGGATTCTATCCGGACGTATGTACGGACGTCGCCGATTCACGACGGCTGCAGGGGCAGTGAATGTTGTTGATGAATTGATGGCTTGGTGTTTGCCGTGCCTTATTAAGAGTCCATGACAAGCCTTTTGGCGCCCGCCCTGTCGTTGCCCAGGCTCAACAGACAGACAAATGTCAGCACCCTCAACTACCCGGCTTATTTCCCATGTATATACTCAATAACAGCTCAGCTTTTGTGCCGGAAAAAAAACCCAACGGCCTTTTTTTGTGAAGATGAGCAAAGACTAGTGCTGTGCACAAGAGTCCGACGCTTACGCTATCTTCACATGACTGGACTGGAGGTCTGGGATTGACCAAGGACCCTCGGCCAAAGAATATTGATAGGAAACGCTTCATACCACCGACTAGCCACGCTGCCTTTCTAAATGCGCAACGTGTGACCACGCGCACATCCATCAAACGCTACTCGGGACCTGACAGCATCATAAAATCAACGCCTTGCATGCGAGCCGTCTATTGGATATCCTAAAAACACTCTGTGCTATTCAGAATGATGTATAATACATGATTTCTTTCTCATTTTCAGCAAGAAACAAAACAGGCCGCACTGGCATCACCTCCCGACGCCAACTTTTTAACGTGCCAACCAAGGACCGCTTCTATAACCCGCCGAAAACACCCGCAAATTCAATCATGCGTACCTGTCTCAAACAAGATCCACCAACAAGAACAAAAGTGCACACAGAATCTCACAAGGATATACACACTGCTACCTGCCTTGTCAGCGTCGGCTCCTCTTGGCGGCTCTCGGCGGCGGTACGGGTGGCACCTCCATCGCCTCCCTCTTCTTGGTCTGCTTGCGCAGACGAGGCGGCGGCGGCGGATCTGCGTGCAAGTGACCAAGCTCTTCCAGCGCCATGCTATTCTCCCACCGCAGGCATCGATAGTTGCGCGGCTCCGGCGTCTTATCTCGGATCCGCGAGCTGCTGCGCTTCGTCGGCGCCGATTCTTCTCTGCCTGCCTCTTCCTCCGCGACTTTGGTCAGGTACTGCTGGCGCTTTTCCATGTGCTCCGCAATCTTGTCTCTGAACGTGACCAGCTCCTTTCGAAGACGCAGCTCGTTGAACCCTCGCGGATCTAGCCAGTAAATCAGCTGATCCAAGCTCTTCGCATCGGCAATGTAGGCCCATTGGTGAGCGCTCTCCAGGCTCGTACCGCCTTCCTCCTTGTTCTTGCGCTCTCGAATTGTCATGTTGAATTTGGCTTTGTACTCTTTTTCGAGGTCCGGCGGTACGTCGATGTAGCCTTCGCGCTCCAGCTCGTCAGGCCCCTGAATCCACAAGCGTCCATTCGCGTAGCCGGCCTTAGCAGTTGAGCTAGTTGGCAGCCCACCATAGGGCATGCCATTGCGCTCAAACCAGTAATATCGATTCCAGAAACGATCCCTGCCCAGAACACGTGTGCGTGGGCAGTCTGCCTCGCGGAGGTCATTCTCAATCGTTGCCACTTCTGCCTCGCATTCCTTGATAAAATCTTCTTTCTTTTGAATCTCCTTAAGCAGCTTGGTGAACTGCTTCGACTGGTGAGACGCCTTGGCAGCTTCTTTCTGTACCTTTTCTTTGGCCTTGCGCGCTGCCTCCTGCTCTTCTCGCTTCTTGCGCTTGTCAACGACCTGACGACCTTGGCGCTTTTTCTGCGACTTGTCGTCGTGACTGGGCTCAGCTTCGTCGTCGCCTTCTTTTTCGGTTATTGTGTCGTCAGCCCCGTTCATGCTCTGATCTCCATTCTCCTTGCCCTGTTCCTCTGCGGGCGGGTTCTCGGGAAGTAGAGCCTTGCGCTGTTCGTTAAGTTGGCGGAGCTCCTCCGTTGCTTGCTTGCGCTGGCGCTGCCACTCAACCCTGTCCTTGCGATACTTGGTCATGGTATCGTTGCAGTCTTCCATGTAGCCGCGCACAGCCTTGGTCTCCATGGTCAACATGCACAAAATCTGCAAGATCTGTACTCTCGTATTGACATTGAGCTCGGCATACTTTTGGCGCGCAGCATCTTGCGTAGGGTCTGTATCGGCAGGAATAATCTGCAAGAGCAGGTCCTGATATAGCTGCTGGTTCTTCTCGCCCTTTGACAGCTGATGTAACAGGCCGACAACGATGCGCTCCCAGCCGCCATTGGTAAAATCTCGTTTCCGAATATGCTCCACCCAGTCGAATTCCTTCATCATTTCTTCGGCGCGCGTCTTGGACTCGATCTCGGCCTTGAGAGTTTCTTCCTCGGCAGCGGCAGCTTCGGCAGCTATCCGCTCGGCTTCTTGCTTGGCTAGACTGCTGCGCGTAGCTCGTTTGACGGGCTTCTCTTCGGGCTCTTCCTCTTCCTCTTCCTCCTCTTCTTCCTGGTCGTTTTCTTCGTTTTCGCCATCCTCGTCATCACTGTCGTCCTCTTCGATTTCGGGCAATGTGATGCGAACTTTACCGCCATCTTGCTCAGAGTCTACCAAAATCTTGAGTACTGAACAGTGGATTTCGTGAAAAAGTTGTACAGCGGTGCGTTCAGAAGCGACAGACATGGCTTCGACAAAGTCATCAAAGGTAAAAGAGTCAAGCTTGAAGATTTCGCAGTACACATTGAGAGTATCCCAAGTCTCCAGCAGTGGGCCAACAGACTTCATTTCCACGTATTCCCTTAGCGGGTCATCGTTGCCCTCGTTTGAGGGTGCATCGCTGCACATAAATTTAACTGCCGGCCGTTGAAGCTCGGTGCTGGGCTCGAGCTGCAAGTCTTCGATGGGATATTTTGGTGGAGGAGGTGGAGGTGGAGGAGAGGGTTCGCTTTTGATGCCAGGCTCCGCGCTGCCATTGACAATCCCAGCTGGCCACTTGAGTCCCTTACCAGGTGGAGGCTTGGGCTTGATGCTCTTGGCCGGCTTCAGTTCAGGTAGTCGTGCTGGCTGGGATGCGGCATGGCCATTAATATCGGATGAGCGCTTCTGGGCTTGAAGCTGCTTGCGCTCCTGGAGTTTGGTGTCGTAGCGCAGATGGGGAGGTATCCGGGTGTCGATATGGTACTGCGCAGCATATTCCTGCTTCACGAGCCAGGGCGCACCGGTCCATGCTTCGCGCATCACAGTCTTCTTGAGGAAGGCGCGTAGCATGGCTTTGGTGAACACGCCCCGATCGCGTGAGATGTTCTCTTCGGTGACGATGACTTCATGGTCGGTGCGGTGGGCGTCAACCAAGTATCTCGTCGAGGGTTTCGTGCGTGTCCCGTCGGCTAAAAGGCGCTCGCCAAAGGTTGTCTTGTCGCGGACGAGGCCATGGGTTCGCTCACCGCCTTGGCCCGTAATGGTGACCTCCTCGCCGGGATAGTAATCTTGTTTGAATTCGTCATAGATTGTGTCGACGAGATTATCGAGTCGCGAGACGATTTGGAACTGCACTCTGCGGAGAATGGGGCCTTTGAGTGCTTCGGGGAACGATTCTTCGACTTCGCGTGCGCCGGCGAGCTAGAGACGGGTTAGAAACGGACACGATTCGTTTTTGGCTATACCAACTTCGCTTTCGTGTGCTTCGAAAAATGTGAGGCCTGAATGACCCGTTATTTGATCATTGAAGCGACGCTGTATATATTAGTGGCGGGTCTGTGTCGTCGGCAGGATGCGCGCTGTACCTGCTTATAGAAGTCCATGCTAGACGGTGTTAGCGTGATTCAACGATGCTTTCAGACCATTGGGTGTTTCTGTGCTCACCGATTCAAATAATCTTCATACGTGGCGAATATTTCACCCGTCTGGGGAATGTGCCAGACCTGCGTCGCGTCAGTTGTCGTACGAAACATGCATGTGTGACCATGGTATCAAGCAATACCTCTGCATCTTCATCTTCAACCTCTGCCGGAGGAAGGAACTTGACAGGCTTGCGCTTGAACAGGACCTGGAGGAAAGAAAAGTCAGTCGGCCGAGTTGGTGGGCGCGTGGTGTTGTAGGTCTCGAGAGCTCGCATGAACACGGTCGTGTTCGGAGTGCGTACCATGGTGTCAATCACCCACGGCGGCCGAGTCGCGCCTATACGTGCGCAGAGCAGACGGCGAGGTGCAAGTTGCTTAGACTGCAATGAATCTTGTTGTTGGAAGCGCGTCTTGCGGGAGCGTAATGGCCACAGCCTCAAGTGCCGTGCAGAGGGGGGGCGACGTCAGGGTTGTAACGCGCCGGAGAAGAGCGAGAGTAGCCGGTGCCGCTGGTCGGTGGACGTTGGCGCGCGCTCTGTGTCGTCAAGTCGGACGAGGCAAGTAAAGCAAAGATGTATATAAGCAAGAGTGCGGTCTCTGGTGGGACAGATTGATCGAGCTGCGGCGTTTTCGATTATGTAGGAATGAAAAAGAGTAAAAAGGTCAGGTGGAGACTTTTTTTTGGCTGTGTAGTGGTGTTGTCGTCGGTCGGGGGGCGAGCAGGAGGAAGAAGGTGGATTTTGGCTGGCCCTTTTGGTGGCCCTGGTGGGAGCGTGCGAGACACGGCAGACTACACGACGCACCACGGGTGCGGGTCGATCGAGGTGACCTCACTTACACGACGCGGAGGAGGGTTTGTAGATGAGAGCGATATGTCGGGGTGAAGGGGACATTGGTGATGATGTAGTTGGTATAGTGTTGATGATGGTGATGGTGAGGAGGAGAAAATAGAGCCAACTGGGAGGGGGAAAAGGAAGAAAACGCAAGCGACGGCAAAAGACTGTCGTTGATTTTAATTTTCTGGGCGGGCAGCTGGCAACACAAATACCTAGCCTGGCAGCTGGCGGGCGGCGCGTAGAGACCAAACGGGGCGGCAGAAGAGGTATCGTTACAGGCAAAAATGGTGCAATGGTACTTGCAGTCCATGGTAGATTAGTTTTGACGAGTGACAAAGCCGGCCTCGCCAGGAAGGGAAACTTGCACTAAGTTTTGTGGGGGCCGAAACTGCCAGGTACCCAGGGGGTGTGCCTCCGTCGACGACTGGTCTGAGTTGTGGTGTATTGCTGTACGAAAACTCCATTAGAAAATGAAATAAAAATTGCGACACGCTCCTTCGGTCATTCTTATAACTTAGAAGCTCAAAGATCTGGACTGCAGCCCACCGACGCGTCGTTATCCTGCCCGCCTCTCTCTTCCTCTGCCGCCCTCCCAATCCCCCAGGTACGACAAAGGTACTTATAACCCGGCCCACCCGGCTGCGCCGGGGCCAACCCCGTTCCCTCTCACTGCCCGTTGCACCACCTCGACGCTGCCTCGCCATGATATTGCCTCTTTGCACCGCGACACGCGCTGCCGTTATGCTCTTATTTGGGCTCATTCTGTTCGCAATCTGAAGGAGAATTGAGACGACTATACTATTGCCTTTTTACCGATACAATATCCCGCTCACTTCTGCCTCTGCACCTCCCATCTTGTTCCGTCATCTCCGCCAACACCAGACTTGGCCGCTGGAGCCCGGCAGGGCTGGTCTTTAGCGGCCCCTCACGGCAATACTTTTCGAGTTTCTAGACCGGGAAATTTCATTCATCAAGAAACTCACTCACGATCAAAAAGTCTTTGCTGCTACCGGATCTCGTGTCTTTGATTCAGAGTATCGCATTCAATTCCATCGAGGGACTATAACCGTCTCCCAACAGCAACATGGCCACCGTGATTGAAAACGAGACGCGTATTTACCGAAAGAAATAGTCCATTTCGTATACGTTGGCTATTCTGATAAGTTTGTGAAACGGAGCTCCTATTCCCCAAACCTATCCTCTCCTTAGACAAACACGGGCCACTTGAACCCCGATCTCTTCGCCGCCGCTCCAGCGACAACCGCCATCAGCGCCGTATACGCCGCCACGTCCAGAAGCCGCTTTCCCTGCGCGAAAAGTAGCCGGTAGTTGATTCCATGATACATATCTATAAATGCCATGCTACTGTTGAGGTGCGGCGTCTCCTCGGCCACCAGATTGTCGGGCACCTCGCGACCCAGGAACGCGCACAGCGGCGTCCACCCCTCCCGCACGTGGTACTCGAGGAGCTTTCCGGGCGGAGCGAGAGCCCGCACTCGGGCATTGTGCTCCTCGTAGACGCGCCGCCCATTGCTGACGAAATCGCCTTGGAACAGCATTCGATCGATCGTCTGGAACATGGGCTTCACCCACCGCGTAGGCATCAGCAGCAACCAGTCCATCATCGAGACAAATGGAGTAAGAGGGCTGTCTTGGATGGGACGGATAGTTCTTGAGTAGGAGCTGTCGTGAATCGTCAGCAAAGAGACGCCGAGTGGCCATGTACTATGCGGGTCCTTGTTGCAATAGGGGGAAGACGTACGCAAACCAGCTTTCCGTATCTCGCACAGTCAAAATAATTTTGGCATCAGGATACGCTTCAATGAGTTCTTCGGCAAAGTAGGCCGCCGGCATGTCCAAAACAGCCTAAGAAACCGGGCAGTCAGTAAAAGTTCACGAGGCCTTAGAAGCGGGGGTATTTGCCAGCAACTAACCTGACAATCACCCAAGATGCGGTCTAGATCCTCGCGCGTCACTCTCCCACCGGCCGCTTTCTTCTTGAGTAGATTATACCACAACTTACAATCGTTCAACCTGGTCGTAATGGCGCTCACGGTGTGGTACACCTCCCAATAGCCCAGTGTACGAAGCGACTCGCGCAGTGCTGTCATGATTCTTCTTCAGCTATGCTCATTTTCTGCCAAGTTCATGACAGCCAACAGGAGGGGTATTAACATACATACGGTTCCTGTACGGCCCATTCCCAGGCACAAAACCTTCATCGGAACCGTTCGAGTCGTCGGCGCGAAGGCTATCGCTTTGGAGTCTAGAGCCGCCATGGTGTACCTGTCACTGTCAGCGCCTGATACAACACGGGAGGTTGTCAATCATAAACATACAGCTAATTCTTGGGGGAAACTCTAAGATTAGTCTTGAGCTGACACAGGTTTGAAGGAGGAGAAATCATCCGCGGGGTTCGTGTCACGTACATGTATGCATGCCGGAGGGCGCGGCGCTTTGCTGCATCTCTCGTCATATATTGCCTACATGCAAACAAGGTATCACAGAAACGAAATATGTCAATTGCAGTGATCCGCTCGGAATTGCTCAGGGTCCACCACTGTGCAACCCGAAACTCGTCACACCAGAATAGTACACTCATCTCACTGCTACCACGAGATGGTAAAGGAAACCTCAACCACGGCAAAAGTTTCGAGAAAAGTCCAGAAAATCGCTTTTGTGAAATTGCTCTAGTGATTCTATAGCTTATAAATGACAGATGTTATGATGTAAAGTACACGACCATGTAGGCCACCCAGCTTCCCACCACGCCCACTGCCGTGTAAACGCTGGTCAGCATTAGCGGAAGAAACTCAAGGCGCTGGCCAAAGACGAGCTGGTGTACGAGCGATGTGTAGACGACGAGCGGGATACATAGCGCAATATACAGCGTGTTGAAGCGGTCGAGCAGGAAGGTGCGCGGCTTGCTGGATGCTGGCGTCAGCCTGTCAAAGGCTGTGAGGAAGATGACCAGCCACAGCAGCGTGTAGACGGTCTTTATGGGGAATTCGGCTGGCGTGAATAAAAGAGGAAAGAGCGAGACGTGGCCCGCGACGGCTAATGGCCGAAACGTGGAGAGGTGTCGCCTGTCTCGCAGCGCGATCAGACTGAAGGGAATTATCACGAGCAGAATGGCCTTTTCATGTACGTGGTAGCCAAATAAAAAGGAGGCGTATCCGCAGAGTGTTGTCGCGCCGATAAAGTTCTCCCATGTCGGCTGCATAAAGAGCTTAATGAGTGGGAGCGCCTGGAAGAGCAACGTCAGGGCAAAACAGGTGCTGGCGCTGATCTCGGGGAGTACGGCAAAAGAAGTGTCGCCGACCAACCCGCGGGTAACGCTCTGCAGGGCGTCTGCCTTGATGTCGAGGCCGAGCCTTGGGGCAACTAGGCGGGTTAGCGCAGACCGGCAAGCCGCGTGTCTGATTAGCAAATACTCACGGACAATGAGGGCGCGGTCAGCGAAGGAATACAGCGCCCAGACATTTGGGGCCCAGTACGCATGACACAGTCCTCGCGCAAAGGGAAACAGTCGGCTCAGCATCTGCGGCATCTGCTTCAGAGCGGCAAACGGACCCAGCGCGGCCGCCACAATTGCCACAATGCCACCGCCCAGCTTGACGCAGTTGGCGAAGCGGATGCTAAAGATGGACTTGGACGACAAGCAGTAGGCGCGCAGCAAGTAGACAAAATACGCCAGGGCGAGATAGACGTAAATGTGCTTGAAGCAGAGTAGAGTCGCAAACGCCAGGCCGCTGCCGAGCAGCGTGTCCTTGCCGCGGGCCAGCACGAGTGACAGCACGAGGATGCCATACATGAATCCGTTGTACTGAAAGTGGATGTGGTCGATGATGAGTAGACCCGGCGACAGCAGGACGGAGAGGGCGGCGGCCTGCGCGGCGCGGCGCGAGGCCAGCGGCGACGACTCGACAAACAGCTGCAGGGCGTAGGCGAGCAGCAGCTCGGTGACGACGACGGTGGCGCGCTGAAAGTAGACGGTCTGCCAAGTGTCGTGCTCGAGGTTGAAGACGCGCACCATGGCCGGGTCGGCGAGGCGGGCCATGTGCGACATGAGCCACTCAAAGTAGGCAAAGAAGGGCGGGTAGTCGAGCGTCCATTGCGACGTGTCCTCGTAGTACCACTCGGAGAGGGGGAGGCTGTTTGTGATGGCGAGCCAGTTGCGGTGGACTTCAAAATCGGTAGATTTGCTAAATATCAACATGTTAGCAAATTTGTTGAAAGACTTTGCTGAAAGTCTTGACGACTGCCGTCCGGGTCTTCGTACTAGGCGGGGAACAGGAGAATCTTAAAGGCGGCCGCAACCAACGCGCACTGCGTGATGGTCGGGTACGTCGTGTCGGACATGCTGAGTCAAAGAAGAAAGAAGGGGTTTAGGATATGCGTGGCATGGCAGAAATCATTGGATGTGGACAATGCCGAGCCGAGATGCGCGGCGTAAAGCTTGGAAACGGGCAGAGAGCAGCTGTCACCAAGACGAAGCTGGGGATGTTTTTTGTTTGCAGTAATTAGCTTAGTTAGTTAGCGTTAGTTAGCAGCACCTCCACGGCCGGCAGCTTATCGATAGTCCACAACGCGCCGCGATCAGATGCAAGCTCATGTCTCTCTGATGCGCCCTGATTTTCTTCCCTTTTCTATCAACAAACCGGCTGCTTTTCCCTTCAATTGTCAATCTCATCGCAGAGAATTTCTCTCTTTTTTTTTCTCCCTCTGCGCAGCAATTTTCTCCCTCGTTTGTAACTTGTTCCAACCTATCCTGGCGTTGCTTCCCCGCCACTCCACCAACCCCTGTCACCGGCAGCCTCCAAAGTGTCCTCTCCCCGACTTTCAACCTTGAAGAGGGATTGCACCACATTCTCCGTCTCGACATTCAGTACTGACCATTGGGTCCGCTAAAACTGCCGAGTGGAATATTGGTGGAAACTGTATAATACACATCACCTTCCCTCACTGCCACGGAACATACGCAGCATCTCGCCACCATGCGCACTGCCGCCGTGATCCTGGCAGCTCTCGCTGCTGGGCTGGGCCAGGCACAGTATCTCATCAACGAGCTTAGCTTTGGCATAAATTCCAAGTCCGTTCTTCTATCCCTCAACCTGGCTTGATTGCCGACACCTAACTCCCTCATCCCGATTTCGCCTCACATCCACTAACGACCATCATAGAATCAGCCATGACGAGTCCCCCGGTACTATCCCGCACTATCACGTCAACGGGCAGCCCAACCGTCCCGATGTGCTGTCCAACAGGGTCATCCTGACGCCCATGGGCATTGGGAACCAACGCGCCTCCATATGGGGCGAGCGTACGCTGCAGCGGAGCGACTGGGTTGCCGACATTGACTTTCGCGCCAACGGCCCCGAGCGCGCCTCGGGCAACCTCAACATCTGGCTTGCCAAGGACGGCCGCACCACCATCCAGGAGAACAGCGTCTACACCGTCGGTCGCTTCGAGGGTCTCGTCCTCGTCATTGACCAGTACGGCGGCTCTGGCGGCATGCTCCGCGGCTTTCTCAATGACGGCAGCAAGGACTACGCCCACCAGGGCAACATTGACGCCCTCGCCTTTGGCCACTGCCAGCTCACCTACCGCAATCTGGGCCGGCCGTCGCAGATCAAAATTCACCATGCGAACGGCAACTTCAAGGTCGATATTGACGGCCGCAAGTGCTTCGAGAGCGACAAGATTGTTATTCCCCAGGGCTACACTTTTGGCGTCACCGCCGCGACGCCCGAGAATCCCGACTCCTTTGAGGTCTTCAAGCTCACCGTCATGAGCGAGACCGTCGACCCTCGTCACTCCCAGCAGCAGCAGGGCCAGGGCAACAATAACCAAAATAGCAATCAGCAAGCGATGCCCGGTGGCTACGAGAATCCCGCCGATGCCTTCAAAAAGATCTTCCCCGACGAGAGCGCCGACACCTTCCAGACGTCGGCGCAGCAGTTTGCCGACCTGCACAACCGGCTGCAGTCGACATACCACCAGCTGGCCGCCGTCTACCGGTCGGTAACGGAGCATCACGCCGTCGATGAGCAGCGCCACAGGGAAGTCCAGGACATGGTGCGCAACATCCGCGCCGACCTCCAGCGCCTGGACAAGGTCGACAGCCTCCAGCGCACCGTCGAGGCCCTCCAGCGCGACGTCAGCGGCCTGCGCGACGCCCTCGACCGCCGCATCAGCTCCCACGAGACGAGCTTCCGCGGCGCCCTCACCGACCACCACCGTCTACTCTCCGAGCGCATGGCCGACAGCATTCCCGGTCACGGCAAGCTCATCTTTATCATTGTTGGCACACAGATTCTTTTCGCGGGCATCTACATTTTGTACAAGCGGCGCAAGATGGCTGGACCCAAAAAGTATCTGTAGGATAAACAGTGAGCGAGAAAGAGAAAGTAAGGTGTACACAACTGTGTGTGGATCTATTTTATGCGCAAGGAAAGTGGTACTTTTTTATCGTCTGGCGTCATTTGTTATGTTCAGTGTCTATCGAAGCAAAGTCGGGAATCGAAGTGACTCGAGATGGGAAGAGACCGGGGCGGTTGCCACGCCGTGTACATTTTTAGGGTCTAGAGAGTAAACGCGAAGGAGGCTATAAATTGTATACAAGTTACTGCTCATTGGTATATATATACTGTACGCTCAGCTATCTAATAGCCACCTGATCATTTCCACAAAATGCCGCTCGTCATTATAAACTAGAAGCCCCATGTTTAGTTGCGAGGCTTGGATCCATCGCGGCCATTAATCACGTCCAGCAGCTCTTGGCCCTTGGGCGCCGTCGTCAGATTCTCGTAGCCATTCTCCGTCACCAAGATGCAGTCCTCGGTGCGGCTTCCACCCACAGGGTAGTATCTCTCAACGACGTCCCACTCAATGAGCCTCGAGTGGACGGGGTCATTGCGGAAGAAGCCCTCTAGGTACTCACGATTAAAGTACAGGCCCGGCTCAATGGTGAGAATCATGCCTGCGCGCAGGACTGTGCGCTGTTTCTCCGCCGCCGTCGCGCTGAGGCTGTTCATGGCGAGGAGATTCTCCGGCGTCACCATAGTGCGCTTGCCGCGCTTGAATGCCCTGACCACCGACTCGGCGGCGCGCGACATCAAGAGGGGTACGTCACCGTCAACATCGTGTACCTCGAGACCGACGTGGTGGCCGAGACCGTGTGTGAAGAAGGCAGACACGGTGCCGGCGGCAATGAGCTCCTCGCGGGTGCCACGCAGGATCCCGAGCTTAAGAAGGCCGTCGACGGCAACATGGCCGGCGTGCTGGTGAATTTCATAGTAGAGCTTGCCCGGCTTCATGAGCGCAATGCATTCGTTTTGCATGCGTGCGACAACGTCATTGATGGCGGCCGCGCGAGGAGAAAACGACCCAGAAATGGGGAGGGTGCGGGTTATGTCGCTGGCGTAGCAGCGGTACTCGCATCCCGCGTCGAGGACAATGGTGGCGTTGCCCTTGAGCGGCGCATTGTTGGCGCCGTAGTGCAGGGTCGCGCCGTTGGCGCCGGCGCCGGCAATGACCGGATAGGCCTGGTTGTGCGCGTCGCGGGACGTGCAGACGGCCTCGAAGACGGCCTGCAGCTGGCTCTCATTGTTCATGCGTCGCAGAGACTGGGCGACGCGGCGATGCGCCGCGCTGGAGATGTCGTTGGCGCGACGGACCAGGGCGATTTCGTACCGGTCCTTGACCTCGCGGGCGCGGTTCATGGCCGGCTTGAGGGCCGTGGTATCGATGCGGGGGCCATCGGAGGAGCGGGCGCGGAACGACTGGTGCTGGACGAGCTGGGGCGGGCGCTGGTCGGGGTGCAGGGCGTAGACGGTGCTGGCGGCCGGGAGGCTGGTGATGTAGCCGGCGAGGTCGCTGATGTAGTGCACCTGATCGGCGTCGTACAGACGGGCGGCCTGGGCGGTAGACGGGGTCGACCCGAACCAATGGCTCTTCTTGGGCTCGGTGTAGGGAATCCAGAGGACGAGAGTGTCGGCGCCGATGTCGTAGGTGACTGTGCAGCCCGCATAGTCTGCGCCGGAAAGGTAGTAGAAGCTGCGCGTGTTAAAAGAGATTTCAATATTCAAGTACGATTTATTGAACCTACTATCTATGCTGGCGGAATTTGGGCCCTTGATCAGAGTCGGGAAAGCGGCGCTCCTGCTCACCGACGAGATAGATGATGCCCTTGTCGACGCCCAGCTCCTGGGCTACTTTGCGTGCATGGTTCTTGGCTGAATTGGTCAGTTTGGGCGGGCGCAGTGGGTAGTAAGGTTTCCAAGAAGTTGATATGTACCGGGATATTTTCCGCTCAGAATCTCGTCCAATGATTGCTTCTTGTCGAGAGAGCTGTCATGTGAATTAAGTCAGTCAGTCAGATTGGCATGTCGTCATTGGCAAACCAGTACGACACGCGGGCGCGAAGCACTAAACGTACATGGCGTCGAACTCATCCTCGAGGATGAAGTCGTAGTCAAACTCCCCAGCTTCCATTTTTGCAACGAATTTCCAGCAAGGTCGCGTGCTACAGTGATGGAATTTGAGGATCAAAGGGACAGCTTGTAGGATGGAGAAGGGAGATGTGAAGCTGCAGTCCAGCTTGTCTGAAAATAGTTGCGGGGGAGCGCTGATCCGCCCCCCACAGTCAACCCTCAACGGTATCACGTTGCCATGCGCCTGATTATCTTTGACCTTGTTGAATATTTACCGAAAAAGGCTCACGTCGTTGTAGGCATACTATAGAAGATGGGTGAGCCGGAATTTTCTACATAATGGAAACCGCCCTATGTAATGCAAATCATGACAACCTCCCTCGCTAGTGGTAAAGACTATCGTGGCTGGAAATAGCGGAGTTGCCTGTAAATGGAACCAAACTCTGACTAACTAGGTAGTATATATTTCATATAGAATATTCCGTAGTTGAATAGGTAGATAAATTTCCACAGCTATTATTAATAATCATCGCATCTGTGTACAATGCGAGCACTTCTCTGGTATCTTGGGCTGGCCTGAGGTTTCTGTCTATAATTTATGATACCCCGAGGGTTTACCCTGCCGTTTAAATAGCAGCCTATGTCGACGTGAAGAGAAGTCCAATTTGGTGGACAATTATAAGCCTGTCTACACTGACTGTAGCCCAGCTTATACCCAGGAGGGATGCATTTATGGCCGTTCCCACTACGCATCACATCCTATGCCGATAAAATCTTGCAGCAAAATGAGCTTCTGGAAATGAGACTATCCTCGCCGATTTGACTTCTACTCTATGAGCTCACAGAAGTGGTATTCCATCCATTCATTATCAACTGCACTAGTTCTGCCAAAGGCCGTCGGCCCATCACATTGCACCATTCGATTCTTCAACTTGCGGAAAATATCGTCTATATGCTCTCCCGCACCTGAAAGGTGCAAGATGTGTCCGATAGCGCGGTGTCGAGCGAGGAGGCGTGGCGCTTTGATAGGCTTTTAATACATAGTTTACAATTCGGGCATTAATCACTTGCAAGAAAACGATGTGTTGTTGCACTTATCTAGTACGACACTCAACGCTACATGGCGATTTTTGGCATCGTCAAGAGCGCTCATCTTTTCGAGCATCACTGGTTCACCACGGAGGACGGGTTTGCAAAGTCCAAGTCAATCTTGAAATAAAAGTGACATGTCACGATTGTGACTTGAGCTCATGACAGTGTTCCTAGAAGGCGCCCTTTCTCTCCCACTTGCGCCCCAGGTCGGTGATCCTCTCGCCGATGCCAGCGACACGGTCTCTGTGCTTGTTGCCACTACCCCCGCAGGCGCGTCTGGAAATAAAACCTCAGGAAAATCTGCGTATTCAATCATTTTTGCGCTCGTATTCGGTGGCGTCTCGTGGCGGCTCGAACTCGGCGTCCACGCTCGCGGCCCAGAAGCCATCAAAGGCGGTGCTGCAGGCCATGTTAGATTTCCAAAAAAGCCCCCCTTCTTCTCTTCTCTGATGGCATGTGCATATATAGTCGCAGCATACGTACCTTTTGAATCATGGTCGCTGCTCAATAGCGCAGCAATGTGGTTCACCCGCGCAGTACTGCCGTCCAACATTGCCCACGTCGTCAGTTGTCGCAGGAAATTCAGCTCGGCCAGTACAGCGGCATGGTGGCGGCTCAATAACGGTTCCTGGCGCCGAAACTCTGATGAGGCGCCCCAAACCCACTCGAGTTGACCGTGTAAAGATGTTCTTCTTCCGCGGTTGGCTTCGGGGCGGCATCTTTCTACAATGCACCGTGCTGCCGCCAGGCCGCGATTCGCTTGGTCGATTACGCTATTCAGTCGCTGCAATATCTGGGCGGGAGCCGCTTCGAGGAGTATGAGATGGTCATTGCGCAGAGAAATCAAATCCTGGAGATCTTTGTGGCAGGTTTGTACAAGTTCAAGGCAGATGCGAATCTCGTTTGGGACTCGGCCCGTATCTGTGACGGTGCTGAAAGCTGATCGCAAAGATGCAAAGGCTCTCATTTGAAAGAGCGTCGACAGCGTAAGTTTAGAGGTGCTTTTATTAGCTCTGGAACGAAATCAGGCATTGCTAAATAGTTAGTTCAGTAAGATGTGAGACAGCGTAGTAGGGTGCAGGCGTCCATGTTGGACAGATGGGCCTATCTACACGTACCATTGGCATAAAGTACCAATACTTTGGGTCGAAAACGCCAAATTCGAATGCTGACTATTTCGGGTTACGCCTGCATTAGTATTTATATTCAGGCCGGCTGGCTGCTTTGCACTCCACCCCGCGGAACAGAACTTACAAGGGTTAGAGCCTTGCGCTGCTGCTATTGTCATTGGCAGCAGGGGATAACACGGGGCTAATTGTCCTCTCATTTAATGATCAAGGCGCACCCGTCGCAACTATGTACACCCACTGTAGAACTTGGGCATTCGTCCGCTGATAATAACTTGCCCGGCGGCCGAGATGGAGCGGGGTGGGGGAAGGGTTCCGGGGAAGAGGGGGCTGACAACAATAGTAGACCTCCTGAGCCTTGCAGCGAATAATAGATTATCAGTTATTGCCTGACGCATATTACACATGGCAGTGTGGTTGCGAGGGTATTTTTCTCGTGATTCATGACAGCGCATTACTGGTGATGGGCACATCAAATAACAGACACGACCAAAATAGCACAAAGGAGTCTCAATTCCGCAATGCTCTTTTAGTCGTGGCGTTTTTCTTTGTTATCATGCCTGGTTGCCTGGCACTGGCCCCGGTTCCGTGCATGCCAGCTGTCAACCGAGGATGCTGCTGGCTGGCCGTTATCAGCGCTCATGATTGGGCCATTCCTTGTCGCCCAACGGGTCAGTTCTTTTTGCACAATTCACAACAGGCTGGATACTGGACGCACAAAAGCTGCACATATTAAATTCTTATTAAAACTTGGCCATCATCTGTTAAATCACCGCAATATTACCGTACCCGTCGACATATTGAACTTGGCGACTACCTATATCAAGTAGCCACCATGACAGGCTCAACTAGAATCTGGGGAAACGCGCCAAGAGAAGAGGTTGTGGGGGAAGGAGCCATGTCTCGGTCAACAACCACCTTGCGCAGACCAGCCTCGACCACCACGACTCCTCCTCGCACGGGATCCGGCTCAAAGATGAACGCCCAGTCACATGGATGAGAAAAGAGCATGTAGCCCAGCTTCGCACACTCCTCAATAACCGCCTGCAGATGGTCCACCTGCTGCTGCTGGTGCTGCTTGTCGACAAAGAAGCGCAGAAACGTGTTGAGCGACCTGGCCAGCTCCTGGGCCTGCGCCTCCACCGTTGCATCTCCGGTTGTGGGGAGAGGGGTTCGCTGGCTGCGGGCCGGATGGAGAAGAAAGGCCGACAGCTTGCGCCACTTTCGAAGAGCCAACTCATTTGCTGGGCGAGGTTAGAGTCAACTATTGTCAGCCCGTGAAAGAAGAGAGATTGTGCCAGCCTGTGTCTCGAACTGAGCTGGCTGGTGGTGGTTTGTCCCCAAGCTGGTTGCGGCCGAGGCCCTCGTGCATTGGGGGGGGGGAGACTGATGCTTACCTTGAGGGTCGCCGAGGCGGTCGCTTTCGGCTGGGGGAATAGCTCGTAAAAAGGAGGCGACTGGTGCGGGTAGCATTGACGGGCCTTGAGAAGAGTGTACGTCGATGCTGCTGAACAGGACTCGCATGATGGCATGGCGCAGGCCGACTTGTCGGCTGCGTGGATCAAGGCAAAGCGCAGTAGCGCCCTGAGCATCTAGGGACGCGGCGCTGCTGAACGGAAAACCAAGGTCGGCGAGAGCAGAAGCGGGAGCTCTCTGGTCGCCTGCGATTGGGTGGTGGTGGTAGTAGCTTTCGACATGTTGGTCGATGAGTGCGCCAATCGACTGGGTTTCTTGAGCAACATCTCTGTCCGGTGTGGGCTCGAGTAGGAACTGGCTCAGTTGCATGTCATTGATCGGGGCCCCTTTGCCCGAGGGATACACCTCGAGTTCATCATGTATGGCTGCGTGGTCCAGCGTTTTGCCGCGCTTTGCTGCTTTGCGCCTGAAAAGACAAGATGCAGCAAGGAGGCCAATGACGAGACCGACGAAAGCGCACCCAATCGCAATTCCAGCAACTGCGCCTGTTGAGATTCCCGATGAGGACGGCGAGACAGCCGACGGGGCCTTGGGGGTCGAAGTCGGGCGATTGCTTGTGACGGTCTCTGTATTCGATGTAGTAGTAGTCGTTCCGCCAGAAGTTACCGAGGTGTCAGGTGTCGGTGTAGCTTGTGTCGATGATGGGGTTGAAATTGACGTTGCAGTAGAACTGGCAGCGATGGTTATAGGGCCTGTGAAGCCTGGCGGCCAAGGCGCTGGTATTCCGTTGGCTAGATACTGTCCAAACGTGCCGGTTCCTGTTACAGTCGCGCTGGTTGCTGTCTGGTAAAGATCTCTCGCTATGGGAGTTATGGGGTTGACCACCCCTTTGCCTGCAATGGAAATCGACGTCAGAGTTTTCGGCCAGTCCACCGAAGTGCCGCCCGATTTCAGTATTCCGTATGCCAAATTTGGATCCGGCCCAGCAGCCCCATGAAATATTGAAATTGCAATCTCATAGACGGCAGACATTGTCAATGCATCGACAAAGCTTTGCTTTGCGATCAGTGCGAAGCAGGTGGGCGAGGGGGACGAAGAAGTCTTGTTGTTTTAAGACGTCGAGAGACAGGCGGAGGATTTCATCTGATGGTGTGTTGGGTGTGTATTGTACTTGCAAGGGCATGTGATATGCGTGAGCTATAAATTATAATGCATCAAGAGTGGATGTGCCAACATCCTTTGAAACCCATGTATTCAGCCACACATGCAAGGCGTACTGCAGGTATTGGCAACCAGTAGAGTCGGCACATATTTGCGCTCGGAAAAGAGTAGGCAGATGGAGAACTGTTAGCCGTGAAAAGGTACGTCCGGTGGGCATCTGTTCCGGTGACCGCAACCAGCGCTCCGGTTCTCTCGCGTCCGAGACAGAGTATCGTCAACCTTGAATCCATGCTGTCGGACATTGAGATGCCCAAATCGCTACGAAATGTCTCAACAACCGGACATTGTTGTCTCTATTGACTTTGGCACCACTTTTACGGGTAAGTTTGCAAAAAAAGTCGGTCAATTATTTCCACGTCTCTGATGATTGCAGGTGTTGGATGGAAGGCGCCACGAACACCAATCCAGGTAATCCATGATTGGCCAGGTAGTGGAGATCAAGGAGAGCGTAAAGTCCCAACAAAGCTGATTTACAATGCCGACGGTACGCTCTCATCCTGGGGCTACCTCTGCGCTGATGACGACGACCTTGACTACCAAGCAAACGGTGGCGAGCCTGCTGGCAAAACACGCTGCGAATTCTTCAAAATGTTTGTCGACAGTGAGAACTTGGTAGCTGCCCAGGACCAGGGCGTGGCTCAGGCCCCCAGAACAGTAGAAGAAGCGCGAAAGCACGCCACAGATTACCTCACGCAGGTGTATTACCACATTAAGAGATGCATTGAAGTTCAGGTCGGTCTGGGATCTGTCGCCGGTGGGTGGGCAAACATGGCTGTGAGTTTTCTGTTTAGTGTGCCGACGACGTGGACACGAATGGAAACGATAAACTCCTTCAAGGGCATTATACGAGATGCAGGATTTGGTGTGGAAGGTCCCAAGCATTCCGCACAAGTTGACCTGACAGAGGCCGAGGCGGCTGCGGTAGCGACACTCAAAACGAGTGCGCTTCAGTTTGATCAGGGAAGCCTGTTTCTCACTCTTGATGCTGGCGGCGGAACGACTGACCTTTCACTGATGCGAGTGACATCTACGGATGCAAATCATCCGCAAATGGCGCAGCTGGCCGCGGTCAAGGGTATTGGCATCGGTTCAACACTCATCGACCGCGCTTTCGTCCGACTAGTCGACCAGAGGCTCAACACCTGGCCAGACGTGCGTGACAAGTTGCCGGACAACTGTGCAATGAGAATGGCGCAAGGTCACTATTTCCGGACTGTCAAGCACAAGTTTGGTGAAAAAGTGTATATGCGAGCAAAGTTCAAGATTCAGATGGAAGGGGTCTCACACAACTTTAGTCATGCGGGACTTGGTATTGAGAATGGGCGAATGGTGTTTTCCCTGTAAGCGTGCCAAATCGAACTGATTTGGCGTTGTGCTAATGGGACTTTAAGACCGGAGATTCAGGAGCTGTTTGATGTCCAAATCGACGGAGTTTGGAAGCAGACGACCGAACAGCTAAACTGGCTCAAAGACAACGGCATTTCCGACCAAGTGGCACGTTGCATGAATCTCCTACCCTTTCTTAGATATTCGAGTACTAACAATCGGTCAAAGAAGTTTGTAATTCTCTCAGGAGGGCTGGGAAGCTCGGCCTATGTTCGACAGAGCATTCAGCAGCATCTTGTAAGCTTCCCACATCCAAACGCTACCAATGCAGTGGTTGTACCCTGCCAAGATCCCCAACTCGTCGTCGTTCGCGGCCTCCTACTAGACCACCAACAAAGAATGGAAACGGAAAACTTGTCTGTTCTGGCGACGAGGGTTGCACGTGCTAGCTACGGCATTGTGATGAAGGAAGCGTATTCGCCGGCGAAACATTTCGACGAAGAAGTCATTCGAGATCGGTTTGACCCTCGCCAGCGTTGGGCAGTCAATCAAGTCAAATGGATGATCCGAAAGGTAATGTTGTTTGAGAGCCGTTATGCATTGATTTGATGAATCTAATTCACTGTGCAGGGTGATCTCGTGGACCCGAACAAACCTTTGGTCAACCAGTTTGAGTTTCACCTGGCAGAGCGAGACACGACGCGAATATGGACCGCCGAGGTTGTCATATCTCCAAACGAGCCATCGTTTCTGCCGACCAGTTTAAAGCAGGGTAAGAATAAAGTCTACTTCGACAGATTCGATGCTAAAACTAATCATGCTCCAAATGCAGCTGGCGTCACAAGACTTTGCTCTGTGAGGAGCAACCTGGAGGGGGTCCAGCAGCACCAATTGGTGCTCAAACAGAAACGAGGCACGTGCTTCAGCAAAGGCCACAAGTTTTATATTTGCGAATTCGAGGTGCGCGTGATTGTGGCGCCTGCCGATTTGCAGTTTGAGCTGTGGTTTGGAGGCTACAAATTCTCGGGAAACCATGAGCCGGTAGGTGTCGTGTGGGATGAAGCTGGGGCTCGGGTCAAGGCCGAGTAGGGGAGCGCTACCTGAAGAATACAATTAGTAGCCAATAAAGGATGATAGATACTTATGTTTTCTTGCGGCTGTTTTTGCCATGTTCTTTCGGAGGTGCCGTGCGGTTCACTTTCACCACCTCGCGTTTGCAGCGTGAAGACTGCCACCCACATCTGAGAGTAGCGCATCGGGTAACCACACTTTCAACTTTGTGAACATATTAAAGCCATACATACTATGCCGCTCTGTTGACTATTGTTTCACTTCAATGTAAGGTAGTCCTGGATGCCTTGAGAGCAGGGGAAACAGTGTTTCCAGCGATTGAGCTCTAGCTTTGCAGATTTGAAAATTGATGTCTGCTTTGTTCTTGACAACTAACGGCTTTCTATCAGAGGCCGTCGTTTGATCTCTTTGCGTTTTGTTTGATCAGAGAGCTAGTCAGCAACGCTTACGTACGGCAGAGCTGTGAATCTTGCCGTTTGCTCGCCTCTTCGAATATGCCCCCTCCCGAGCTATCCATGCACTGCGAAAACTTAAAAGCAGCCTTGGCGAACAGTTTGAACTTATTCCAAACAAACTTCATCAACTATCCGAAATGTAGGCTCCTTTGGTGCATTGCTCATTCAGTCCTGTCACGGAGGCGTGCGAGTTCTCGCAAGATGCTCCGGTTGAAGCATTTATGCAGCAAGTAGCGACAATGTATGAGATGACTCAACTTCGAAACGGCCAGCTGGTACATGATCATTCCTCATCAGATTCTATCGTTGCCAGCTTCTCCGCTATGAGAGCAAGCCTGAGCGAGCCACATGCCACTCAGAGAACCTTGGTCTCCACGTCGTTAATGCCACTGCCGTACCCCCCTTCCGACCGCTTCATCGACGAGCTGCGCCCTATTTACATCAAGCAGATGCGTCTAGAAGAACACCACAGGGGCTTCAAGGTCATTGTTCGAGTTTTGACGCCGCCTATACGTTGGAACAACATCATCCTGGTAGTTGCTGAGGATGTGAAGGGCACGGCTGTGACTCTCCGACTATACCATGACCCTTCGGTTGATACTATCTCTCCAGAGGGAGTCATCAAGGTTGAGAGTGTGTTCCTCATCAAGGAACCTTTCTTCAGGTGTGCACCGGACAATTTTTATTCATTGAGGGTCGATCACATCAGTGATATCGTTTGGTTGGAGTCGTTTGGTAGCCACGTACCACACGTATGGAGAACGGCAGTCCCTGACATGAGCAGCGAGACAGTACGAATGCAAGGCAACGAAGCCGTGAGAAAAGGATTCTGGGCTGAAGCATTGCGCTTGTAAGTCTTTTGTCGGCGTCTGATCATGCTCTGGCAGCTAAATGACCGTGTTGCAGGTACACGGATGCCGGCCGATATGCTGTCACGCCTGAGGAAGCACAACTAGCATTTGTCAATCGCTCTCTTGTTAACCTGAAGCTCAACCGTCCGGAGCAAGCCCTTCTCGACGCAACCAAAATGAATGCGCAGATCTCGCCCACGGAAAAGGCAGTCTTCCGTGAAATAAAAGCACTCTACAAGCTCGGCTATTTTGAGCGCTGTCTGGAGCGGCTCAAGTATTTTACGGAGAAGTATCCCACAAATACTGATGCACAGTTGGAGATGAACCGCGTCAATGCAAGACTCCGAGAGAAGATTAACGGAGCCTTTCCATTTGCAAGCATGTACAAACAGGCCAGCCAGGGTTCGCCTCTTATTGATTGCGCCACATTCTCAGAGCCCGTCGAGGTCAGAGAATCTCCCGGGAGAGGGCGTGGCCTATTTATTGTCAATGCTGTTAAAGCAGGTCAGCTTTTGCTCTGCGAAAAGGCGTTTGTGTACAAGCAGCTCGATCTCATTTCTGCTTCCCGCTCAATTCTAAAGGCCCCCAGTGACGAGAAGTGCCCCTTTCCTGGAGGGCAGGTCGGGATCGTCGCGCAACTTAAACAGGGCTTGTATCACAATCCAGAACACTCTCTCCCATTCTTGCAGCTTCATCGAGGAGACTACAAGGCGGTCAACCGCCAGCGCGCAGATGGGAACCCTGTCGTTGATTCGTGAGTCAGGATCGTACAAAATAAACTGACGTGCTCAAAGCTGATTCATATATAGGTTTCTCGTATCCAAGATCGCGTCTCTGAACTGTTTTACGCCGCCGAGGACGTCTCTCGGAGCAATGTCGAAGGCATGGAAGAATAAGGAAAGCGCACACGATGAGAAGGACGACGCCGACTTTATCGGCATCTGGATCAAGGCATCATACGTGAACCACTCTTGTTTTGGAAATTGCCATCGTTCCTTCATCGGCGACATGCTGATTCTGCGTGCGGCCGCTGACATGGAGCCGGGAACGGAGCTCATGTTTGACTACCGCCAGCCTGAGCATAAAGTCAGCTACCGCCCGCCTCAGCCTAAAGAACTGGAAACGTACGATGACGTCCAACAGAGCCTCAAGGACTGGGGTTTTACGTGCGAATGTGTGCTCTGTCGCGCAAGACATGCCACACCCGCAGCGCAGCTGAACAGGCGCAAGCTGCTTTTGAAGAGGCTGCGGGACATTCTTCCTATGCAAGGAGTCATGCCGCTTGCAGAGGGTGAAAAACTTCTCAAGGAGATTGAGGATACCTACACTGCCTCGTATTCCGCGGGAGTACCGCGCCCTGAGTTGTTGTCGCTCTGTGTCTCAATGGCCTCCAAGTATTGCCAGCAAGGTGATCTAAGAAAGTCTGTGAGCTTGCTCCTCCAAGGGTTGTCGGCGTTTGGCTACGACATCAAGGCTGTCTTGCCCACAATTGACAGCGCGGGCTCCGTGTCACCAACCGCTCAGTTCGAGATCAAGAGATGGGGCATGGCGGATGGCAAAGTGGTTGAAGCGCTGGTCTACCTGAGCATGGCCGCCACGGCAATAGCGCCAAGTCTTTCCCGGCGCATTCTATGGTACGCACAGACGGCTTACAGCATGGTAGTCGGAGAAATGGAAACGTTCCGGCAATCTTTCCCCAGGGCCTAATCACCGTCAACCTACCAAGTGGTAGCCTCAACCTTCGCCGCCATCAACGACACTGACTGTGTGGATGAGGGTCACGGCTCGTTTACAGCTGAGGTTTTGGTTTTCGATAATGTTGGTTAGAGGAGCAAGGTGGAAAGCAAAGACAAATTCGGAAAGTGATTAATTGATTAAGAGTTCATGTACCTATTCTAGGATGAGATCATAGCAGACAATTCACAACAGATGCCTCTCATTGACAGCATGGTGCTAGTAACACGCCGGTCAGCGGAGGGAAATGGGCTCAATAGCCCTCTCAGCAAGATTTTTTCTCATCCAATTGGCCGCGGAAGGCTCCAGGAACAGCCAGGCTGGAGTGGACATCGGCAAAGAACATGGAAGGGTTCTGTTCGATCTGGCGGACGTGGAAACCGTCGCCAGTGTCTTTGTTGCTTGCGTTGACACCCGTGACGAAAGGGCCTGTAAGGCAGCCAATGCTTTGTCGGGGACCATCACCAGAACCGATGGGGTTCGGAAAGGCAATACTGAGTAGCAAATCCTCATGTTAGCGACATACTAGTTCTCGCGGCGAGGTCGCCGAGTACAGGGCACAGCACAAGGTGGAAGATGATACATACCGAGGCGGGCCAGACTTTCCCACGGCGGCTTCGTGGATATGAGTAGCAGACCTGGCAGGTGACTGGTAGTCGCCGCGGAAGCCAGTGATGGTGATGTTGTAGCAAATCACATTCTCATTCGAGTTGATGCCAAATTTGAATGTGCCGCTGCTGCCCTGCAGGCCTCCAGTAAAGTTGTTTTGCGCGTCAACCACATTCTCGGGCTTGGCAATGACATTAAAAGTAGAGGTAAATGTAAAGGGACTGGGGGCCTTGTTGTCGTTGGTGCGTCTGGTAACCCCGTTGGTGTTGCCGCTCGGGACTGCAACAGCCTGTGCGACTGTCAAGAGGCCGAGGGCGCAGAATGAAGACTTCATGGTTGAGTATAGGATGTAGAGGCCAAAAGTATAAGTTTGTTCAGTCGAAGGTGGTAAGCGAGGGAGAATTTCAGTGAGTTTGAAAGGGACTTAAAGAATGATGTAGACTGCTCAGCCGAGAAGAAGCAACTGCAGAATAGCTGTATATTTATAGTTGATCAGCCTTGTGCCTCAGCTCAACTAGCTAGCAATCAACATTTCTTCGATAACTGAGTCTTCTAGCTGGCAAAGTTGAGTGTAATAGACTTGGATACGAGTCAGCCCACCGACAGCCAAGGCGCTTGGAGCGGCTGAGTTGACAGAAGAGAATGTATACTAACTGCCTTTGATCTCGCACATTCAAATCAAGGCTACCACAGATCGCTAACAGCGCCACGCCAAGATCAAAGACGTCAACATAAGTGATCTCTGCTACGAGTGCTACTGTGCGCATATCGTGCAGTCGTATGGCGTTGGCTCCCGTGCGGCTTACATGCGCTCCAAACATGACTTGGCCCTTTTTTTTTTCTTTTTAATTTTATAATATGGCTATGGGAATAACCATATGCCTTTGCAAATCTCAGTCTCAATATCAGGATGCTACATGATATATTCAACGTCGACAACAAGGCGAGCTTAAAGTGTCCTTGGCGCCAAGACGTGGAGGCGGAGTGGTGAGGAGCCGGGAGATTTACACTTGGCGCCAAGATGCGCGCAGCCGGAGAGTCGAGTATCCGAGCTGCTGCGGCCCAGATCGAGCCTATGAATGAGTAGGGCATGCTGGGCTATTTCCTACAAGGTTTCCAGCCCAGTTCAATTTTCGTATGCTTAATTGAAAGCTTAATCATAAACATATCGAGCCTGCAGATGCGTCTTGTGTTTTCGGTCGCGTTCGAGCGTTTTTGACCTGCCACATGCCGCCATCTTTCCTATTTCAGTACACATTTATGAAAATACGTTTGATGATATCAGACTCGGAGCTGGCACTCCGAGGTTGGCACCCTCAATTATCGTCTGTCGGTCTGTCGGTCGGCAGGGCATGTAATGCAATTCATCTCGCTCGATCCCTCGTCGACATTTTGAGTCATGAGCAGGTAGATGTTTGTTTCCTCGCCTAGCGGATTAAGTGGCTATTCAAACGTCAAACAGCCCATTCTTTGAAAAAATGCCCATCGCAAGTTTGGCGCTCAGTGTTGGCTCGTGGCAGCTCGTCGCAAGTTATGTGGCAAAACTACTGAACTTAAATGAGCTAGCGATGGCACCTAGTGGCGAAGCGTTTATTAATATCCCGGCGCATACCATGTAGGCTTCTAGCATCTAGTGCTGCAATTCTCTGTTGACTACTGACTGAATCTTGGTTAGACAGTCTTGGAAGCAGGCGGCTCAAAAGCAATGCAGGCCTTGGCGCTGCGTCATGTCATTGAAGACGTGATGTTTCTTTCCAGTATCTGTCCTTTGCACATATTACTCTTTCTGCTCAGTTTCAAAGTTTTCCGATACAGCTATCAAGGCTCTGCACTGATTCATACAGCTACGTGTTGCCACAGCTTTAGCTGTCTGCATCGCGATAGTCAAAGGAAGCACCAACACTCTGACATGCAAAATGTGACAGTTTTGAGGTTGCAACAAAACAACGACCACCTTTCTGTGCCCCATGTGCCTCTTCTTTTTCATCCAACAAGAGAGCTTACTCGAAATACCGAATCACGTCCACCGCCGGGATTCAATCCTCAAGCTGGTATACAATCATGTCCAGGAGCATATCAACAAACTCTCTCTGCTGACAGGCAGGCCTACGTGCTGCCACTTCAGCAATTCGATTGTCAATCGCTGTGGATGGAACTCTATCATCACATCGTCAATATACTTGATGCTTGGAAGGAGGCGCTATGCTGCGTGTCAGCTGTGCATGTAGAGTACATTGACCTTACAGTCAATCACGTACATGGCAACGTAGCGCTGTCGCACAAATCTTTCACCTGGCTTGACTATTTATTCATGAGAAAAGTATTTATTCTCTCAAGGGCACAATCGATTTTCTCGGCGGAAAAACGACTCGCTCTGTATCCAGTCCCAGGACCCCTTGTACACACGGGACGCCCACCAGGCTGTAAGTGAGCAGGACACCTCGGTCTTTCCAATGTCAGACTTTCTAAAGCCATGTCGCAATGCGAAATGCATTGGGCATCTCTATTTTGAAGATTTTGTTCTACTACTATAAAATGTGCATGATTTTCTCTGCTTTCCAAATGCATGACCGTCTTGCAAAAGCCACTGAGTCCGTCAACTGTCGCTTGCCAATGGCTTGATTCCGAATAGTCCCTGAGCGTGGAGGACATACGCTTTTTCACAGTAATTAAACCAAGAATTCTTATCTCGTAGACGACGAGCCAACAATCTGGTTGAGTATCTACGTGTAGTTGCTGACAGGATTAGCTGCTCATCATCAAAGCACGGGACGAGCTTTAGGGCCGCTGCTCTGATAGACAAGTTGTAGGCTATGATGAATATCTCTAGTAAGCCTATGATCTCTCCAGAGAGATGAATAACCTTATCGAACGCGAAAAGAAGGATTGCGCCAAAAAAGAAAAATGTACAGCACCCGGAGTTCGCTGGTCGTCACCGAACCAGCTACTACTCGGGCGCTCGAGTGGTTATCGCTCGGAGATCAGACGGGATCCAGATTTTATCACTCGGCTGTGGCCGTACATGACATGCACTTTGTCTGTTTGGATATAGATATTTCTCGAAATACTGCCACTGCGCCCTGTCTTGACTAGTCCACGTTTCGGCCCCGCGGCTCGAGCAGTAGGTACCCAGCGACGCCGCCATACGCTTTTTCCTTTTTTTTTCTTTCTTTTCTCAAACGCCACCAATCTTTCTATATCGGATGTCATTCCCGGAAGTTACTAGTTGCTCGCGGCTGAGGAAGAAGCTGACATGTCCGCGACTGCATAGCTCCGAGGACCCCGCCGCCGCCGCCGCCGCCGCCACGACCATCAGCAAAATGGGGATAGAGACCCATGCAATGAATCCATTTACATGTCGCAGAGTCCATCTGCCCCTCCATTCGATGACTTTTCACAGGCTGATGTGCACTTGTACTGGCCAGGCACTAGGGTCAAGCTGAAATACGCAACCGTTAAACTGACCGACATGACACTCACATGGAATGCAAAGGATCGTGTCAAGTCCACGGTAGTACTACGGGCAATAAACCTAAAATTTGATGGCTAACAGCAACTTGCCAGGATTACAACAACTGTCGAGTTTTACAAAGTCCTAGAAAACGACTCTGCAACATGGCCAAGTGCATGCATGGTCCAGCCACGACAAGGGCATTCAGGTGTGCGTACAATGTCAGTGGCAAGCGCCGATGAGCCGGCGATGTGGTAGCATCGAGATGTATGGCAGGCAGATCTGTGCATGTCTAGATATCAACGTTGTGGGATGCGCCAAACACACTGGTGGAATGGTACTTCCGGTCGCTAGCCGACCTCGATCGAGTCAACCTCTCACTTCAGCTCGGCCAAGGACAAAGTATCGTTCCTAGAACAAAACAAAAAGCTTCTTTGGAGAATATCGAAGCCTGTTGAAATTACATGTAAAGATGGCATCGTGCTAAATAAATCGAGCTGCCGCGCGCCCAGCCACCTATATCAACAATGGCGATGATGTGCACCGCAATCATCGGGCTGTGAGCCCGATTTCACTTTCGCGCCACAAAGCGTACTCAATGTCGATGCTGCATCACGGCTGTGACTGGCATGGCTCTTTTGGCGCAAGTTTGCCCAACGCAGTTGCGCGTAGTTGGATGCTTCTTCGTCGTGAGAAAATTACTCTTTTCGAGGCGGTGTAGGGCGAGGTTTACGGCGGATTCAACATCATTAGTATGAAGCCGAGACAAATAGGAATAAAAGAATGATATAGATTGCTCTTAGTCAATAACGGAGAAATATTATCGTGCATCCTGGATAGCAATTACGATGAATGCATTGTTAGCATCTTGGCGAAAGCAAGGACCAAACAGGGCTGTCGGCTCTCGCAGGGAGACCCCGAGGATGGTAGAGTGTGGATCCTTTTTTCATGCGTAATAGGTGTGCGTTGATAAGTTAGTTGGATAGGTATACAACATGGGGTCAGACTATTTCGTCGTTCTAGCCGCTGACTTTGAAGAAAATAGTGGCGAGTCTTGCAAGGTATTAGAAAAAGGTTGAACTTTGAAAATTGGCCGTCAGCACCGAGCGGTGGCTTGCCTGTCATGTTTCCGGCTGAAGTGGCCCTAGGTATCAGTCTAAAATTACTACCATTACGGTCTCGTAGTTCACTAGTCTCTTTTTTTGACGGAACAAACCGAATTGAATATTGCCGCAGCCTCGGCGGGCAAAGCAGGGTGCATTGAACGAACTCGCCCATCCTTGGCTGACGAGGACGAGATATATTTGGTACGGCGCAATATGACGATTTGCGGTGTAAGTGTTTCAACTGCGGCTTACCAACATGCGGATGCCAGGGTCTGAGGATGGCCGGGGCGATTCGGACAGACAGCTTGACAGCCGATTGGGTCCCGATTCCACCAGAGAAAGGAAACCAACGTGGCATTGCAACGTGAACAGCTCAAAAATCCATGGCTTGTCGATTGGCAGACCGTACGAATAAAAGTCTGGCCAGAGTGACCGAGCGTCATGGGTGGCGCACTCTAACTTAGTTTACTTATAGCCAGTTATTGTCAGTGAAAATAGTGCGAAGGAAAAGGTTTCTTACCACAGGCGGCGGCGGGCGGAAGAGCGATATCCGCGGCCAAGTCGGAAGCAGCCTGACTCGCTGGCAAGTTCCGACCGAGGTCGCTGATGCACCAGCGCAAGCGAGATGCGAGGATTAGCCAATGACAACACACATTGGACAGAGAAAATGAACCCGGTACTGGCATACTTGGTAAATGCACATGGTTGCGCAGCCGGCAACGAACCCATGACAACCCTGTCAGGTCACGACTAACTACTCAGTAGTTATTTAGACAACTCGATAGGGAAGCAGTCATGGCCTTCGCTACTCCGGCCCGCTACCGACTCAGCCAGCTGATTGTGGCGGCGCTGAAATGGTCGTTCGCATTGCTGGTACGGATAGACTGGGGGCTTTCGGGAAGTGGGCTGGCTTCCTGGCCACCGTACCAGAGGAGACTTGAAGCGGGACACGACGACGACGACGACAGTCAAACCCAAAAGGCGAAAATAACAGAGTGACGCAAGCCTGTTCGTCTGCTTGCTTTCGCGTTTCGCTCGAACCCCCGCCGTGGACCCTTTTCCTCATCGCTGCCATGCCTGAATTTCAACAGTGAGTTTGACGCCGTTTCACAGCTGTTCCTCTTCTTTTACGTGCTGGGCAGCTCGTTAGCGCTCTCGCCATTCGCCATGTCTCTCGGATCACGGCATCTTGGCCAAGGCGTGCTAGCGACATGAGAGCAAAGGCATCGGCACCCGTGGGTCGGACCGGGCAGGCGAGTCGTGCTTCTTCCTTGTGTTATTCTTGCCGTAGAGTTATCATCGTTAAAAGCCCAACCATTGCTTCAGTCAGACCAGCGTACTTTCTGCGGTGGGTCGTGGCTGTGCAAGATTGGGTGCAACGCTATGCATGGGGAACGATCTTTTGGGGTGTTGCTAATCGCCAAAGAGCCAAGTTTGACGTTCTAGATGTTGTTGAAGAGAGACAAGGAAGTGAGAGGGGAAAGGACGCTACTAATGCATGTCAAGATGACAGCAATTGACTGAGTAAAGCGGGCAAGTGAGGGAGAGGCGCTGAAAAGAGCAACAAGAAACAAGCTTACAGATTTGATATGAACTTGACTAGGGCGGGCATCTTCTACTATTGAACGACGATCTCTGCTCCTAGTTTTATCGTCTCGTCAAGCAAGAGGAAGCATGTCTCCAACAGCGAGATCGTCAAAGGCCTGGCACGGCGCTGGGTGCAAAGCTGACTAGCTTATTAGTGGTACTGCATTTAGCTACATTCTTCGCGCCACCGAGCAGTTCTGACACAGCAGTCGCCGGATAATGCAGGCCAAAGGAAAGCGAGGCGTGACGAAAATGTGTGAGGTGCGGGCTGCTGTGACCGCCATCGTGGCTGTTTCGGCTTGGTGATGTAGGTTGCACACATTGCAGGCCTGGTTTTGGAGGCCCCTTCGCATTTTACCTGCCCAGCTTACGCTCGCCCTGCTGCCGCTGAGAAAATTTCTGCCACTTGTACAAACAGCGAACTCAAGGCGATCCTCAAGGCGATCGAGCAATAGGATGCTGACAAGACGAGAGCGAGAGCGAGATGTGCACAAGGCCAGGTTTCGACGGCCTGCATATGAGCCGCCCGAAGCGTCTTCTGTTGTTAGAAAGGATTTAGCGCAGCGCAATACAAGTCGCTGTCCTGGCTCGGCCCTAAGGCCCCCCCTCTCCGCTGCGACTCAGCTAGCTAGCGTAGCAGCTGATGCAACACAGAAAAGATGCACAGTTTTGTTGGTAGGCGAAAAAAATAGGCAAAATCGAAGGCGGATCGGTAGCTCCCTGGGTGCAATGCAACAGTGGCTGGCCAGGAAGCACGCGGCGGTGGATCAGTTGCATACGTGGACGGGCGGAACGTGCTCTTGATACAGCAAAAGTCGTCATCACGCATCTTAAATGTCGAGAACAGACCTTGCAAGGGCAGGGACGAAGATGGTGAGAACCAAGCGAGGACTGAGAGGGTTTCTCGGCATATCAAGATGGTCGCAGATGGGCGTCTTTTAGTCTTGATTCAAGCCTAGGCTCAGCCAGTCTCAGCCAGGCTCGCACTGTGCAGGTGTATGTCGTAGTAGTGCGAGACAAGGATACTATAATTATCAGCTAGAGACTGATGAGATGGAGGGTAGGGGCTAGCAAATGAGAAAGCTCAATGAATTAAACTCGACCATTATGCTCACGGCGTCGCCCCCCCTCAACCCCTGGGAGCAAGCCGCAGCGTCAGCCAGGTTCAGCCATCCAAGTCGCCAGGGAAGAAGAAAAATCAGCATCGTTGCTCGTACCTGGATACTAGATGAGTACCTGATGCTCATGTGATGGCTGTGAGTAAAAGTCTGGGCGAGGTCTTGTCGTGGTATCATTTGCAGCGCTAGAAGAAGCCACTGGGACAGACAAAACGAGTGTGCTGATACCGGGTTACTGAGCCGCAGCAAGAGGCGGGAGAGGCACGGAGTAAAGAATCAATGAAATCAGTGTTATCGCCGGCGCAAAGACTTGCGCGGAGACTTTTCGGGGAAGTGGTAATACATATTCAGGGTGCCTGGTGATGCATTTGGAGATGGTCATCGTCTGTTGGAGATGATAGGACAGAAAGTGGTACGAGGCAGCGCTTGAACGAATCAGGATACAGCGGGTGCAGGAGAAAAGATTGAGGGACCCACCATTGAGTCGGCCGACGCCGTTGGCCGTTTGCTTGCCAAGCAAAAGATCTCGCGCGCTCGATGATGATGGATTATCCTGACATGCCTGAGTCATGGAATTGATATTAAAATGCAACGGGAACTGTCGGGGAATAGAGACAAGGCGGCCGACAGTGGGCCAGGACGCGGTGATGAGGCTGTAACGAGGTAAGTAGCACCTGTAACTCTGTAAATATTAGTGGAAAGGACCAGGACAGCGGTCCTGCAGGTGTGGAGACCCCGGGCGATGAGAGGCAGCCTCACCTCGGGAACTAGGCCGCGTCGTCTTTGTCCCTTTTCTTTATGTCGCTTTTTCGCTTTTTTCCATGATTGAGGCTTTTTGATCTGAAATTGTTGATGTGAGATGACTGCGCACTATGTTCGTTTAGAGGTACATGCGCTCGAAGATTGACCTGCTGCCGGACTGACCTAGGTACTGCCTACCTAGGAACGTAGTAGGTAGTACTGCACTAGGCAGGTTTGGCAGGTAGATACTTGATGTTCTGCGCTTCTCCCCCTCGGTCTGTCCATTGATTCCTCTTCACTAAGCATTACTAGTTGGTGAATCGGTTCTTCGAAAAAAACAGTCTACCGGCTCGCATCATGTATCATTGCTGCTGCTAGCTATTGGATGGCTTTGTGGCTGTAGCCGGTGACTACAACTGGCCGCCGCCACCACCCTGGCCCGGTACTATTTAGCCTACCCAGGTACCTTATTAGGTACCTTCGGTGTGCTATAATCATTAGGTTACTGAGGACCACTGACAGCGCTAAAAAAAAAAACAGACTTTTAGTGCCAACCGTGGCAGCCACAGCGCACCGTCGGCCTAAAATCGCACGTCTTTTCTTGCCCGCCCGCATCTTCTTGTCCACCTCGATTCGCCCACCTGTGGTTATGCTTGGGTACTGTGGTATCCGCCGTACCTCGTCGCTCAACCCCCCCTCCTCCTCCACATTGACCCTTCAACTCTCATCCATCCTCTCCCTGCCCCCGAATTCCTAGAAGCCCTGGCCTGTCTTTCTAGTCTAGTCGAAGTCAGTGAGACCAAGTCTCGCTCGACTTTCGCTCCTCCACCAATCTCTTGACCATAGCCCTCGCTCCCATCCGGAATCCTCTTAGCCGTCGTCGATACACTTCATTCGCGTTTCCGGCGCCTTTTTTTTTTTCGATAAATCGACTCCCGTCGTCTGCCCCCCAGCTTTCGCCCTCAACCTGATGGCAGTTTGCGTCTACCTGACTCTGGGGTAATTGGGAGAGGCGACGCTGACGCTGCCCGCTTGGCTTCGCCTGTTCCCTGGCACCAACTGCCACCCACCACCACCCGACATCTGACACGGCCAACGACTCCCATCACGACGGATCTCGCCGTCCAGTCGCCTTTTCATTGCATCTACATTGCAGCCCATCCATTTCGACGCATTCCTCATAGACGATTTCATCCACAGCAATCATCCGCGCTCGTCAACACATATCAAACATTTTTTGCGCCAAGCCATTGTCCCCTCCCTCGTACTCGCCATCGGAATTTATGTCGACCACGACGCCCATCTAATATCGCCGAGTAGGAGACGGACGATTGGAGACTTACTGCTCAGACATCGCATCCGTGCTTTGTCATAGCCTCTCCAAAATATCTTCATCCTGCTCCCCAAACTCATTTCGCCTTCATTATCCAGCGACCAACTTCATCCGGGCTCCCGCCCTTCCTCTCGGCCCAACATGTCCGACGACGAGGCCGCTACGCTGTCCATCACTGACTGGCCCATTCAGGACGCCCCCTCACCTACCGATAGCATCAAATCCGACATCGAACTCGATGATCGTACAGCCGTCGGTGATACTCCGTCCCAACCCATCCAGAAGCGACGTCGAGTCACCAGAGCCTGCGACGAATGTCGTCGGAAGAAGATTAAATGCGACGGCAAGCAGCCCTGCACACACTGCTCCGTCTACAGCTATGGTAAGTCGCATCTTGTTCACAATCTTCTTGCGCCCTTCGTCGCCCGTAGAATTCCTGCTCACTCCGTCTGTGTCCTGCTAGACTGCACATATGACAAGCCTTCCAATCGAAGGCGCAATCCAGCGCCGCAATATATCGAGGCTCTAGAAGGCCGTCTACACCGCGCTGAGACCCTGCTGCGCAAGTTTATGCCCGACATTGATCTAGCCGATCCCAACATGGACCCCAATGTTCAGGCCGAATTCCAAAACCGCGAGCAATCTCGAATACAAGCCGCCAGCAAGATGCAAAGCAGCGCCCACATGCCGCAACCATCCGCCCCCGATCCCCAATTGGTATCCATGGTCGACTCTCTCGGGCAGCTCGATATCGACGACCGCGGCGATTGGGATTTTCACGGCAACTCGTCCGGTGTCGTCTTCCTCAGGAAGATGAAGGATCAATTTCGCGGCCTGCTTGGAACCACGGCATCTGCTCCCTTTCTGCCGCGTCCCGACCAACTCTCTGCCGTCCTCAATCCAGAATCTGCATCCATGCACGCCAATTCTCCCCTCTCGACCATGTCCACCTATCCCGAACTACCTCCTAAAGACGTTGCTCGAAGATTATGCTTCTACTCCCTCACCTGCGCCACCTGTCTCACCCGTATCGTCCACGTTCCCACATTCAACAGCCAGTTTGAGCGAATATATGGAATCCCACTAGAAAACCTCGGTCCCGAGGACACTCAGTTTCTCGGCCTTTTGTTCGCCATCCTCGCCCTCGGCTGCATGTACCACAGCTTCGACGCCTCCGCCGCCGAAGGCGCTGGGTACAGGGCCGCCATGGAAGAGGGGTATGTTATCTCGTGACTCAATAGCCGACTCGGTTCTCACTAACACCTCTTGTCAGAACCAAATATTTCAAAACAGCCCGAGCTCTCATAAAAGACATTGGGGACTGTCGCACGTTGACGTCGATACAAGCTCTTCTCTTCATGACTCTGTTTCTCCAGTCTACCTCTAACCTCAGCTCCTGCTACGCAATCCTCGGTATAGCAATGAGATCATGCCTCCGAATGGGTCTGCATCGTCACTTACAACATGCGCGACTGAATCCAATAGAAGAGCAACTACGCAAGCGAATATTTTATGTCGTCAGACAAATGGACATTTATGTTTCAACAATGTTGGGCTTACCCCTTATGCTGAGCAGCGACGACATTGATCAGCCCTTTCCGATGGAGGTCGATGACGACTATGTTACCAACCAAGGCGTCATGCGTCCACCGCCTGGATCCTCGTCCTTCTTTGAGGCCTTCAATGCGCATACGAGATTGATGGATGTCTTAGCTAAGATTACGAAGCTCATTTATCCGACCAAGATGCCTGGAAGCGTGAAGATCGAGTTGGGCGGCGCAGGTAACCCTGTCAGCTATACGCGCATCAAGGAAATCGAAGGCGAACTGCAACAGTGGTTTGAGCGCCTGCCTGAGGCGTGGCGTCCAAGCCCAGAGGGGCCCATCGAAGTCGTCAGAGTACGGCATCTTCTTCGCTTTTCCTACGCTCATGTCCAGCTTCTTCTATATCGCCCCTTTCTACACTACATGTCGCCACGTCTCTGCCAAGGTATCAAAGTTGATGAACTGTCCTATGCTTGTGCGGCTGCAGCTGTCAGTGTCTCCCGCAACGTTATTCACATCGGCCTAGAAATTCGAAAGCAGCGAGTTTTGAGTGGACCTTACTGGTTCATGCTTTACACTGAATATTTTGCCGTCCTGTCACTTATCTTCTTCATTCTGGAGAACCCTGGGAAGTCGGGAAGCGCCGAAGTGCTGGCCGACGCTCGTGCTGGCCGACAGATGATTGCTGACCTAGCAGAGAAGAGCATGGTTGCAGATATGCTGACGACATCCTTGAACGTACGTTAAGCCGAGAAACGATAAAATAGCATTCGACTAACTGTAAGACAGGCCCTCTTCGAGCAGCTACCCGAAGCTCTGGAAAAAGCCCGTGGCAGGGCAATTGCTTCAGCAAAGCGGTCCATCAGCAAATCGAATGGCATGGTTGCTGGGCATGCCGGGTTGTCCCACGTCATGTCGCCACAACGATCTGAAGATCTCATGCGAACTCACAGTGGCCATATGTCGGCTAGCGGCTTTTCCATGGATAGCATGGCACCATCTGAGCAGACTTTTCTCGAGAATGGCTTTGGTGGCGGTATGCATGATGTGCTATCCCTCGACATGTCTTCTCGAGCCACACCTGACTCTGAAAGCACAGCAGCCAGTTCGAGCCGTATGGCCTTCATGCCGCATTCTGTCGCCGCCCAGAATGTGCAGAACCCGGTTACCAAGCTTGACGCGCTCATGTTTCCATCAGACGACCCCTTTGCGTATCCTAATCAGCCAATGATGGAGCTCGGCTTCCAGCCGTCCAAGGACGGCACATCCGTCACCATGGCCCAAGATCCCAACTTTTTCTTTCCAGGAACGTTGGAAGAAATGGGCAACTCGTTTGTGAATCAACCGCCGCCATATATGACGCCACAAAACGGTCGCCAAAGCATCGGAGGCATGAACATGGGCAACATGTTTGACAGCAACGGCATGATGGCCATGCAGCATCCAGCAGCGGCGCAAGCTCTAGCGCAGGCGCAGGCGAGACAACAACAAGCCAGAGCGCAAGCACAGGCGCAGGCGCAAGCTCGGCAGCAGCAGGCAGCACAGCGTGCTCAACAGCAGCAGCAGCAGCAGCAGCAGCAACAGCAGCAGCAGCAACAGCAGCAACAGCAGCAACAGCAGCAGCAGAATCAGCAGCAGCAGCAGGTCCAGCAGCAACAACAACAACAACGATCTCGCGGCTTTGGCTTCTTCCACCGACGTCAGCGTCAGCCTCAAGAACAACAACAAGCGCAGCAAATCGATCAAATGTTTACCGAGCACGGCATGCAGCCAGATTTTGGCAGTTTCTTCGGCTCAGGCAGAGGCGGCTTTCAAGGCATGTAAGGGTCCTCGGCATGATTTTCTTTTTCATTATGATGCTTTGAGACTTGATTATCACGAGTCCAGACACGGAGTTTCACACCGGATTACAATATTTCTGCCGATGCTCTAGCATTTCAGAAAATCGTTTCTTCATTTTTACTTTGTTAGTGCTATATACTTAGGGCACTCCTTCCTCGGTTGGACTTTAGCAATGCCATGGAGAGAGCCCGGCCGGCGCCTACGGAATGTTCGGGCTCATTTTACTGTGAAGGTGTACTTTCTGATTTTGTTTCTTTTACACTTGTTTGATATATTCGGGAGCATACGGCACGGGAAGCGATATATGGGCCACGAGAGCACAGGCTTCATCTTTGTTCTTTTTTTTTTCTTGTCCTCCCTTCGTCTGCTTGGGAAATAGGCAGAGATGGGGGTTGGGAGTGTGGGGTTGTATGTATGTACATGGCGAAGCGGGGGTAGGAGTAAAATGTACCTGGATTCTTTTCGGTACTGGATATATCCATATCTATATATATATACAATTGTTGCGAGATGTTTCTCAATCATCGATTGGGTCGATCTGGTGAAGCATAGATGCTGATCAGCCTGAATCGAGACCAGTGCTCAGCGGAATGAAAGTCAGGCGCATCGGCTGACAAGAGGTGACCACGGTGGAACAGTAGCACCTGCAGCCAGCTGCCGCTGCACGATTAGCCGGTTTTTCTCGCATTGATGCAGCATTGGTGGCTGCCGTCTCTGAGGTTAGTGGCTGCTTATATGCGCTCAGCATGATATAAGCCCACCACCATTACGACACCCGGATGTTTGACTTGTGTGCCGCTCGATCTCAGCGAACCCACAAGAGAAAATGGCGAGGCTGGCGAGGTGAAGGAATGCGAGCAACAAACAAAAACGGAGGGAGAACTGCACTGTTTGAGGGGTAAATGATGATTGTCGCAGTATCGGCATCGTGTGTGTGGCGGTAATACATTGTAATATTGATCTAGAGCTATTGTGACATTGGCAGCTATATCAGTACTTTACAGCCAGATGATGTCAGCCTGCTGCCGCAGTGCACCTTTGTATAGAAGGGCAAATTAATCCATCGCGTGATTTCCTATTGAACCTATTGAAGCGGGGTAGTAGCAGGGCAAAAGCGGCCGGCTGCATATCCCCAGGGGGGCAGGGCACTTCGGGTCTTTAGACCATCATGGCGGCGACGCCGACAGCAACGGCGGCGACACCGCCTGCCATGGCACCGTTGGTCGGGGCAGCGGCCTTGCTGCTGCTCGAGGAGCTCTTGCTGGCGCTGGCGCTGGAGGAGCTGGCCTTGCTGGCAGAGGACGAGGAGGACGAGGCGGCGCTGGATGCGGAGGAGCGAGCGCTAGAACTGCGCGATGGGTCGACATTGTCAGGACTTGCGGAGGAGGGAATGATGTATAGAGGAAGAGAGGATAAAGGCAGTGAATACATACGTGGAAGAGCTCTGGGCAGCAACGCTGGTAGCGGCAACGGCGAGGAGAAGGGCGGAGAACTTCATGATGAATTAATTGTTGGTTGGTTGATGGAGGATAGAGGAAATCTGGTATTATGGTGAGAGAGGAGGATGATGGATCTGAGTAAAGAAACAAGATGCAGATGGGCGGCGGCTTGTTTATGTAAACGGCGGGTGCTCGTTGGGCAGCCCGTGTTGTGTAAGTCGACGCTGGGACACAAAGGGACAAGACCCAGTCGATCAGGGGCGAAGCATCTTACTGGCTCAGCAACAGCAGTTGGGGGGGGATATTGGCATCAAGGCCCGAAAAACAAGAGGCGTCGAGACCGTTCTCCAGCCGTTTTTGCTTGCGCAAGCTTCTGATCTGTTCAGCGAGGAGGGCTGGTGCCAGCCCTGCCCGCCCCCTGGGAGATTGTCCCTCAGGTGGTTGACCTCTTACCGCTCTAGTCGTCTGACATCACTATTACGGATACGACTTTTCATTGGTTTTTCATAATTTCAATGCTGTCGACAGCCTTGCATGCACGTCTACTCAGTACAAGGTTGGCTGGGGAGGGTGAAGCTCAGCCTCACGATTGGACAATGTCAACATGCGGGCCTCCGAACCCGGGCGTCGCAGATGACGACGCAAGTCTCCCCCCCAGTGAGACATTGGGGAGAAGAATGCGCCGATCTGGATTCGTCGAATGAGAAAAATGTACATCTCATTTAGGAAGGTGCCAGGCGCTGGTGCAGGTAAAGAGGAGAGACTGCGCCCACGTATTTTGAGTCAAGGTTTGTGGCTGGCGAGGATTACGCAATGCAGCAAACAAAAAACGAGCTGGCAAGCGGACACTAAATTAACTAGTTACGGTCAACAATGAAGATGGAAGCGAGGCATCAGCCCGGGGCAAGGAGGCATTGGAGTCTTTTTAGCCAAGACGTGTAAAACGGGTAAATCGACAAGTTTTAAAGCTTATTTTCCTCATAGGGCTGCTGGCGACAACCAAAAAGAGTTTACGTTGGTCTTGGCAAAGGTCCTCCGTCCACTTGACTCTTCAGGTACCAAGTCAAAGAACTAACAGGGCAAAAAAAAAATAGGATACAGAAGAAAAATATCCATGACGAAGCTTTTGAATCCGGATAGCCGACCGACCATAGAGGGGATAGATGGAAACATTTTGGCAAAGGCCCAAGCAGTATTAGCCAAGGCTTATGTATGACGGCCTGCATCGTGCCATGATTATTAGCCTAATAATTACCAGACGATGATGGGAAAACCCCGCCCGCTCCCGATTTTCAAGGCCGAGCCAAGGCGCTGATCATCCGAGCGGGCTAGACTGGTCCGAAGGAACCGGGCTGAATGCAGCAGGGAAACAAGGAAAAATCGGGACGAAACGAGATGAAAGAAATGAAGCCAATTCATTTATGCCCGTTCGTATCGCCAAGCCACACACACATACGCATGCTTCCTCTTTCTTTCTGGGCGTCCCCCCCCTCCCCGCGGGTCGGCAGATGTAGTTTAATGTGTGTGTACTGACTAACTAGTATGAGACTATTGAATTGTTGTTTGAAAGAAGCAAGGCGCAAAGCGCAATAAATTAGCAAGGCGATGCTAAGGGGGGGGCTTCGGTATGAGCCGATGGCGCAGCCTACTTCGCCGAACGGAGAGCGGACTTCTTTGAGGCTAGGCTGAGCCAGCCTCCCCCCCGTCAGTTTCGTCAGCGCACGCCTGCGTCTGAAATGTCGCGGAGTGGTGGAGGAAATGAATTTTGGAAACGTTTCAGGACAAATAAATAGATGTAATAAAACGGCAAGAACAGGTGGGCCAGTCGGTAATGACGTCGAAAGTGCCACAGCCACCAATGACCATGCAGCGCACAGCGGACAGGTTCAGATTAAGCTTTTACTTATAAGACGGGCGTGCCCTTTTCGGCGGCTCTGAAAGTTATTCTTTCAAAAAAAAAAAAAAAAGTGTTTGGAGCACGACAAGGCTTGGCGAGGGCGAGAAAAGGGAGAGCGATACATTCCTGTCCTGGTTGAAAAGCGCAGTCGAGGAGCCATTGTGCTGTTGTAGACTTGCTGTGGGATTGCTCATTAGAAATCATGGTTGTGTGAGTTTGGCAGCATTGGATTCATGTGAGATTGAAAACATGACCTGAGCAAATATCGAGACTCTCAAGGCCTTTGAGCGCAAAAACGGAAAATGTGGCAAGGACTTTGGTGACGGATCGCAATCACCAAGCAAGTATCAGCTGCTGCACCTTACCCAAGACCTTGACCTACTGGAGACCCCAAGAAAAGACGGCGTGCGCGCTAACTACTAATCTGCCACATTTCGTCTGCTTCCTCGTCCTGGACCGTTTGGTAATAGCATCGCAACATTGAGTCCAAACTCGGTGATATCCAGGCCGACTGTTACAGAAGAGCCAAAATGTCACCCTCGCCCCGGCCTCCCAAACGTACCAAATAGCTGTATGAAACAAATCCATCCCCCCCCCGAATCGGGCCGCCCTTGTCCAGGAACGTCTGAGAGTAGCATGCATTCGACATCCTCTTTGAGATCGAGCCCTGCCTATCAGTGGTTTAGGGTCTCAGGCACGCGGTTCTGGCCATCGGCACATCCCTTCCCGCCGTAGACTTGTATGGGGTACGCCGACTTGAAAGCCGGCTCTACACCCAATTGGTGGAAATATGAGTTGCAAAAGAGGCTCAGTGGCTGACTCTCGCAAAGGCCAAGCTCGGGCAAGACTGAGATGTACAGAGGGTGTGTGAAGGTAATGACTCGGAGATAAGAACCCGGAAGCTTGACAATGTTCGAAATTACAACACGTACAGTCGGTTCATATTTGAGCTCGGACGTTTTTTAAGCTCAATGAGCAATAGCCTGTGGTTTACTTGATCATTCTGGACCTCATATAGCTTACAATGTGGTACGGAGTGGCCGCTTAAACGACGTGCATTGGGAAACCGCCCGCTCCAGCAAGACTCTACGCCACTCTCTATTTACTAGCCCAGGCGAAGAATTTATTTGGCTGGCGGATAAAAGGCGCGGCCAATCTTAGTTCACTAAGTAGTAGAGAATGCCTAATCATGGGCGCATGCTAGCTAGGTGCAGAGGCCGAATCCCTCGACTCCAGATACGGCCCGCTGAGTTTTACAAACTTCATGTAGTTGCACACGAATAATGTGGTCGCTGTTCCGATTGATGAGTTAACTGAACATATAAGCCATCTGAATTCGTTAGAGTTCAATCCCACCGGCCAAGGGCATTCACATTGCAACTCGCAGGTCGATACCGTTATTTGTGCTACAAGTGATCACACTTGAATCACGAGAAGATCATCAAAAGCGGCGAGATTGCAAACTAACAAAGGTTGTACGAGAAGATTGATATAGGTGTGCTCAAACCGATTATCAACGTTGACACGCATGTGGTGGTCAGATTGGTTTGCGACAAGGCCAAAGTTGAACTGGCGGGGTGATACTTGGGCAGATGTAGCAATAATTGACATCAAGTTTATACGTTAGAGATTACTTTCGAATTACTTTGGAGATTATTGATTAATCTAGAAGATTATCCTCTACAACAATTGTTTCTCTCGGCTTGTCCTTGGTTATTAGCATTGTTCAAGTGACACCGACCAATGCGCTATTCCAAGCTGTGCTGCCCCTCCACAGCTTGCTACTCCACCAGGCAACAACACACCCCGCCATTGACGTGAAGCTCCAACAAACTTGATCCGTCATTGTTGAACCTCAGTTGAGCTGCCACGCCATCTCGGCATCGAATACCAAACTCTACCGGTGCTCAAGTTGTTGGTCCCCACTGATGACATCTTCGCATCCCCCTGCGGATGCGTCCGCGCAGGCCACTGCGGTCGATGAAATGCTCGTCACAGGTACAGCTTCTATTTATCGGATCATCTGCTCTGCGCCTCCTGCTAACGCACTCACGTTTATAGAGCTGCCCAAGTTCGACCTCGATCTCTATATCCAAAACTACAGCGGTTCGTCGCCAGGCTTCTATCCGTCACGTACCCGCACGCACGACTAATCTCTTACGCCAGGACGGACACGGTTCGACCGTCTACTACTAATAGGCAAGAGCTGCGTGCCTCTGCAACTAGATGCATTGAAAGCTGCAATCGCAGAAGCAAAAAGCGGAAGAGATGTATCACGTTACAAACAGGCTTGGGACTGTATCCGCAAGCTGGCTCCCGACGAACCCGAAGCCACGCGGGACGAGGCTTGGATCGACGCCACCGAAAAGTCAAACAAGGCCGAAACGCAGCGTCTGGAATCGGAGCTCAAGGGCTATAAAAATAATCTTATTAAAGAAAGCATAAGGGTACTGTTGCAAGACATAGGCAACGCAGGCCATACAGGCGATGTATGCTAACGTGCTGGCATAGATGGGCAATGAAGACCTCGGTCGTCATTTTGAGGCCATAGGTAAGCTTAACGACGCGACCGAGGCCTACAGTCGCATGCGCCAAGATGTTAGCACTACGAAACACATCATTGATTGTGGCATGCACCTCGCCAATGTGTCGCTTTATCGCCGAGATTGGAACATGGTCCTCACCAACATTGGCAAAATCACCGGCGTGCAATCGCCAGACGAAGAGGAAACGTTGCAATCATTTGTTCGACTTCTCTCGGGTATCGCTCACCTGAATATTGGCAGCTACCTAGAGGCAGCAAAAAATCTACTCCTCACGGACTTCGCCGTGCCCCCAGCTCAGTACAATCACGTCACCAGTCCAAACGACATTGCCGTTTATGGCGGTCTCACGGCGCTCGCCACCATGGATAGAACCGAGCTTCAGCGTCGCGTACTAGACAATCAGTCATTCCGGACATTTTTGGAGCACGAGCCTCATATTCGCAAAGCCGTGAGCCTGTTTGTCAGCGGCCGCTACTCCAACTGCCTCTCCATTCTGGAGTCTTACCGCTCAGACTATCTATTGGATGTGTATCTGCGGCAGCACGTCAAGGATCTCTACAAGCGGATTCGCACAAAGTGCATCGTGCAATATTTTCTTCCCTTTTCACGCATCACTTTGGAAAGCCTCGATGCTGCATTCGGGCTACCCGGCGAGTCTCTGGAGGAGGAGCTTATGGCTATGATTCGCAATGACTTTTTGAATGCACGCATCGACGCCAGAAACAAGGTTGGCACGACTATATACACTTTTCTCATTGACGACCTTCTGACATTCACTTCTAGTTACTTGTTGCGGTTCAGCCAGATCCACGTGCAGACATGCAGCGGCAGTCACTGAAAGCAGCAAAAAAGTATGAAAGAGACGCCACCGAGCATCTGCGACGTATCAATATCATTTCTGCCGGGCTTGAGGTGCTCCCGGGCAAGGTGGAGAAACCTGGACCTCCGGACGAATGGTTTGATGAAAGGGCGAACGTGGCGTTGATGGAAAGCATGGAGACTGAGGAAAGCACCAAGGTTCAAGAGGCATAAGTAAAGCCTCGCAAGCCAAGCTTTTTCCGCAGACTCCTAGACCTATTGTAGCTGCATACATATTCCGCGTTTGGCACATTGTTTTTTTTTCTTGAGAGGTTAAGCATATTAGTACAGGCAAGCTGGCTGGTGTATTACGAATGAGTATGATGAATGAATTTTTACACACACATCTATCTTCTCGTAACAATTAGCGTGAATGGTTTGCAACAGCGCAAGGGTATATATTTTTATTCGTAATGCATGGTATAATGTGATATTGTACAAAACTGACTCTCTTTATTTCCTTTCTTATTCTCCCGCCTTATCCCATCAGCTGCCGCAAGTCTTCCGGCGGCCAGCGCACTTGCGCAAACGTCAAGCAGCGCTTGATGCTCTGCAAGAACTTGCGCGTCACCTCGTCGCCCATGACGTGGCCCTTTTCGCCGTCGTGCAGCTTCTCGCGCGCGCTGCGCTCGTGGATGCCGACCATGGTCACGCCAATCGGCCAGGCCGCCTTGCCGATGCTCAGGCGCAGGTAGCCGTTGTTGGCGTCGACGTAGCGGCGCTCCTGCAGGGCCTTGACAATCTCGACGACGGGCTCTAGCAGCGAGTCGTCGAGGTCGCCGGTTTCGAATTTGCGAAATAGCTATTATGATCGAGCCGAGTCCGGGGTCCTTTGTGTCAGCCTAGTAGTGGTGATGACGAGAACAAAAGTAGCGCCAGTTGCTGTTTAAGGGGAGAGGAGGGGGGGGGAGGGGAGGTAATGGGGTTGGGTGGCCTTACCGGCTTCATGTTTTCAATCGTCTGCAGCATGGCGTTGTAGGCAATCTTGCTCGCGCTGGTATCCCGCCGCTCCTGCTCCATGGTGCGCTGGTACGTGCGGAGCACCATGGTGAAGTAGCTGGCGAGCTGTCGGTACAGCCACGCGCGCTCCGCCTCGTCCTTGGGCACCGTGTCGACCTTCATGTCCTTTTCGTCGACGAGCTGCAGCGTCGTCGGGATCGGCCCGTCCGTCAGCACCGTGCTCGCCTTCTTGTACCGCCGCAGCCGCCCCGCGCGCGTCTCGCCAAACAGCACCGCTGGGTGGCCCAGCGCGCGCAGCTTCGCAAACAGCGCCTCGTCCGACACGTCGTCATCCTCCTCGTTCTCGGCGCCGCCGGTGCCGTCCGCGCTGTTGTTGGGCTTTGCCTGCTCGGGAAGGCCGAGACGCCGGCGCTTGGCCTGCTCTTCCTCCCACTCCTGCTCCTCGCGCCGGCGCCGCGACTCCTCGGCGAGCTTGCGGCGCTTCTCGTCGCGCGCTTCCTTTTCGGCGGCCAAGTCTTGCTCGCGCTTGCGCTTCGCGGCGGCCTTGGCCTCGCGCTCCTTTTCCAAGGCGGCTTGCTCGGCCAGATAGGCTTGTTTTCGTTGGGCTTCGAGTTCGGATCGCTTGAGGTACTGTTTCTTATTGTCGCTGTCGTCGCTCGCGGGCTTCTTACTCTTGGACAGCTCCTTACCCATCAAGGCTGCAAAGTCCATGGTTGCCTGAAGCTGCGTTGCTCGCGCAAAGATTTGTCAGCTGTACCTCGATGCTTTTCTATTATGTTTGCCAAGATATGGTGCTTTCGGCGCGGTCTAGAACTTTTCGTTTAATTTCGAGTGAGGCGAAAGAATGTCGTTGTTGAAAGTTGGATGTCGCGATCGAAAAGTTATCGATTGTGGCTATGTGGGGATAGTAGATCTCCGTCGAATGAGGTAAAGCGAAAGACGGTAATTAGAAAAACGCAACTAGATTACTCCGTACAGGTCTCTTCTAACACAGACGGAATTTAAGCCCACCTGCAAACTAACAAAAGGTCGCTAAATTGTCAGCTTTTGTGCCAATTAACAAGCGCCAGCATCGCTTAGACGACGGCAGCTAATTAGAGGTGGTAAGAAGGAGTTAAGAAGATGAAAACATTGGGAACAGAAAAGGATGGGGAATTAGTTGCAAAACATACACGAAACGATTTAGAGCAGTTTTTACTTAACTTCCTGTGACTTGAACTAGAGGTCTGGCCTGATTCGACTTGGGATAATACTGTGTTCTCGGCTATTTACCGGTTATTTTCACCGCGACTAAAGTTGAGGCCGTCACTGACCATCATCTTGAGATAACATTCCTCCAACGACTTATCGTCTAACTTGATAAAGTCATTGACTTCGGAGACTGTTCAACGTCCATTGATCCCCATAGTGTCGCAAATGTCGGACGTGGGCGAATCTCCGCCTGAGCCGCCTTTTCTAGTCCGCCTCTTCTACAACTCTGGCTCATTGATCCAGTATGTCCAACATCGTTGCTATCCATGGGCAGTCACTGACCTGTATCGTTCTAGCCCAGAAAATTTTGCGCATCCGGCATCACTCTCCTTCATCAACGTCTATACCTGGCCATCATGCTCTCTTCAAGAATTAGTACATGAGCTCGCGGATGCTCGACCAAATCCGCTCCCCTCTCCATCAATAGGCACAAGAGTCGTATTCCAGCTTGTTTACCCGGATTTAAAAAGTATAGGCTCCGGGTCTGCGGGTAGAAAAGCCAAGTTTGCCGTCAAGGACCTGGGCAGCTTCGTTATTGGTACTGGTGGCCCTGGTGCTGAAGACGATGAGGATCTCGGTCACAACGCTGGAGGCCGTAGGGGTACTATATGGACACTACAAGACGCGCATTTTGCGGCCGGAGACTACATTTCATGCGCATTACTGCCACCACTAGATGATGGATCCATCGCGCCTGCTTACGACGCCACAGAGTCACAGGAGCACCCGAGGCAAGCCCTGCCAGATCAGCCATCAGCCTTTGGTAACCGTCGAAATAACTTCAGCCAAAACTTCCGCGGTGGCTCCATAAATGGGAGCCCGCGATTTCCGCGTGGTGATTGGAGAGCAAACAATCAACGGCAACAACCTGGCCGTGGGAGGGGTCGCGGTCGTGGCAGAGGCGGTTGGTGACGCGGTTGATCTCTGCGAGAAGGGGGATTGTTCGATGCATATGTATGTATACCCAATCAATTGTCACTGTTGGGTTTCGGATGTTCGAAGGTGGTCGACAATTGATATTATTGCGGCACAAATGATCGATATATGTACACGGTTCTCCCTCAAAACCACACCATTCCAGATCTCTATTTATTTCTCGTACGCGGTGTCACCTTTTCTTTTCGCCCGTAGGTCCCAGAGACCCTGCAAAGTATCTCGTTAGATATGATCTTGATCTAGACATTTATTACTCACGTCTGTCTTGTAGGCAATGTAGCCCATGATGGCGGGCACCACGATGACGTACATCGTGGTGATGCGAGCAGTTCTTGGTGTCCAGCGGAAGTACTGTACGCGACTCTTCTGCATCGCTGTTTCTCCAAAGTTAGCAAAGCTCGGCCGGTTCGCGGTTCGGTATTCGGGGGAGGAAATCATGCGCACCCTGCAGCTTCAGGTAGGCCGGATCCGGCTTGACGTCTAGCGTTTATTCATTAGCTGGATCCAATTGATTTGACCTATGCAAACTCACTGAGGTGCGCCATCTTGGTTTGTCTGCAGGCAGTGTGAGTTGTGGTGATTGGGATGTCAGAGCTGGTCCGACAATGCTGGTCGGGCTTGATCGATCTAGTGCATTACATAATGCGAATTCCACCACTCTGATTGGTTGGTCGCAACTGTACTCGCATACCCTACATCGGGATCAGATGCGAATATCGCGAGACGGTTAATGGGGGTTTTGAGTTTGTTTCGTTGGTTTTCGAGAATAATCCCTCTCGATAGCGGATTGATAAAGCTTCTGACTTATTCTTGGTGATTCACATGTGTTTTCTTATGAATTCGCGTTTGTAATAATACAGCTCCCAGAATTGCGTTTGCGGTGAAGCATGTGGTACATGACCCTCGAGTTAGACAATGGCTCACAAGCTCTTTCGCCGAATTTCATTTAGAAATAGGCAGTGAAAACAACAGAAAGATTCTCTCATACATCTACTAGAAAATTAATATACATTTGCAGCTTGAGCGTGAACAAACAGCATAAACGCGGAATTGCATCACGTGACAGCGCTCCAATGGTGGCGAGCTAGCGCGAAGCTGCCTGTCCCTGATAGTTAGAAAATTACCCGTCTCAAAGAGTGATCCAGCCAAAATAGTTTCATCAACACCACGCTTGGTTGTTGCCTTACGCAGCTGTGAAAACGGCACCTCCTCCATCGGGAGAAGATTATTATACAACAGCGTTGGGTACTTTACTTCTCAAATTCTTGAGATTATAGTATCTTGCGCGTCGTGACACGCGCGGGCGGCGTGAAGCCATCAACTAGGCAGAGCATCGATTACTGACCATCACGACTGTTCGTCGAGCCTAAGAATGTCGCATCCGCCACCACCACCCCCGGGATGGGGACCTCCTCCCCCTCCACCGCCGCCGTCATCGCTGCCACCTCCTCCGTCAGGACCGGCCCCCGCGGCGCCCCCTCCTCCGCCAGGTTTTCAGCCGAGTAACCCTCACATTGCCAAGTTTGCCCAAAAGAAGCAGGAATGGCTTCGACATCAGCGCAATCGATTCGGAGAGAAGCGTAGGGGTGGCTTCGTCGAGACGCAGAAGGCAGATATGCCTCCCGAGCATCTGCGCAAGATTGTTCGCGACATTGGCGACGTGTCGCAAAGAAGATACACAAACGACAAGCGCAGCTACCTTGGCGCCTTGAAGTTTATGCCTCATGCTGTCTTGAAGCTCCTCGAAAACATGCCAATGCCCTGGGAATCAGCGCGTGAAGTTAAAGTCCTGTATCACGTCAATGGCTGCCTGACTCTCGTGAACGAGATCCCTCGTGTCATCGAGCCTGTCTTCTTTGCGCAGTGGGCGATGATGTGGACCTTTATGCGCAAGGAAAAGGCTGATCGAAGATTATTCAAGCGCATGCGTTTCCCACCCTTCGACGATGAAGAACCGCCGCTCTCCTGGTCCGAGAATATCGAAGACGTCGAGCCTCTCGAGCCGATTCAGATGGAGCTGAACGAAGAAGAAGACGAAGCTATTTACGAATGGTTCTACGATCACCGCCCGCTACTCGATACCCCGCATGTAAATGGACCCAGTTACAAGTCATGGAATATGACTTTGCCTCAAATGGCTGCGCTCTTTCGACTCAGCAGGCCCCTCATATCCGATGTCATCGATAAGAACTACTTCTATCTCTTCGACCTCAAAAGTCTCTTGACTGCCAAGGCTCTCAACGTGGCTCTGCCTGGTGGCCCGCGATTCGAACCTCTGTACAAAGATATCAACCCCAATGAGGAGGACTTCGGCGAGTTCAATGCAATTGACCGCATCATTTTTCGAAACCCGATCCGAACTGAATTTCGAGTCGCATACCCATTTTTATACAATTCGCTTCCACGAAGCGTACACATGTCCTGGCACTCGCAGCCTCAGGTCGTCTTCAACCGTCCAGATGACCCTGACCTACCAACGTTCCACTTCGACCGTCGCATCAACCCGATTTCGTCTCGTACTGTTGCACCGAAGAATGTCGACATTTCACTCGAAGACGAGCTCTTTGGCCCCGGAAATGACGAAGAAGACGAGGAGGACGGTTTCACACTCCCGGCTGGCGTCAAGCCGTTCCTTGCTGATGAGGAGATCGATAACGAACATACTTCGGCGGCCATTGAGCTCTGGTGGGCCCCCTTCCCCTTCAATAGACGTTCAGGACGTATGGTCAGAGCACAGGATGTGCCTCTCATCAAGCAGTGGTATCTTGAGCACCCCCCCTCTGATCGACCGCCTGTTAAGGTTCGTGTCTCATACCAGAAGTTGCTCAAGAATTACGTCCTCAATGAGCTGCACAAGAAGAAGCCCAAGGCGCACAACAACCAAAATCTTTTACGCTCGCTCAAACAGACCAAGTTTTTCCAGCAAACCACCATCGATTGGGTTGAGGCTGGTCTTCAAGTTTGCCGACAGGGCTTCAACATGCTGAACTTGTTGATCCACCGCAAGAACCTTACATACCTTCATCTGGATTACAATTTCAATCTGAAGCCTGTCAAAACTCTCACAACCAAGGAGCGGAAAAAGTCTCGATTCGGAAACGCCTTCCACCTCATGCGAGAGATTTTGAGATTGACAAAGCTTATTGTTGATGCTCAAGTTCAATACAGACTTGGCAACATTGATGCCTTCCAGCTGGCTGATGGTATTCATTATGCATTCAATCATGTTGGCCAACTGACTGGCATGTACCGATACAAGTATAAGCTCATGCATCAGATCCGTACTTGCAAGGACTTGAAACATCTGATATATTATCGCTTCAACTCTGGACCTGTCGGCAAGGGCCCTGGTTGTGGTTTCTGGGGCCCGTCATGGCGAGTGTGGCTTTTTTTCATGAGAGGTATCATCCCTCTGCTCGAGAGATGGTTGGGAAACTTGTTGTCACGACAATTTGAAGGCCGACACAGCAAAGGAGTCGCAAAGACGGTAACTAAGCAGCGAGTTGAGTCTCATTTTGATCTCGAACTGCGTGCCTCAGTCATGTCTGACTTGATGGATATGATGCCCGAAGGAATCAAGCAAAGCAAGGTCAACACAGTACTGCAGCATCTGTCCGAGGCTTGGAGATGTTGGAAGAGTAACATCCCTTGGAAGGTTCCTGGCCTTCCTGCGCCCATTGAGAACATTATTCTCAGATATGTCAAGTCGAAGGCTGACTGGTGGATCTCCGTCACACACTATAATCGTGAGCGTATTCGACGCGGTGCAACTGTCGACAAAACAGTTGCGAAGAAAAATGTCGGCCGTCTGACTCGTCTGTGGCTCAAGGCCGAACAGGAGAGACAACACAACCACATGAAGGATGGCCCTTACGTTTCTTCCGAGGAGGCAGTTGCCATTTACACCACGACTGTTCACTGGCTCGAGTCAAGAAAGTTCTCACCCATTCCGTTCCCTAGCGTTTCCTACAAGCATGACACAAAGATTCTGATCCTCGCTCTGGAGCGTCTCAGAGAGGCGTATTCCGTCAAAGGCCGTCTAAACCAGAGCCAGCGTGAGGAACTTGCCCTGATCGAGCAGGCATATGATAGCCCTGGTACTACTTTGGAGCGCATTAAACGATTCCTTCTCACCCAGCGCGCTTTCAAAGAAGTCAACATTGACATGAACGATAATTACAGCACCATCAACCCAGTCTACGACATTGAGCCCATCGAGAAGATCAGCGATGCTTATCTTGACCAGTACCTTTGGTATCAGGCCGATCAAAGACATCTTTTCCCTGCCTGGATCAAGCCTTCTGACTCTGAGGTGCCTCCTCTCCTCGTCTACAAGTGGGCTCAGGGTATCAATAACCTGAGCGGTGTGTGGGAGACTGAGAACGGCGAATGCAACGTCATGATCGAAACCGAATTGTCTAAAGTCTATGAGAAGATGGAACTGACCTTGCTCAACTCTCTCTTGCGTCTCATCATGGATCACAACCTGGCTGATTATATTACATCCAAGAACAATGTTCAACTAACATACAAGGACATGAACCACGTCAACAGCTACGGCATGATCCGTGGTCTGCAGTTCTCTGCCTTTGTGTTCCAGTACTACGGCCTTGTCCTCGATTTGCTGCTGCTTGGCCCTCAACGTGCCAGTGAAATCGCTGGACCTCCTCAGAGCCCCAATGATTTCCTTCAATTCCGCGACCGCGAGACCGAAACCAGGCACCCCATTCGCCTATACAGCAGATACATCGATAAAATCTGGGTCTTCCTCCGCTTTACCGCCGAAGAATCCCGAGATCTCATCCAGCGCTTCCTAACGGAGCAGCCTGACCCTAACTTTGAGAATGTCATTGGGTATAGGAGCAAGAAATGTTGGCCTCGCGACTCGCGCATGCGTCTGATGCGTCACGATGTCAACCTGGGCCGCGCCGTGTTTTGGGATCTCAAGAACAGACTGCCTCGCTCAGTCACTACAATTGAGTGGGATGACAGCTTTGCCAGTGTCTACAGCAGGGATAATCCCAACTTGCTATTCTCCATGAGTGGTTTTGAGGTTCGCATTCTGCCAAAGATCCGAAATCAGAATGACGAGTTTCCCGTCAAGGACAGCGTTTGGTCGCTCGTCGACAATACAACCAAGGAGCGAACGGCGCATGCCTTCCTGCAAGTAACGGAAGATGACATTGCCAAATTCAACAACCGAATTCGTCAGATCCTGATGTCTTCTGGATCGACGACATTCACCAAGATCGCTAACAAGTGGAACACTGCTCTCATCGCTCTTTTTACATATTACCGCGAGGCCGCAGTTTCCACAGTTGAGTTGCTTGATACCATCGTCAAGTGTGAGACAAAAATTCAGACCCGAGTCAAGATCGGCCTTAACTCCAAGATGCCTTCGCGTTTCCCTCCTGCCGTATTCTATACTCCTAAGGAGCTGGGTGGTCTTGGTATGATCTCCGGCTCTCACATTCTTATCCCTGCCAGTGACAAGCGCTGGTATAAGCAGACTGATACTGGAACCACTCACTTCCGTGCTGGTATGACGCATGACGAGGAGACTTTGATTCCTAACATTTTCCGATACATCATTCCCTGGGAAGCTGAATTTATTGATTCGCAGCGTGTCTGGACTGAATACTCCCAGAAGCGCCTCGAAGCCAACCAACAGAACCGCCGCCTTACGTTGGAAGATCTTGAGGACAGCTGGGACCGTGGTTTGCCCCGTATCAACACCCTTTTCCAGAAGGACCGCAGCACGCTCAGCTTTGACAAGGGCTTCCGCGCTCGTGCAGAGTTCAAGATTTACCAGTTGATGAGGAGCAATCCATTCTGGTGGACCAGTCAGCGCCACGATGGAAAACTGTGGAACTTGAACGCCTACCGAACCGATGTTATTCAGGCATTGGGTGGTGTCGAAACTATTTTGGAGCACACCTTGTTCAAAGCAACAGGTTTCGCATCTTGGGAAGGTCTGTTCTGGGAGAAGGCATGTCTCGCCAAAGGCACTATGCTTTTGAGATACGATCATAGCCAAGTGGCGGTAGAAGATGTCAAGGAGGGAGATTTGCTTCTGGGTCCTGATGGAGGACCTAGACGCGCATTTAATGTGGTCAATGGCAAGGATCGTCTATATCGGATCAACATCGGAAGCGGAGAAGAAGATCTTGTTGTTACTACGAACCACATCCTCGTCTTGCACAAAGAGAAGCTGAGTGGCAATGCGCCTGCTGTGTCAGAGGCTGACAAATTTGAGACTCATGAGATGACTGCTGCTCAGTTTGCTGCAATGGAGCCTGCGGAAAGAGCAAAGTTCAGATTATTTCGCTCATCTGGTAATGATTCGGCGGGCAAAAAGGCTGAAGTCCACAGGTTCGGCATCGAAAGCATCACACTTGAGTCCGAATCCACAGAATGGGCAGGCTTCCGCGTGGATGGGGACCAGTTATATCTTCGCCATGATAATCTCGTGCTTCACAACAGTGGTTTTGAAGAGAGCATGAAATTCAAGAAGCTGACCAATGCTCAACGATCCGGTCTCAACCAGATTCCTAACCGTCGCTTCACATTGTGGTGGTCGCCAACCATCAACAGAGCCAACGTCTATGTCGGTTTCCAGGTGCAGCTTGATTTGACTGGTATCTTCCTTCACGGCAAAATCCCAACACTGAAGATCTCTTTGATTCAGATATTCCGGGCACATTTGTGGCAAAAGATTCACGAGTCTGTTGTCATGGATATGTGTCAGGTTTTTGACCAGGAATTGGAAGCTCTCGGCATTGAAACTGTGCAAAAAGAGACCATTCATCCCCGCAAGTCCTACAAGATGAACAGCTCATGCGCTGATATTCTGCTCTTTGCAAGCCACAAGTGGAATGTTACGCGCCCGTCGCATCTCAATGATACGAAGGATGTAATTGAACCTACGACAACGAACAAGTTCTGGATTGATATTCAGCTTCGCTATGGTGATTACGATTCTCATGACATTGACCGATACACGAGAGCCAAGTATCTCGACTACACAAGCGACAGTGCCAGTATCTACCCATCTGCTACCGGCCTGATGATCGGTATTGATTTGGCTTACAACATGTACTCGGCTTTCGGAATGTTCTTCCCTGGACTGAAGGTTCTTGTCCAGCAGGCCATGGCCAAGGTCATGAAGGCCAACCCTGCCCTCTATGTCTTGCGAGAGCGCATTCGCAAGGGTCTTCAGCTCTATGCCTCCGAGAGCAACCAAGAATTTCTCAACTCTCAGAACTATTCCGAACTTTTCAGTCAGAAGACTCAGCTGTTCATCGATGATACCAATGTCTACCGTGTCACCATTCACAAGACATTCGAAGGCAACTTGACCACGAAGCCCATCAACGGTGCCATTTTCATCTTCAACCCTCGTACAGGCCAGTTGTTCTTGAAGATTATCCACACCAGTGTTTGGGCCGGACAGAAGCGTCTGGGACAGCTCGCCAAGTGGAAGACGGCTGAAGAAGTTGCGGCCCTCATCCGATCTCTGCCTGTTGAAGAGCAGCCGAAGCAGCTCATCGTCACTCGAAAGGGTCTACTTGATCCGCTTGAAGTGCAGCTGGTTGACTTCCCCAATATCTCCATTCGTGCCTCTGAGCTGCAGCTTCCGTTCCAGGCCGCCATGAAGGTTGAGAAGCTTGGTGACATGATTCTCCGTGCCACAGAGCCCCAGATGGTTCTCTTCAACCTGTATGACGAATGGCTAAAGAGCATCTCGTCATTCACTGCGTTTTCACGTCTCGTCCTTATTCTGCGTGCTCTGCATGTCAACCCCGACAAGACGAAGCTCATTCTTCGTCCTGACAAGACCATCATCACGCTGGAGCATCACATCTGGCCATCACTGACAGATGAAGAATGGATCAAGGTTGAGACGCAACTGCGCGATCTTATTCTGAATGATTACGGCAAAAAGAACAACGTCAATGTGTCTAGTCTGACGAGCAGTGAAGTACGAGACATCATCCTGGGTATGGAAATTTCTGCACCTTCCATGCAGAGACAACAAGCGGCCGAAATCGAGAAGCAGCAGCAAGAGCAGGCTCAGCTCACCGCCGTTACCACCAAGACGCAAAATGTGCACGGAGAAGATCTCATTGTTACGACCACGTCGCAATTTGAGCAGCAGACGTTTGCCTCCAAGACTGAGTGGCGCACACGTGCCATTGCGACGTCAAACTTGCGCACGCGTGCCAAGAACGTCTACGTCTCTCCCATGGACAATGACCTCGACGACGTCACCTACGTCATGCCAAATAACATTTTGAAGAAGTTTATCACTATTGCTGATCTGCGTGTGCAAGTCGCTGGCTACCTCTACGGCGCTTCTGCGCCCGACAATGACCAGGTCAAGGAGATCAAGTGCATCGTCATGATTCCACAAGTCGGAGGCCTCCGCAACGTGCAGCTCCCGCAGCAGCTGCCGCAAAGCGACTTTCTCGAGGGCATGGAGCCACTCGGCATCATCCACACGGCGTCGGGTAGTGAGTTGCCCTACATGGCGGCTGCCGACGTGACGGAGCACGCCAAGCTGCTCGACGCGCACAGCTCCTGGGACAAGACCAATACAGTGACTGTATCCGTCGCCTTTACGCCCGGCAGCGTCTCACTGTCGGCCTGGGGCCTCACGCCGCAAGGGTACCAATGGGGCGTCGAGAACAGGGATTTGCAGAGTGACCAGCCGCAGGGCTTCACGACCACCATGGGTGAGAAGCGCAAGCTGCTCCTGAGCCCGCGCTTCCGCGGCTTCTTCCTCGTGCCCGACAACGGTCGCTGGAACTATAGCTTCATGGGCAGCGCGTTTGCAGGCATGGAGAAGAAGAGCGTACACGTCAAGCTTGACACGCCGCTGCCGTTTTACAGCGATCAGCACCGGCCTGTGCACTTTCACAGCTTTGCGGAGCTCGAGGATATTGGCGTTGATCGTTCCGACAACTTTGCATAAATGGATTCTAATAGAGAGAAGAAATCAGGGAAATAATATTGGAGAAGGAAAAGGGGTTTGCATAAAAAAGGATGCAACGAGGCGTTGAAAGTTGAGAGGGACATTTATTGTTGCATCATTGTACTTTTCTGTCTGTTTGTCAAATTTGATTCCATCTGTTGAGGAGCATAACTGCCTGTTATGCCCATGATAGTCTCTGTAGTACTAGCTTTGTTGGTCATACTTGATGGGTTCAAAAATAGAAAGAGCTTTGAGACATTGTTACAATACTATGTACCCCGTAGCTTGCAGGTGATAGCGTCAATGGATGTGCGAGACGGTCAAAACAGGGCAAGTATCCGGACTATTGTTTAGGCCCATGCGTGCGAAGAAATTAGAGCATCGGCATTGACACGTGCGAGCAGATGAAGCGGACATGTCGCCGCCAAATGCGCCGCGTTGCCAAGCCTAGAAAGAAAAAGTCATGCCTAACATGCATCATGGGAATAGTTGGGGTAAAGATGCGCAAAGCCGCTCGCGACAACTTGCACGGCGAGGCTTGTTCGGAGCGATCGTCTTTGTGAGAGGTGGCGTAGATGAGATGACGTCTCAGCTGGCGTCACGGTGAAGCAGTTCATGAAGCGGAGGGTCAAGAAGCAATGCAACTCACCGGGGTAGCCTTGCATGCATACTGGCGTAATTTAGCCAAGGACAGCGAAGGCAACAGCGCTGAAGAGCTGCCGGAAGCTTAAGCCGGAGGTTGTGGCGCCGCCTCAAGAGACAAGAGTTTAGGCGAGTCGGAGAGCAGAGTCAAATTGGACTATTTTATGCATTATGCACGTTCAATCTGTTATCCCACATCGCACGTCCACAAGGTTGGCCTGGGCAGGGGGCGGAGGGAGGGCCGCAGGGTTGCTCGCAGATGGGCAACGCCAAAGGGGGCTTGGGGGCGCGTCACAGACAGGTTAGACTCGAGGTCGAACAACAAGGTGAGCCGAGAGGAGCGAGAAGAGAGGCCAAGCAGGCGGGAGAGTGGCGGGAGACCAGCCACCAGCCTCTGGCGAGCTATTAAGCTCGTGGGCAGGCAGGCCCCCGTGGTGGGCCATGACGACACAATCGTTGCAGCTGTAAAGGGAGAGGCTGAGCGAGAGGCGGCTGGTATTACCAGAGCATGGGATAATGAGGGATCGCGCTGAAAGCAACCGACTAGTGACTTGAGACGGGCACGCCCACAATAAAGGCGGGCGGTGTCTTATTTTCTTGAGGATTCGATTCGTGTCTTGGTCCGATATGCTGGTCCAACGCCAAGCGACATGGGCAAAGGGGACCACGGCGAGCAAGCTTTCGAGGAGTAGCGGGAATGGCGCTATAACTCTGGAGAGAGATTGACTCAGACATGGGCGCCACCAGGCGATTTTGACAGGTGAGCAGGGCTAATTTTGGGGTGTACGAAGTACTTGTAGGACGTGCGGATGTACGGGCGTATGGACCGTGGTAAGTGCTTGTGAGGCTGGTGACTCGTGTGCGAGGTCCGCCGAGGACGCGACGGCACAAGTCGGAGGCATCTGGGTACGTCTGCGAATGTTGGATGCTTTTCTTCTTTTTCGGTCAAAGGAGGCCTTGTATTGGATCAATGGAGAGGCATCGAGCAGCCAGCCGGGACTAGCCGCAGCGCAGGGTGCAGCGCACACTACATTCCTGGGCTGGTTGTTGGCACAGCGTGCACTGCAAAGGGGAACAACCATACCTGGGAGCGCGCACAGTCGACGGACGAGGTAATTAGAAACGGAGATGGCCGCCAGAAAGTTTTGGTTCGAATCACGAACGCAAAGTGGGAATAATTGGCCCCATCGCAGGCAGGGCGAAGATGGAGGGTGGATGGATAGATGCTGGCAGAAAGCCTGAGAGGGGAAGGAAATTAGAAGGACTGGGGCTATGGAGATACGGGCGTTGGATGAGGCGGTTTTGACTTGGGACGGGAGGCTTTTTCTGGTCTTGACAGGAGAGCAAGAGAGGCAGCTCAGAGGCTCAGAGGGGAAAGTGTTTGAGTTGCTTGGAGGAAAAGGCTGCAGTACTTGGTGCTAGGTAGTAGCCTGGTGGTGGTGCGGCGTGCCTGGGCCGCTGGGCGGAGGTTAACCGGGGGCGCGGCGGACCAGGCTTTACGAGTAAGGAAGGAGGGGCACGCCCGCCGTTGGGGCGCTTCTTCCCTGCCAATTTTACTGTGGGTAACATACTTTTGTACGGAGTACCCAGTTGCCAGCCCCAGTCAGGTACCCAGCTGCCAGCTATTTAGTATTTACCAATGCACCTACGAGTACGTATACGTACGTACGCATGGGGCTCTGGGTATCGCTGCCTGGATATCGCTGCCTGGGTATCGCTGCCTGGGTATCGCTGCGACAAGAGCAAACGGCGATTGACTGAGAGAAAAGACGGGCCGACAGCAACAAACGGGCTCACTGCAGACGCATAGATAGGTAGGTAGGTAGGTAGGTAGGTAGGTAGAGATTAAGACAGGGAATTCTTCCTTCACCAAAACACCATAGCCGAAATTACCAGATTGGCCATCATCATGGCCGCTTCATCCATCACCACCAACGCTCCAACGCTATCATTATCAGCCAGCATCATCGTCATCGCCACCACCCTCGCCTCGCTCCTCGGCAAAATTGATGCACACCAATCCGACCCCCCAAATGAATCCCCCTTCCCCCCCTCCAATGCCAATGCTGGCTGCATGGGTAGAGTTCGGATTGGATGGCCTCTCTTTTAAATCAGCCCACTCTCCATACATTCATCCAGGACCGTTTCCACCTGCACCTGCACATGCGCATCGCACACACACCCTGGCCTGGCCCATCTCCCACCGCCCGCCATCCCACATCGATGTATGTACATCAGCTGCGCCGCCGCTCGGCTCGGCATTGATTCTATCACCATGTACCCGTACTCGCCATGAGACAACTCAGCCTACACCACAGCCAGACAGCCTGCGGACCTGCACCAACACATGCTAACCTGTCAGCGTACCTGCCAGTCCTTCACCATGGCTCCTTCATCAGATAAACCGACCGGTCGGTGAATGCCTTTTGGCCTCGAGCTATGCTGCGACGCCCCCGCTGGTTTCGATCCCCCACAACGGAGCTTTCCTCTGTATCGCCCATTGGACTCCTTCGTTAGTCGCTACCGTCTCAAGTCTTGCCTAGCATGGATTCCTCATCCTCATCTTCGTCGCCGCATGCCAAGTTACGCATCGTCTTCATTTCTTGACACGAATATGTCTCCTCTTGCTGCCCACTGGCTTGCGCCTATCTTGCATAGTTCTCCGCGCCTTCATCATCTGCCTGTTGCGCGTTCCGGAGCACCAGCCAAGTTCTAGCTTCACGTCTGATTTTTTTTTTTAAAAAAAAGATTCCAGTCCGTCGAGATCCACGCCTATAACAGAACCTGGTTCGGGCCACATCTCCGACCCTTTTTTTTTCTTCATAGTCCATCGAGCTACGGATACACGCCGCCCTTGTTGATTGCAATCCAATGTGCACAGACATGGCTGGCTCTGCCGGCCCTTGAGTTCAAGAGCCACCAATCTATCCTTTCGCCCGCACGCCCAGTTGCAGTCAGTCTGATCTTTAAGCTGCGGACGGCTTGTGACATTCATCCCGCATAATACTCCAGCCACTAACAAGTTGAGCCAAGCCTGAAGCCAGGCACACCACAAGGACAAGATACCACCTTTCACACACGCGCGTCAACCTGAGCGCTCAAACCATTCTGACACTGCATCCATCCCTATACGGAGCCCTGCTGCGCACAACTACTCAAGAGTCAAGACTGCGACGGGGCCCGCTCGGTTCCGCTCACTCATGTCAAACTCGTCGTTGGTCCTCATAATAAGCAGCGGTTATTTTTGCTCTTGACTTGACCGCGCACGATGGACCACTTCACGCTTTCTGTGCGTGACTTGTGGTGGCCAAGGGTTCTTTTGTCTGTGTGACAAGGAACGAACCCACCTCGCGCCTCCCGACACCCTCGACCATAACGGTATATTTGGTCTATGCAGGCAATACAGCCACCCCTCTCAGAAAAGCTTTTCATTCGACCCCTGTCTTGCAGCATGTACCCACACCCTTTGACATCTGTTACTTGCAGTCTTGCATTTTTTTTTCTTGTTGCTTCCAGCCAATCCGGTCCGCCCTGGCCAGGCGCGGCTTGCATTGGGCTTGCCTTGCGACACTGCTAGCTTCATGTCTGCTGCTCTTTGGTCCATTGGCAAATGACACCGTGCTCCCAATCATCAACCCAGCATGACTGCCAATGTGCTAGATGTCTGTCTGCGAGTCGACCAGTGTGGCCGTTGCAGAAGGATGTCTGCCACCCATTCCTTCTAGTCCCCTGTACACGAACTTATCCGGCAACTAGTTGCTTCAACTATAGTACCCTCACACCAAAGCTCTTATGGTCAACAAGCACCGCAACGTGTCTGCATATCAGTACACGTTCTCTCCTCGTGCTATCCAGACACCCTTATTGAAGCTAGTAGCTTTACGCATCTGGCTAATGAAGCCGGTTGGCGGCCGGCGATACATGCACTCATCTGCAGGCTGGCCCCAGTTTCTCCCACTCACACTCAACTATACCCTCCAAGTACCATGGCTGCTGCTACATAATTTGGTGCCAATCGCGCCTCGTATGGGGACTCTGGGGAGTTGTCTTGGAGTTGCAAGGTCCGTATCGACTCTCTAGCTGCCCACAATTGCCTTGATTGCATAACCTGGCCAAATTGTCGCGTTCCCAAGGTCCTCGCCCCTCGTCGACAAGGCGCGGCCGCGCCGTCTTTGAGGGTCAGCATGGGGCCGTAGAATCTCATGTGCATCTAGTCAAGAAATGCCATCGATGGGCTCCCATACCCACCCGACCTGGCAACTTGGCGGCGGGCTTCCGAGCTTTGAGACTTGATAGATAGACTCAGAACACACACCACACCACACACCATGGGGATCCTCTCTCACTCCTCGGCATCAACTCTGTATAATGAGCCCTTCCCCCATTAATATTCATGCCAGGAATCTCCACAAAGGCGAAGCCTCGAGTCGTTTATATATCATCCCTGTGACGGCGCTATAAACGTCAGATCTTATGTGCTTCACTACGAGACCTCATCTTTGTGAGAATACATCGACTTTGAACTAATTCACGACACTTTCGCGACACCTTATCTCCAGCGTTCATGCCTCTGATGCCATCATCTGATCAGTGTAGCATATTGGCATAAATCGAAATTAAAAGGATCTACGTTATATGTGAGCGTTGGCGCAAATCGACATTCTGCTCATCTCCAATTCCCGTCATTTTCGAGACGGCGGCGAAACACGCCCCTGCTCAGCGCATCGCTACACACCATTTGCTCTCCATTTTCCCAGCAATCTGCTTTGAAGCGGCCAGGAACAACCATTGTGCTGTGATTTCCCTTCGGAGATTTTTAGGTTTTGGATTTTTGACAAGCACGACCTCGCTACGGGCCCTCCATCATCAGACATCTCAGCCAAGCCGGCGCTTCTGCCAGCCCTGCTGCCCTCGCGCGGCTGCATTACCGTTACCAATCAGTTTATTAACAACCACTCTCCCCCATTATCCTTGCCCGATACCCACTGCGAGCAAGGCAGGCCAAGGGTAGCCAGGTCTCTTTTTCTCTTCTCTCTTCCATTCTTCTCCCCGAGTTGAGAAAGAGATTTACTTTGCTGGCCTTCTCTTGCCTTTCTTGGAGCTTGCATTCTTCCCTTTCCGCTCTTGATAGAATTCGGCTCTCTTCTCTCTTCTCCCAAGTCGCCCATCTCGTGGGCGCCATATCGAACATTATTTCCATCTACAGACCGGCGACCGTTCAGGGCGGATCGCTCTGGAGGGATCCATGCATCAAGACCACGCTGGCGGATAACTATCGACATACTTACAATGTGGACTACTCTGGTCAGCTCTCTCCGTCTGCTGACCAGAGGCAAGTTCACGCCACATATGACACGTCCGCCTTCTCCGATACACAGCGGCAGCATGGCCAGGAACACCACCAACAGCACCAACAGCACCACCATCCTAACCCTTATCAAAGGGACGTCATAGACTCTAGTATCCCCCGAATTCAAACAGACTCGAACACAGACTCTGCTACCTCCCACCACCAGCAGGTTCTAGCACAACCACAAACATCCCCGCACGGCTCCTCGCAGCTTCTCTTCAGTCCAGCCATGGGACCACCTCGAGGAGACCGTATGGGCAACCCATTCGGAGCACACGGGTCTTTAATCAACCCTCTTTATCCGAACATGTCACCTTCTAACCCGCGTCACTCGCCATCATCTCCACATCAAGGAAGCAGCTCAGGGAAGAGACCACGACCTGAAGATTTTGACATGGCCTCAGCAGGTATGCAAGAGCTACAGCATACGGGTCTTGCTGGCATGGTGACGACGCCAATGGGAGGAAGCTATTCTTCAGGCAGTGGGATGGCAGGCACGCCGCCGTTGCCCATGACACATCACCACCACCTGCCAGACATGGGACCACCCTCGAAAATGATGCGAAGAGACGAGTCGGGGCAACTATCCGCTGCGAGCATGGTTGGGCAGGAAGGCATGCCAATGCCAGCGCCAAGGCCCCGGGGACCAAAACTCAAGTTTACGGCCGAGGATGACCAGTTGCTGATTCTGCTTAAGGAGCAAAAGAATCTGACGTGGAAGCAAATCGCCGACTTCTTCCCTGGACGCTCTTCCGGGACCCTACAAGTACGGTATTGCACAAAGCTCAAGGCGAAAACGACCTTGTGGACAGATGACATGGTACGTTGCCACTAATTCGCCGCTGGCGAGACTGGTTCGAATCGCTAATGGATCCAAAACAGGACCAAAAACTTCGCAACGCACTACAAGATTATGAAAATGAGAGATGGAGAATCATTGCTCACAAAGTAGGAACTGGATTTACACCCGCGGCGTGTCGCGAGCGAGCCGCCCAAATCGGTATTGGCGACGAAGAGTACCAACCGCCCATGTCTCCCGAACCTGGCCCTTCCGAGAGCGGTATTATCATGTATCCTAATGAAAACCGGCACTTGCCCTTCCCAGAGAAGCACCACCAGGGCATGCCGGAACAATGACATCAATGGCGAAGTTGGGCCGCAGTTCTCATTATGACACTTGGAGGCAGATTGGCTCAATACGACTTTTATGCACCGGTTATTCAGAGAGACACCCACTTCGCCTTTCTTCTACTTCTTTCACTATCCCTTTTTTACTTATCTGATACTCTTTACCTTGAGTTCTTGTTGCGAGGGTATGGGATTGTTTGTCTGTTATTGCTCTCGATTTCTCGCCTCGTTCATCACGATTTATTACGCTTACGCATGCGGATACGAGTCCGCTACATCGAGCCGTGTTTGATTTTGTCAGATTGGAGCACGAGAATACGAATCACTGCTGCCAATTTATCAACTCTCCTCGCCCGACTGTCCCTCGCTGGACTCTTTAGTTTTAGCTAGGTGTTGAGCATGTATGGAAGGGGTTGTATGCTTGTGTATGTATGTATGTGTGTGCGCGCGCGGGCGTTTCGGCCGAAACGGAGAAGGACGAAGGAAAAGCGGAATCAAATATTCGTTGCAAATGGGCTGTATTATTTTCTCACAAATACCCAGCACCGGCGTTTTCTTGGAATTTCTCTACGAATGGGGAACATTTGAACAGGCTTGGGCTTTTGGATGGTGCATTTACCCAATTGTGGACAAAAAAGACACCAGAAAAAGAAGAGATGAAAAGAATTCACCAAGCCAAAGTATTGATTTTATCTGCGTTCGAATTAATTTGTCTCTTCTTGCCGGCTTGGTGTATATACAAGACTTGATACTTGCTGCAACGCAGATATGTAAATTCGGTGCGTGTAGTTGTTCTTTCATATGGTTTATCTCGGCACTTTTCGCAGCCGGAGCCTTTGAGTTGCAGCAGACGCATTGAACGGCATTGATCGGCCTATTCCACCTCTTGATATGCTGCCTCGCGATGAAACTTGGCACGCTGTAGCGTCAAAAAGTTTAAGAAGTGTCGCAGTTTCCCACGGGAGAAGGTTCGTTGCTAATCCGTTTCATCGTACTCTTTCTTCAAGGTGAGTCCGGGTCGCGAAACACCTTGCTCTAAAATTGCCGCTCTAATCCAAGATGGGCTGACCGGCAGAACGTGTAACGAGGTGCATGGAAGTGGTTTTTTTTTGATTATCTTGTGCCTCTCCATCGTCGTATCCAACTACGTTGCCAAAAAATGCTCCGCGAGCTGCTCCTCATTCATCACCACGCGTCGCTCGACCAGGTCAATCACCTGCTCGTGCACGCTGACGTCGATGCCGTCGTCACCGAGGTACGCTGCCGCGTCGACGAGCCAGCCGTTGAAGTCGCGAATCTCGGTTGTGGCTTTCCCAGCCTCGACATCCTGCAGCATGGAGCTCTTATTGTCCTGAACAAGTGCACCGACGCGGTGCAGCATGGCGCGCAGCCGCGGCTGGGCGAATCGCGCCGCGAGCTCTGCGCGCAGCGCCCCGACGCTGCGGCCGGCTTGCGTATCGGACGCGAGAATGGCGGCGCTGCTGGAGTCCGCGACGAGGGCTTGAAGGATGCGGCTGGAGGCGGCAAGCATGAGATCCATGACGCGCAAGGCGGAGTCGCTGGCAAAGAGACGACCGGTCTTGCACCGCAGGATGGCGGACAGCGGGTTGATGCATGTGTTGACGACGAGCTTTTCGAGCTGCAGCACCCACACATCGAGGCTGCTAAAGGCGCGGGCGGCGAGGGTTTCCGTGTCGACCACTTGCGCGGTGAGGTACGCGGCGCTGCTGGGGGCTGCGGATGCGAGTGCGGATGTGGTGCCAGACGTTACGACGGGGCCGAGGTAGGCGTCGGCGGGTGAGGCAAAGACGCTGCGAAAGGGACCAGTAGAGTAAAGCCCGTGGTTGGTGACGCAGAGAAGCGCGTGGAAGCCGGCGGCGCCGTCTGGGGGGAAGCGTGCGGCCATGTAGGAGGCCCCGTGCGGCGGCCACAGCTTGGACATGCCGTTCTGTGCAAAGGCCACGGTTGACTGCGCGTCTAGGTAGCGCCGCATGCGGTCGACCTCGGGCAGCGCGGCCTGCGCCTTGGTGGTGACGAGGAGATTGTGAATGGTGCCCCCGTCGGCGGCTTCGCGGACGGGCGCGGCGCTGCCGATCTCGGGCGGCTTCTCCTCCGTCCACCACTCAATATCAAAGTCCTTGCATGTGTGGACCTGGTCCCTGCAGGCGATTTCGATACCTTTGCTTTTGTGCCATTGAGAAAGCAGCTCTTTGCGGTGCACGATGAGCGTGATGGGAGGCGGATCGGCGCGAGTGCGAATGTAGAGAGCGTACATGCGGCCGAGGTTGCCGAGGCCGAGGATGTATAAGCGGCGGTCGGCGTCGTCGGCAGGCCGGGCAGACGGCGCGGACGAAGAGGGCGAAGCGGTGGTGAGGCCGAGATGTGCGGGGGTCCATGCGTAGAGCTTTGGCGCTGGATTGTTCTCTCCAAGTAACGAAGAGAGCCATGGCGGCGGAGAGGGCTGAGAGGTCATGCTTCTTCTACTTGCGGAGATGCTGGCGCGGACGGGGTGGTGAGAGACTGCAAGGCGAATGCAGGGAGAAAGCATCGGCCGCGAGGCTGTCCCCCACATTTCGGCACGGCAGTGAAGAGCTAGTTATGAAATGTGATGATCTATGATGACCAGTGGCTAATAGATCTGATGCATTTGCCAAGCTGCCAAGTTTCAAAGATGTCATTTTATGGCATGTAAGAGCAAGGTAGTTGTTATTGGCTTACAGACGACCGGCCTAATCAGAGGAGACGAGAATGGAGCCAAGCGGGTCAAGACACAAGCTAAGAACTTGATAAGAAGCAAGGTGTCCAAGGTGGCTTACTATGATGACCCTAAAACTGGAAATATGTATACGAACTTATATTACTTAACGGGCGGGCATTATGATTGACAGGAGCACGTTGCCGTCAATCTTTTTAGTGTATATTAATAAAGTATCCCCGTACTAACTATTAATATGAAGTGAATATGAAGGCTGCACGGCGAGCTGCACAAGCCCAAACCCCGACGGTATAAATAAAGACTCAAGACCCGACGGTACGTGGGTACTAAAGCTGCACGTGCCAGTGGAGAAAAAAGGCAGCCAAACGCCCATCTTTGGCGCCCCAGGCCACTAAGCTGCACTGGGCTAGGCTGCCTCGGGAGTCATTCACAGTTTCTCATCACTATGTCCATGACGTCTATTCGTGAAGATTCATCTTGATTTTGTCGAAAGCAACATCTTTAGGCAGAGCGCTTGTTCGGCGATCTACCATGAGCTATAAGGCCTTCTCGTGGGACTAGGAGGGTGTCTCTGATCACTTGCGCAGTTCGCCCTGCCACCAAACAACTGCCATCTCATTCACGGTGCTTGTTTGCCACCTCTAAGCTTCGACGAAAGAATTCTAGCCCAGACGCCCGGATTAGACAATGCATTGAGCTTTTGCTACTGGCTCTTCTCAGCTTTGCGACATAGGCGACCTCGTGTTAAAGGAGAAGCCGTGTAACATTGCTACCCCTCGCCACTGCCGTTTCTCGCAACGAAACCTGGCCCAACTCCCACCACCACTGTTGCAGCCCATCATCGCGGCACTCCGGCAATCATGGATCACGAGGAAAATTCAGCGGCTGAAAACGCCGATCGACGGAGCGATTTGGTCGACAAGATGGTTGCCGCCGCGCACGACGAGGCCGGAGAGGTAGACGACACAGAGCAACCTAACGACCTCGCCGGCATGACTGAAGAGGATGCTCTCAAGAACCTGACCGGCACCGTCCGCGACCAGGACGAGCTGGAGCGCGACATTACGCTCCAGGCCAACGCGGCTATCATGGAGCAAGAGGACAAAAAGGACCAGGCGCGCATCCAAAAACTCGAGGCCTCGCGCCAGCGTCTGAAGCTGCAGCTCGACAAGGAGAAGAAGCGACTCGACCGCGCGACCACAAACCCCTATCAGGCTGCCAACATTCGCAAAGAGGTGGCCAAGATTGAGCAAGAGATCCTGCACATTAGCAGTGACATTTCGGATTTTCAGACGCGCATGAAGAAACGTCACGAGCAAGACCCCCTCGAAGTTCCGACCACTGCAAAGTCGGCCAGGTTACCGGGAGAGAGCCACCGCGACTACCTCATCCGAACTGGCAAAATTACACCCTTTGCACGTGTGGGAGGACCGAGGCCTGCTGGAGTCGAAGGTCGATTAGCGGATGCCATTCTCGATGCTGAAGAAGAAGCGGCTGCAGAGCAACTCGGCGGCCCGGACGAGGAGCCCGCGTCGCATCAGCTGCTGCGACGGCCTGGCTTCGAAGACGAAGCACCAACGACGACAAGCACCACGCCAGCGGCCAGCAGCGCCGTTGAATCTGAGTTCTCGCTTCGACCTCGCAAGCGGCAACGGCGTGAGAGAGCCCGTAGTCCTTCTCAAGACTATGAGCCAGGAGTCTCGGCCGCCGAGGAATCTGGAGACTCGACAGTCTGGCAGCAGGGAACAGAGGAAGATTTGGTTCGAGAGGAACGACGCAAGAATAAAGTGAAGGCTGCTGTCAAGGCGCAGGAGCAGATTGACTTGACAAAGATTGACGATGGCAATGAGAAGCTGTACCAGCGTCGTCTAAAAGACTGGATATCGCGACGCAGCCGCGCCCGGCGTTCAAGAAGACAGGCACAAGAGTCTACAGAGGCTGAGGCGGAGAGCGACGCAGAGGCAGATGAATCGACAAAGCCATCACCTGACCACCCAGACTGGTCCATCGACGAAACCCTCAAGCTCCCTGGAGATATTCATCCATCGTTGTTTGGCTATCAAAAGACTGGCGTGCAATGGCTCGCAGAGTTGTACAAGCAGCGCGTGGGTGGTATCGTCGGTGACGAAATGGGCCTAGGGAAAACTGTTCAGCTGATTGCATTTCTCGCTGCCCTGCACAGCAGCAAGAAGCTAAAGCGTCCAGTCATTGTCGTTGCTCCCGCTACGCTTCTTCGACAATGGGTCAGCGAGTTTCACCGATGGTGGCCCCCTTTGCGTGTTTCGATCCTGCATTCGTCCGGCAGTGGCATGCTAAACCCAACTGCCGAAGACGACTATGATTTGGACCACTTTCGCCCCGTGGCTGGCAAGTCTGTAAAGGCGGCACGGCGCATCATTCGCGCCGTTGTCGACAAGGGCCACGTGCTTGTCACTACTTACACTGGACTTCAGACGTATGCCGAAGAACTACTAAGGGTTGAGTGGGAGTATGCCGTCTTAGATGAAGGCCACAAGATTCGAAATCCGAATGCCGAAATCACTGTCACCTGCAAGGAACTCAACACCCCGAATCGTGTGATTCTCTCTGGAACTCCGGTGCAGAACAATTTGACCGAGCTCTGGTCACTGTTCGACTTTATTTATCCCATGCGACTAGGCACTCTCGTCAACTTTAGGACTCAATTTGAAATTCCAATCCGACAAGGAGGCTATGCCAATGCTTCGAATCTTCAAGTCATGACGGCTGAAAAGTGTGCAGAAGCGCTGAAAGAAACGATTAGCGAGTACCTTTTGCAGCGCCTGAAGGTTGACGTTGCCGCAGACTTGCCAGAAAAGACGGAACAGGTTTTGTTTTGCAAGCTGACTGACGGCCAGCGCAAAGCATACGAGACATTTCTTGGTTCCGATGAGGTCTCTGCCATTCTGAATCGAAGACGGCAGTCTCTCTACGGAATTGATATTTTGCGGAAAATCTGCAACCACCCTGACTTGCTGGACAAGAAGCTGTCTGAAAAGGCTGGCTATGACTATGGTAGCCCCAGGTTGTCGACAAAACTGCAACTTACCAAGGATCTCCTACAAAACGTCATGATCCCCAATGGACACAAGATGCTACTTTTCTCTCAGGGCAAACTAATGCTGAATATCATTGAAAAATGCATGAGAGATTGCGGCATATCGTATCTGCGTATGGATGGAGAGACGCCGGTGGACCAGCGCCAGCCAATGATTGATCGCTTCAACAACGACCCGGACGTGCACGTCTTCCTCATGACTACACGCACCGGTGGTCTGGGAACCAACCTCACAGGTGCTGATCGCATAATTATATTTGATCCAGATTGGAATCCTTCAACCGACTTGCAGGCACGAGAAAGAGCTTGGCGACTCGGCCAGAACAAACCTGTCAAGATATACAGACTCATGACGGAAGGTACAATTGAAGAAAAGATCTACCATCGACAAATCTTTAAGCAGTTCATGACGAACAAAGTACTGAAAGATCCAAAACAACGCAGCTCGTACGACTTGTCTGACTTGTACGATCTTTTCACGTACAATTCTGGCGGAAATGCGGCTGCTCAACGAAGCGAAGTTTTCAGGGGTGCCGAGGTGGACATAACAAATGGTGAGGGTAGCACAAAGGATGATAATACCGCTTTCGATTACGAGCAACAAGAGTTGAAGCAAATGGATCTGGTCGCGGCCATGGAAGAGTTCAAAGAAGATAAGGCTGCGCAGGATGAGCGCCGCATGCTTGATGGCATCTTTGCTCGCTCTGTCAACAGCGCGTACGATCACGAGCAGATTGTCAACGGGCCTTCCAAAGCCAAGGCCGACATTGCCGTTCTCCGACACGAGGCCAATCAAGTAGCGAAGCAAGCCGCTGCGCATCTCCGACGCGCTGGTCAGGAAGCCCGCAGTGTGCCAATCGGGACAGTAACGTGGACGGGCGAAGTTGGCCAAGGCGGTCGACCTGGAGGCAATCGTCGCCGCGCAGGGCCTAGCTCTGCCGGAATTCTCAGCAACCTGGCTGATCGACAGGGCCTTGACGACGGTGCTGGAAGCGGCAGCTCTCGCGGTGGCACACCCGGCGTCGACAAGAACCTCAAGGCAAAGGATTTCATGCTCATGATTAAGCAGTACATTAATCGGCACGGGGGCAAGGTGCCGAGCAAGATGCTGGTTGACCATTTTAATCCATTCTGTCCGGGAAAGAAACAGAGCGACGAGTTCAAGACGGCGCTCGACACGATGGCGATGCTGAGCAAAACAGGTGGTGCTGGCAGAGGCATGTGGTCTTTGAAGCCCGAATTCAAATGATGGTCCTCGTACGGCACTCCCAATTAGACAAAACCTATGTATCGGGGGATTGGGAGTTCGCTCGGAGCATACGACATTGACTTATACCATAGAGCTTTGCTTTTAGAAAGAAATATCATGGCATTCAGACTAGAAGCGTCGTAGTCAGCATGCAGGCAGCTCACATTCACGGGGCAGACATTCATTGCAGAAGTAACTTTGTCATGGGCCTTCTTCGGGCGAAATTTAGAACTATCTACCGAAGCACCACCCGTCCCAGTCAAGGCAGGCAGCGCAACAACGTAGGTTGGAGACCAGGCGATAAATGCCGTCCTCCTCGTTTTCTCAACGCCACAGATGGAAACCAGTTAGACCAAGAGACTCCTTGCGCAAAAGAAAGATCCCAGCCAATAGACCAAGCCCTTCGTTTGCTGGAAAGAAAGACTCCCAAAACTTTTCGAATCGGTCGTGAATGTTCTTCTCTCTCGTGGAGCATTGCAACCTTGGCAAAGAGGGTTTTTCTTTGCATCTAGAGACGACGACCACGGCGACCACCCTTTCTGCGGGTCGAGTCGGAGGGGGTAGGGGTGACGTCCTCGATGCGGCCAATCTTCATGCCGGCGCGGGCGAGGGCGCGGAGGGCGGACTGGGCGCCGGGGCCGGGGGTCTTGGTGGCGTTACCGCCGGTGGCGCGGATCTTGATGTGCAGGGCGTTGATGCCGAGCTCCTTGCAGCGGGCGGCGACGTCCTGCGCGGCCAACATGGCAGCGTAGGGGGAGGACTCGTCGCGATCGGCCTTGACCTTCATGCCGCCGGTGACACGGGTGATGGTTTCGCGGCCACTGTGACCCCGCCAAACATATATTAGCGAATGACGTCCTTGAAGAATATTGATTGGGCACAAGATGCTGGGAGACAAGGGTCGTGGACGAACCTGAGATCGGTAATGTGGACGAAGGTATCGTTGAAGGAGGCAAAGATACGGGCAACGCCAAAGACGAGCTCGCCTTGTCGAAAAAAAGTAATGTTAGCTTGCATGTTTTTTGGATGCGACAAAACGGTAGTCCATTCGGCCAAGGATGAGAGCTAATTCGTACCATCACGGACGGAAGGACCGAGGGAGATGTTCTCCTGGGGAGCGCGGGTAGCCTTCTTGGGGGGAGCCATTGTGAACTGGAGTTTTGGTGGTGAGAACTGGGTGGGTTGAGAATGAGGAAATCTCCAAAATCGAAAACACCAAGCAACTGAGCGGGCACTTTTGGTGGTTTCGCGCGCGCAGCCCAGCCCCAGAGCGAGAGTGGGCTGGCTGGAAGCGGTGGGGTGTGGCAGTATTGGCCAATTTAGAGTGTGTGCACGAAAGCCCTGACCCTAGGCGAAAAAAAATGAAGGTCCGTCTTGAACGTCTTTGCGCCATCCCCATAAAAACTTTTGGCGGTGTGGGAAGAAAAAGGGTGGAGAATTTCTCTCGCTTGTGTGCGCCCAGGATACTCTGCAGAGGAAGAAAACATCCCCAAGCTGCCCACCCACACTCTTCTTCTCCTTCTCGATCATCACTAACCGACAACACCACAGCCAACCGTCGAAATGGGTGCCACGTATGTCTATCTACCTGGTTCGAACTCGTGCGAAAGCATGGACGCATGAGAGAATTCGATTTCATATCGGTCGGGTTTCTTTGCGAGCTATTATGCAGATTTTGTCGTGGTCCTTCTTTGCTGGGCAAAAAAATCAGCTCATCTCAAGTATGGAGCTTTGCTGAAAAGCAAAGTCTTCTCTTTGATTTGAGGCTTTGCCAGCTCGATTATTTCCCGTGGCTCATTGCCCTCATTCCTTCAGGCCTGCCATCAATGGCTCTGCGGATTTGAGAGATGCTGCCTGGGGTGTTGGAGGCAAAGAGTACTGTTCATCGAACATCTTGCCTCTCAAATGCATTGCTGCTGATTGGGTTGGTGCAACGGACGAATTGCCGGAAGGCTTCCCCTTGAACCAAACATGTCCCGTCGCAGCTTCATACTCTTGGACGAAAGTCTGAGGAATTGTCGGATGAATATTGTCGCACAAGCTCAGAGCTTTTTTGCATTGACTTGTCGTTTCACCGATCAAATACAGTCTCGAGTTAGCCAAAGCCAGAATGTCGCGCTTAAGCTACAGTTCTCGCACCGGCGCTCTCTGTTCCACGCCCTCGCACGGGGTGTGCTGGACTCCGTACTAATCTTGTCTGCTCACAGTACCGTCCCTACCAACGACCAGATCCTGGTCCCTGAGACCCTTCTTAAGAAGCGCAAGAGCCAGGAGAAGGTTCGCGCTGAGCGCACCGCCGCCATCGAGAAGAAGAAGGCCGTAAGTTTTATCTCTTTTTTTTCCCTTCACACAATCGTGGCACTATGTGATGCATAACATACATGCTTCAACTAGACATCTGTCGATGCTGTTGAAAGTTAACCTTCTTTCGGGTCTGATACAATCGCCTGACCTACACATTTCTCTTCCGCCAATGCTCAAGCCAGGCCATCATTGCTAACGACTGCAATAGTCCAACAAGGAGAAGCGTGGCGTCATCTTTAAGCGTGCTGAGAAGTACGTCAAGGAGTACCGCGATGCTGAGCGCGAGAAGATCCGTCTTCACCGCGCTGCCAAGAAGGACGACTCTGCCTATGTCCCCGCCGAGGCCAAGCTGATGTTCGTCGTGCGCATCAAGGGTATCAACAAGATTGCCCCCAAGCCCCGCAAGATCCTCCAGCTCCTCCGTCTGCTCCAGATCAACAATGGCGTCTTCATCAAGGTCACCAAGGCCATCACCGAGATGCTCAAGATTGTCGAGCCCTGGATTGCCTATGGTTACCCCAACCTCAAGTCCATCAAGGAGCTCATCTACAAGCGCGGATACGGCAAGATCAACAAGCAGCGCATTGCCCTGACCGACAACGCCATCATCGAGGAGAACCTCGGCAAGTACGGCATTGTCTGCATCGAGGATCTTGTCCACGAGATCTACTCGGTCGGCCCCAACTTCAAGCAGGTCTCCAACTTCCTGTGGCCCTTCAAGCTGTCCAACCCCACCGGTGGCTTCCGCGCCCGCAAGTTCAAGCACTACATTGAGGGCGGTGACCTCGGTAACCGCGAGGACGCCATCAATGCCCTCATCCGCCAGATGAACTAGACTGGTATTTTGATGCAACGAAAAAATGTGTATGAAGGATCGGGTAGGACAAAATTGGTAGTGACTTTAGGCCTACTTACACGGCATGGATGATTCGGCGTTTGCTAGCACGGCTTGGGCTTTTGTTTTGAGGAATAAATTTCCCCTCATGAATGGCACACCAGCTTCCCTGCATACTGTGACTACCTTTGTGATATTGGCCCGTGCATGTTTTTCAATATGTTAGGACTTGATAAAGCCTTCTAGTAGACTTGAGTGAGATTCTTCAGTCCGAGGCTTTCGGCCCACGGATCTATTGTATTATGATATGTGTACAGGGGTAATCGTTAAAAAGTACAGTGAAGAGAGTGGTGGCTGTTCATGACACCCCAACCGGAGCCCCTACATCTTAATGTCAAAGCTCGTTCCGCAGCCGCAGCTACTCGTTGCCAGAGGATTGTCCACAATCTTGAATTGCGAGCCGATTAGCTCCATTGTAAAGTCGACCTTGCTGCCTTTGAGCAGGTCGAGTGAGGGCTCGTCGAGAATGATCCGGGCGCCGTCGTACTTGCTGCCCACGGCGGGGTCTTCGCCGATATACTGAAAGATGGAGTCGTCCTCGCCGACTGCAGTAGCGGAATCCGCGGCGTCCTTTTGGGGTATCGTGATGAGGCTCATCAGGTATTGGAAGCCGTGGCAACCGCCACTTTCGACTTGGATCCGCAGCGCGAGGTTGGGATTCGAGTCTTTGGCCATGATCTCTGAAAGTCGCTGCACCATGTTAGCAAACCTGTTGGGTATTTGCTGCGCTTGCATCATTGTGCGCATCACGTATTCATGTATATGCAGTTCTGGCGTACCTTGGCCGCGCGAGTGGTTATCTCAAGCTTCATCTCGTTGCCGTCCTCGTCCTTGACCGGATTCTGCACGCACACCGTTGCTCTCCGAGCCGCCGAGGCGGAAAACGTTCGCCTAGGCATCGTCGTCGGCGCTGCGAGAGGTGCGGCGCTTCGTCTTACAAGCGACCGAGCTGTGCCGTTGGCCAGCCGAGGTGGCGAGGCTAGCAGCGTCCGGGGCGCGAGAAACTCGAGGCAGCCCGTCGTCGTGGACGCCGCGGCCGCGGTGGCATAGCGTCTCTTTGCGAGCTGGACAAAGGCGCGCGCCGAGCAGAAGCTATGAGCACATCGTAGAGGTGCCATTATCGGGTCGTGTTGTGGCAGGCAAAATGTGGCGGCTCTTGTGCTGGAAAGAGAGAGAGGACGAGGGTTATTAATACAAGATTGAGGTAAAGCCGATATAGAGAGCCTAGCATTGGCTGGCGTTGTGTGGTTCGAGCAGAGTTGGCTTACAGCGGGTGGTGCAGCGCTCGCACCACTGAAACCGGGAGTGCGCAGCGCCGTTGTAAATAAATTTAGCGGGCGTTCTTGTTTTTGCAGGGCTTACAGGCCTGGGCCGGGCGCTGGGAACCCCGGTGTGCAAGGCAAAAAAGTCGGCCCGCTGGTGGCTGAGGTAATCAGGGTCGGCCCAGGCCAAACTTTGTGTGTACGTTCTTGCTGGCAGGACCTCCTGCCGCTGGCTTCTGAACCGTGTCGCTAAGCCCCAAAGTGCGCGCCCCACCTGCCCACCAAAAATCATCAATTTTCACCCCGCGCGTCAGGGCGACTCGAACAAAGTCGTGAATTCAACTCGAGACTCACCCGAGCACTGACGATTAGCCGGTTCTTTTTGCCCGCCAGTCCAACTCGACCAAAATGTCTCGATTCTTCCGCCGTGGAGGCGACGATAGCTCCAGCGACAGCTCCAGCGACGAGGAGGAGCTCTACTCGGATACCGAGCAGCAGGACCTCCAGCAAGACGGCTCCGACCAGGAGGAGGACTCGGACTTCCCCGACGACAGCGACGACGATAGCAGCAGCGATGACGAGGCACAAGGGAAAAACAGATTCTTGAAGGATGCCGACTCGGACAGCGAGGATAGTGACGATGAGGCCCGCGCAAAGGTCAGGAGTGCAAAGACCAAGTTCATTGATGAACTCGAGGGCTCCATCAAACAGATTGAAAATGGCGAGAAGAATGGTGACTGGACGCTCATTTCGAACGGTGAGGATCACTACCGCGTTTTTATACGGCGCAGACTGGCAAGGAAAGGGATTTATGGAATGCTAATTATCTATGGACAGAGTTCGACAAGCTCACTCGTCAAATTTCGAAGATGCCCGCCGCCAACAAGACCCCCAAGCCTTATATCCGTATCCTTGCTGAGCTTGAGGACTTTATGAACGAGTCTCTCGCCAAGCAAAAAGTTACACCCAAGAAGATGAACGCCATCCAGGCCCGTGCACTCAACGCCGTCAAGCAAAAGATCAAGAAGACAAACAAGGAATACCAGTCCCAGATCGACTCGTATCGCGCGGACAAGGATGCCTTCATGGAATCCGAGGCTGAGGAGATCGAGGTTCCCAAGCCCTCCAAGGCCAGGACGGTGGCGGCCGTCGAGGCTGCCCCCGAGGAGATTGACGATGAGGGCTTCGCCACCGTTGGCAAGGGCGGCCGCACCCTCCAGTACACACCCGAGAGCATCTTCAAGCACCTTCGCGGTATTATGGAGTCGCGTGGTAAGAAGAATACGGATAAGGCTGAGCAAATCACAGTCATGGAGAAGCTTCTGGAGATTGCCAACACTCCTTATCAAAAGCTCCGCACACTCTTGGCTCTCGTCTCTGCCCGCTTCGATCTCGGCTCTGGCACTGCTACTGCCATGCCCCTCGATCACTGGAAGTCTGCTGAGAAGGAGCTCTCTGCTCTTCTTCAGCTTCTGAGCACTGAGAAGGAATATATTGTTGTCGAGCACGCCGAGGAGTGGGATGACGATGAGAAGCCCCCCGCGCTGGCCGACGGTGACAAGTACATCAAGGTCCCTGGCAGCATCGTCTCGTACGTCGAGAGACTGGATGATGAGCTTACCCGCTCCCTCCAGAGCATCGACCCTCACACTCCCGAGTACATTGAGCGCCTCCAGGATGAGAGCTCCCTCTACAACATCATCTTCCGCGGTATGCTCTACTACGAATACCTCCGCAAGGATACTTCCCTCGACACTCCCCAGGACAGCATCAACCGTATTGTCATGCGCAGACTGGAGCACGTCTACTTTAAGCCTGCTGCCGTCATCAAGACGTTCGAGGAGAACTGCTGGGAGGCCGTCGGCGCCAAGGTCGAGTCCGTCATCACCTCCCGCAGCCAGTCCCAGGATGCCAGCAACCTGGTCAATGTCCTCTGCAACTACCTCTTCAGCCACGCCGACGGCATTATTCGTGCCCGTGCTATGCTGTGCCAGGTCTACTTCCTTGCTCTGCACAACGAGTACTACAAGGCTCGCGACATGATGCTCATGTCCCATCTTCAGGAGAATATTCCCAACTTTGATGTTCTCAGCCAGATCCTCTACAACCGCACGCTCGTGCAGGTCGGCCTGTGCGCGTTCCGCAAGGGTCTCGTCTACGATGCCCAAAACACACTTCAGGAGATTTGCGGCAGCGGCAGACAGAAGGAGCTGCTCGCTCAGGGCGTCATGATTCAGCGATACAGCCAGGTCTCTCCCGAGCAGGAGCGCCTAGAGAAGCAGCGCCAGCTGCCTTTCCACATGCACATCAACCTGGAACTGCTCGAGTGCGTCTACCTTACCTGCAGCATGCTTCTGGAGATTCCTCTGCTGGCTCAGACTGGTTCTTCTCCCGACGTCAAGAAGCGCATCATCAGCAAGACCTACCGCCGCATGCTCGAGTACCACGAGCGTCAAATCTTCACCGGTCCTCCGGAGAATACTCGTGACCACGTCATGCAGGCTTCCAAGGCCCTTGCCGCGGGTGAGTGGAAGAAGGCAATTACCTTTATCCACAGCATCAAGATTTGGGACTTGATGCCTGATGCTGAGGACATCAAGACTATGCTGTCCAAGCAGATCCAAGAGGAGGGTCTGCGCACTTATCTGTTCACATATGCTCCCTTTTACGACACGCTCGCTACCGAGACGCTGTCGCAAATGTTTGAGCTCGACGACGCCAAGGTCACTGCCGTTGTCAGCAAGATGATTGCTCATGAGGAGCTTGCTGCCTCGCTTGACCAGGTTACCTCGACCGTCATCTTCCGCAAGGGCGTCGAGCTTAGCCGTCTGCAGTCCCTAGCTCTCACTCTCTCCGACAAGGCCAGCGGTCTCATCGAGACCAACGAGCGCACGCTCGAGCACCGCACACAGGGCACATCCAACGCCTTTGAGCGCCAAGGTGGCCGTGGTCGCGGCGGCCATAGAGGTGGTGGCCGTGGCGGCCGCGGTGGTGCTCGCCTCGGTGGCAACACGCAGCGCCAGGCTGGAGGAACGCAGTTTACTGGCGGCGCTCTGGGAGCTGCTGTTCGCGGCTAAGCGGGGAGATGATATGTAGACAGGCCATGAATCACACGTTGCATTGGGTTTAAAAGGATATGAAAAAGAATGGAAAGAAAGCATCTCTCACGCAGGCTTGGGCGTCTTTTTGTGCGTTTTTTTCTTACAATTGGAAGAAGAACCAAGGTCATGACTTTTGTTTTCATGTCTGTCACACGTGGGTGGGATGGGGATAGTGGACAGCACGATTTTGGTGGTGGAAGAAGAGGACTATATAGCCTCTTGTTCTTTGTTGACACATTGTTTTACCCGTGCGTTTTCTTTGACCTTTTCTTTGTTGTGTAATGATGATAAAAGAAAACTTGCAACAAAAAATATAGCAGAAATTTCGTCAAGCCTAGGTACGCAGGCCTGGTCTGTATTTGCGATTTAGCAATGATACAGACTGAAACGTTAATTTTTTTTTTTTTTTTTGGAATGGAAACTGGTTAAGTCATCCCTCGGCAATCTTCAAAGTGCTGATGAGCACGAAAGTTATTTGCCATCACGGTGAATGACAGTGCCAACAGTATATGTATGAGTCGTTATTCTCTAAATATTGACGAATTGCCGACATGAAGTGACGACGGAGCAGAAGCCAATCATAGCATCTAGTGCTCGCAAAAGTTGAACTCCGTCTGATCCCACCTGCTCTGAGTATCCTCCACCAGAATCTTGCGCTCCGCCATGAGCTCCTCCCGGACCCCCTTGGCCTCTTGCAGCGAAATGGGAAAATCCACGCCGCCAAGAACCATTTCGCGCAGCTCATTCGGCAGCTTCCTCCCGACCAAGTCGGCCGGGTCCGCGCCAACCTCGCGCTCCCACCACGCGCGCTGCTGCGGCGGCACATTCGCCGTCGACAGCACCGGCACCTTGGGATCAACCAGAAACAGCGCGAGAATCTTGCGGTGTCCCGGTCTGGTGGGGTCCGCGAGGCGAAAGGATCCGACGCGGTGCTGGTAGAGATTGGGGAAAAAGAGGGCGCGGCCGGGCGAGGTGACGACGTGGCCAATGTCTTGCAAGACGCTGCCACGGGCGCGGATGGCGAGGGCGCGCTCGATGCCCCGAGAGTCGTTTTGCTCGTAGAAGCCTTCCTCGTCGAGCTGCTCGCCGTTGGCGGCGGTGCGAAACGAGAGCGCGCTGGGAGTGACGTTGTGCGCGTCGTAGTAGAAGAGCGCCGTTGCGACGATGCGCTCGTTGAGCTGGCCCTCGACGTGCCAGGAGCCGCCGTCGTACTGCGGTTTCGCCGGCGTCAGGTGGATGCTGGCGAGCTTGACAATGACTTGCAGCCGGGGCGAGCCGGGCGCGGCGGGATGCGGCTGCGCCTGCAGCGCCTCGGCGAAGAGGTTGCTGGGGGAGGAGCGCATTAGTTTGGAGGCGGCGAAGCGGCCGCAGTAGGCGGAGCTGTCGGGGTCGGGCAGGATCATGGTGTGGTGGCGGACGAACCACTGCTCGCGCGCGTCACCGGCCTGTATATTCTCGTATGCTTCTTCATCATCGTCATCATCATCGTCGTCGTCACCGTCATCCTCATCGTCATCATTGTCGTCCTCATCATTGTCATCCTCATCATTGTCGTTCACATCGTTGACGGCGTCCACATCGTTGTCGGCGTCCACATCGTTGTCGGCGACCACATCGTTGACGGCGTCGCTCTCCTTGTTGTCTTCCTCGTCACCTCCATTGCTCTCCTTGTCATCTTCTTCATTGCCGCCCTCATCATCCTTATCGGCTTCCTCGTCGCCGCCCTCACTACCCTTGTCATCGTCGTCGTCGTCGTTGTCGTCGTTGTCGTCGCCCCTGCCAGGCCGCGGGACGCCGCCCTCCTCGAGTGGACAGTTTTTGGGGTCGCACTCGCCCTTGCAGAACTCGGGCACCGCGCACTCCCACTTGTAAATCTCATCCCAATGCATGCGCTTAAACTCAAACTCCTCGGGCCAGCGGTAGACGAGGTCCCACGCCGGCAGCGCGAGGTTGATAAACTCTTCAATGACGGGGTACAGGGCGGCGTGCTCCACGGGGTGCACGTTGTTGACGTAGCTCGCAATGGTGGCCTTGCCGTCCTTGAGCTCGACGTCGCAGGGCAGCCACTGGTAGTTTGTGGATAGCTCAATGTCGTCTTGGTCGTCCGTGGACCTGCGGTGACGCCGGTCGTCTGGGTTCCGCTGCTTCTTCTTCTGGCCGAGCGTCGGGAGCGGGATGCCGGTGCCGGCGTGCGCGAGGCAGTCGGCGACGCCAATGGTGCGGTTGGGGAGGACGCGCGTGCGGCCGTAGATGACGGGGAAGAGCGAGGGGTGCACGAGGTCGAGGACCTTGTTGTTGCTGCCGGGATGCCAGTCCTTGGCGGCGTCGGGCACATCCTCAAGCGGCGCGACGGCGGCCTTGAGGCGCTGGACCAGGGCGTCGGACATGAGGCTGTCGGACTTGATGGCGCAGGCCGAGTAGTCCATGACGGGAATCAGGCCGGTTTCTTGGTAGAGGTCTGCCTTGGCACGCAGCTCGGCAATGACCTGGCAAGGAAAAAAAAATCGAGTTGTTTAGCACACGATGCAGGATGACCCCAAGCGATTCTTTGGAGAGAAAGTGGTTCTTACAGCATCGGCCATGGGTTCGGTAAAGACGGCCCAGAGATCTACCAAGGTCTTCCAATCCATTTGCAAAATCTCAGTCTTCCACTTTGCCGCGATTTCGTCGTCCTTGACCTTGCGCCACCATTCTGGCTTGTTGGTGAGCTCCTCCATGACGCGGAGCATGCAGACTTCGCGAATCAAGAGGGTATGCGCCCTCCAAGACGCATTTCCCTCATCGTCAAAGGACAGCCTGGGAAAGACGTCGCTGTCATCATCCGTCTTCCAGTCGAGAGTCAACCCGAAGCCTGGACGCCGCGGCACAGTGGCTCCCGCCGCCTGGCAAAGTTTTGACGCAGTTAGCAGATGCAACAAACACACCCCCCCCCCTTCTCGGTCCAAGGACGGCAGTGGGCGCTCACCTTGTAGGCGTCGACTGCCTTTTCATGAAAGATGGACGCAAGGAAACGCGGCGAGACTGGATTCTCGAGATTGGCCAGGATGTACTCTTCAGTCTCTGCTTGCGAGCGCTCAGCGGACAAGAGAAAGTCCTTTAAAGGCGCGAGTTCGTAGGGTCTTGGCGTGCGATACATGGTAGCCAAAAAAAAAAAAAAAAAAAATTAAGGTCTGTTTTTTGAAGAGGCGCTTTCCTTGGAAGATTGGATCAAAAAGTCAAATGGACCGGGTGGGAGACGGCTTTTTATAAAGAGGCAAGACTGGATCGTCGCATAGCAATTTAAAGTTGAAAGAAGTGGTGGTGGCCCGCCTGGGTGCGCTGCCTAAAAGAGAGTGGAAACGCTCAGTCGACTCTAGCAGGCTTGGCTCGTATTGCTGTCCAGGCAGACTTCCCCACGAGCAGTGTAACTAGGCAATTGCGGTGAAAATTGCAAAGATGCATTCTCTGAAAAAATCACGATGCTAATAATGAATGGGGTTATTGGCAGCCTGGCTGTTGCTGTAAGATGATGATGATGGGAGTGGAGCGAGTGAGGCATCGTCCGATCAAGATACGGCAACTTGCATCATTGGATAGATGTGACAGCATTGCTAGACTTTTGTACTCTACTTGCATTTGTTACTTTTAGTCCTCGTCTTGTCGATCTTGTCTGTCTTGTTGACTTCCTCATGACTAGATAGATTTATAAGTGCCTTTGCGCTAGCTATTGAGGATCCGTAAGGGCTATTTTTATATTATCGATTATTCTCAGTTGTTCTGAGTGGGTGCTCAATCACCCAACTTGTTGTATAGGAATTACGGGTACGTGATGCTGCTGCCTCTATTTCAATAGTGATATTTACCTGCGCTCTAGGTAAAGCCGCGCGACAGCCCGTGTTTTGTGATTGACCAATACAGTGCTCAACTCGGGCCGAATGCTAGCTAGTTTTCAAGGACTGTGTCCACCAGTTCACCTTTCCTCTCCTGGGTGTAATATGCAGTAGCTTTTTTTTCCAGTCTCACATCGACGAGTCAAGCTCATTGTATTTGGGCAAAGGCATCCAATGCATCGTGTAGACGCCCAAAAGTGCCATTGTGCCACGTCCTGAGCTGCTCCCACTCCTCTCTGGGCATTGCCACGAAAAACAGGCGCAGCCACGCACCGACGATAAAGTCCGCATAGCTGACCTGCCCCCCCAGGACAAAGGGCCCATCCGCATGCTCAGCGTACAGCTTGGCCAAGTCGCCCAGCGCCTTGTCGAAACCATCGAGCGTCGCCTGCCTCGCCGCGCCCTCGAGCGTAAACTGCTGCCCGGGGCCCACACCGGCGCGGCGCGCAAACTCGGCCTTGACCTCGTCGGCCGTGGCCGGGTCCAGCGGCATGCCGCCGGCAATGAGGCTCGTAAACGTAGTAAACAGCGTGTCAACGCTCAGGTTGAACCGCCCGTACTGCGGGTAGCGCCCGTCGCGGGGCAGCGTCAGCAGCGTGGGAAAGTCGACCGTCGGCTCAAACGCAAATTCGAGGGCCTGCTCCGGGAACAGGTTGCCGCCGCCGGCCCCAGGGTACTGCGTCTCCAAATAGACGGCAATGTCGTACGAGTCACCGACGGTGGCGTCGGTCGCGGGGTCCTGCACAACGGGCAGCGTGTAAAAGTCACCACCGTTGGCAAACTTGCGGCACGCGGGCGCGCCTAGCGAGCGTCGCACCCGGGAAATGTCGAGCATGCCGACCCAGGTCGTCACGTACGGCAGCTGCTTGAAATTGAGCGCGAACCGGGCCTTCCACGGGTTGGGCGCGCAGCACGACTCCTCGACCGGCGGCTTCTGCGCAATGTCGTAGAGCGTCATGTGCTGTGGGGTGCTCTCGGTCGCTGACATGATGATGAAGATGGAAATTTGCGCTTTTTGTGTAATTGGACTATTTTGAAGGATTTTGATTGTCCTGCCTTTTGAGTGTATATAGACTTTGAGTGAGTGGGCATGAGTCATCCAATAGCACTTGCCCAAGATCTATCCTTCAACATCTCCTGCCTCTGAGCGCATGGGCTGTTGGCTAACCATTAGAAAGAGCCATCACCACGGCTTGTTAAATTTCCGTCATTTCGAACCATAGTGCAAATTCCCAGGCTAAATCTGTTGAGAACGTTGAATCAACGTGTTTTGGCGCTAACACACGTGCAAGGCTGATTTTGCGACGCCTCCCGCATCTCTGATAGGTTTGGTTAGCGAGCTGAAGCTTTGTGACGCTGGGACCGTCTCACAAGACTCTTGAGTCTTGGCATGGACGCCCAGCCCTCTTCGGCAGCAAAATAAAAAATTTATAAAAAGTAGACTTTCATAACTCCTTTTGACAAACTCTAGACCTTGTTCTCTATTTGAGTCTCGCAAAGACCCAACCGATAAAGACGTGGGCAAAGCAGGATGCAATGACAGAGGACACGCCCGCGACTTACACCGTGACTGGGCTCCACTGGTTTGCGCTGTCGGCAACAGTCGCATTATTGTGCTGCATTTGGTGGATTCCAGAGATACCAAGTTTACTTCCCTTGCGCCGGAGCAAGACCTTTGCGCCATATCCAGAAAACGATGCGTATGACTGCGACGCTACATGGCCAGTGCAGAGTAGCGCATCATGGGGTTTGGGGAGCTTCGCGCGCAATGTCATGTGGAGCTGCCTGCGGTCTCTGCAGCCAGGCTTCGTGGTGCAGCTCATCCGGAGGTTCGAATTCAATCACAAGCTATGGGCAGTCCGATACTACTTTGGGCCGGGCACAAGCTCCGAGCATGTTCCTCGGCTGAGCGCGGCTGGCTACGTTGGAGCGGTACTGGCAGAGACGACACCGCTCGTGATCCAGGCCATACTCATATACGTCGGCTCGACAAACTTTGACCGCCATGGGAATCTGTTGATACAGTTTTGGATCATTGGGCTCTTGCCTAGTTCCGTGACGGGGCTGAGTATGATGCTGGTCAGCTGTCTTCCGAGGTCTGCCTGGCGGGTGGCATCGCTCGTCTTTTTCCTGACTTTTCTGGCATTGAGCACGTCGCTGACCGTCGCATCGGCCTTTACCGCCCGCGGGTACGGGGTGTTCAAGTGGAGAGCGCCGTTTGGCATCGTCATGGCCGCCATGTGGCTGCTGCACATGGTGCTCTCCATCGTGGTCGGCTTCCAGTGCAGCAAGGGCGTGCACTGCATCGCCCTGCTGCTCACCGCGGCACTGAGAGTCGCCCCGATGATTCTGCTAGCTGTCCCACGGGGCGCGTACACCATGCCATACCCCGGCGTCAACACGCTGGCATTTTCCATATCGATAAGTGTTATTGCCGGTGCAGTGGTGTTTGCGCTGGGAGCCGCGGCGCTTGTGCGCTGTCCGGTGTGGGATAGGCGACATATTCTGACGAGACGGCGGCGGCGGAACAGGCGTAATCCGCGCAATCCGCGTAACCGCGAGAGTGATGGCCAAGGTGGTGGAGGAGGGACCGGAGGGGGCGAGGGAGGAGGCTGGAATTTTGACAGTGGAGGTGATGGAGATGGTTACGGCGGCGGGGGTGGTGATGGAGGGGGAGGTGATGGCGGAGGAGGAGGAGGAGGAGGTGACGGCGGCGGCGGCGGCGGCGGCGGTGGCGGCGATGGGGGTGGGTGATCTATCGTCACTGAAATGTGATGGGCATTAATCGGCCATTTTTCTCTCCATGCTTATGATGGTGCATATTTGTGATTTGTTAGACAGCTGCTTGGCTGTCAGATGAAATGAGGCTGTGGTGGCGCTGGCTGACCGAGTTGCGACACGCGTTGAATGCTGGAACTGCATGGACGAGAGACTGGTTTCTGATTCAAGACAATACCGTAACTGAATAGATGCACAATAATAACTTTGACGAATTTCTTCTTCTTTTTGCGCTCGTATCGTGAAGAATAGTGAAGCAGGTGCTCCGTTTGCAGTGCGGAGAGTTCCCATGGTGTATGGACCATAGTGCACAGGCGGAGTCCTCCCTGCTAGGTACTATATTTACATGTGAACACTTCTTTGCGCGCCATTATAATCTTCGACTTCATGTTGCCGTCTCTGCTCCCAATTGGCTCCTCTTTATCGACTTTGATGGAGTTTGGACCGCCTAGCCGGAATGAGTGGCATCCGGAGAAGCAGCGCCAGTTGTGACGAAATCGACTTGGCTTTGGACGCGCTACAGTGGGGTTTGTGGTATATCAGAGCCTCGGCCCTTGCCCCAGCAATGGTCTGGTGGAAATGCTTTGCCCTGCCGTGCTACCTTTGCTATTAAAATTTGCATTTCCTTGGAAAAATTGGCTCTTGATACAATTTTTCCTGTTATTCTACAACTACACACCATCTTGCTTGCTTCGAAATGTCCACCGAAGAGGCCAAGGTCAAGCTCTACTGGTAAGTGCTGTAGGTGGCTTGTTCAGCTTGCTGGTGTATTACCTACCTATGCTCGAGCGCCATGTCTCATCTCAGAACATGCGACAAGCCCTCACACCCCTTTGTTCGCCAACAGACGACAATCTGGCGCAAAAAAAGCAAGCACCATGAGCTAACAATGTTGCGCCTGTAGGCTCGAGCAGTCGCGCTCCCAGCGCATCCTTTGGCTCCTTGAGGAGCTCAAGGTCAAATACGAGGTCGAAATCTTCCACCGCAACAAGCAGACATTTCTAGCCCCTCCGGAGCTCGAAAAGGTGCATCCCCTCGGCAAGTCGCCCGTCATCACCATCACGCCTGCCGGCGCCGATGCCAAACCCATTGTCCTGGCCGAGAGCGGCTGGATGACCGAGTACCTCTGCACGCACTACCCAGAAGGCCAGCGCCTCGTCCCGAAGCGCTGGCAGGAGGGCAAGGAAAATACCATTGGCGGCGAGACCGAGGCCTACATGCGCTACAAGTACTACCTACACTATGCCGAGGGCACCCTGATGCCTTATCTGGTTCTGTCACTTGTTATCGGACGTATGTGCCACTTTACTCTTTGTGTTGACGATGCGCCCGACATGCGCGCCCAGCGATTTGTACTAAGCAATGCACAGGCCTCAAGGGCGGCGACATTCCGTTCTTTGTCCGACCCATCACCTCCATTGTCGCCAACAGGATCATCTCCTTGTTCATTGCCCCCAATATCAAAAAGAATCTCGCCATGCTCAACGACCAACTCTCAACCTCGGGTGGCAAGTATCTCTGCTACGATCAGTTGACCGCGGCCGACATTCTCATGAGCTTTCCTCTTCTTGCCGCCAAGGGCCGTTTTACGGAAATTGTGCCTGGCTGGGAGAAGACTTATCCCCGTGTTGTTGAATACATCAAGACATTGGAGAGCAATCCAGGCTACAAGAAGAGCATTGCCAAGGTAGAGGAGCTGGATGGCAAATTCCAGGCTTCATTGTGAGTGGGCTAGCTTGCGCTAGGTTGCTTGTTAGTTACGTAGTGGTACCACCAAGTGCCAGTGTAATGTATGAATTCACATCTTCATTTACCTAGACGAACAGCAATCAACGATTCAGTCATTAATGAATTTTTCGATCAATTCCACGCAGCTCTCCGCAGCCACAAGCTGCTAGCAACGGAGGCAAGGAGAGTGACGGGATCCACCAAAATGTTGGAGGGACCCACCTCAGGATCTCAACCTCAAATCTTCCTCTTCGGACTTGTCCCTGACAGCCTCACACGACGTTACAATTCACCGCAATTCGAGCTGTGCGCCGTCCTCCTGCGGCTGACGGACGACTGACAGCAGGCGTTATGATCCCGCCACGCGTCGTGTGTTGGAGATGCACCTCGCGGCTGCGCACCCAGGCGCGCCAGCCCGTCGCTAAACTGGCCTACTCCTCACTCGCCGACACGGACTCCAAGATTCAGCCGGCACACACCTCACAGTCTACCCCAAGGCAGCGAATACGTCCACGCCTTCGAGATGGGACGCCTGAGCCCAACCGCGCATCATTGCTTCCCACCTACGGCTCCGACGCGCCCGCCTACGACATGTTCAACCAAATTGTCAACGGCCGAAGATCCGAATGGACAAGCAAACCGGCTGCTGTCTCCCCGACTCCAGAGACCTCCGGAATGAGGGCGCACGAAATCGATTTGACGTTTCTGCTTAGCACTCTGGTGGCACGCAGGACCGAGCCCGTCATGACACGGCTCAAGACGTTTGAGGAGTCAATATGGCCCCTCTTACGACCCTATGGGACTGATCTCCCAGCACCCATATCACATCTTCTACATGAGTTTATCAAGGATGCTTGCGTAGACTCGATACAGAATAGCCGAGCCACCGCATGCCGGGAGATTGCTCAGGTCGCAGACCGCGTCGGCATGAAACAAACGCATATTCCCAACGTTATGGCACTGAAACTTTGTCATGCTTGTGTGACGAGCAAAAACACGACTGCTCAACGCAAATTTCTAGCACAGAGCTTGCTAGACCTTTGGATGCACGTTTCTCAGATGCAACGGCTGCCCGAGAAGGATCGGCCCCTGCGGCTAGCCCTTCCTGACAAGGTCGATTTCAAGGTGGCTCTGCGAGCTTCGCCGGGCTCACGGGATGGGGTCCCTGGCGACAGAATCGCTACTCCAGAATCTTTTCTTGACGCCCTGTTTCCTCAATTCAAAGATGGCCGAGCGAGAGACCTTATGGACGGGCTTCTCGCAACGCTGTGCCTCGTCTCCGACCCACGCTTCGTAACAGAACATGTGCAAAGAGACTTTGCTCCGTTGTTGGAGCTCGCTAGCATCTTTGTGAATGAACACAGCCAACAGGCCGAATTGATGCTGCAACAATACCCGCATCAGGTCAGCCATGCAGTCGCCTTTCCATCAGAAAAGTTTGATGAACTTGGAGTATATATCCGGAATCAATGGCCACTGCTAGTTCAGTTCTTGAACAATAAAAAAGCAGCATGGCGTCAAGGTAGCGCTCCGGCGGATGACTCAAAGGCCAGTCTTGCTCAGATTCACAGGCGATTTCGCAGGGCGTATGAAGGACGTAACAAACCCGGAGTAAGTACCATATTTGCCGAATTGTACGAAAAACAGGCCTCAAGTCCTGATCTACGCTCTGCAATACAATCCAGGCCTGAACTTATGGACTTTATCATCTTCATCACATGCGCACTACGCCTAGACTACGAATACAAGACCGCCGTGGAGTTAATGAAGGAGCTGCATATTCCACTCACGCTCAAGACGTACACTGGCATGATGCACGGTTGGAGGCTGTGTAAGGATTTCAGAAAGATTGATGCTCTGTGGAATCAACTCCAAGTGGCAAATGTGCGCCTCGATGTGCCCATTTGGACGGAGCGCCTCGCAGCATACATCCTCAAAGGCAAGATTGGCGTCTGCATGACTGAGCTTGCCAAACTGCAAGCGGACTGGAACGCTGCGGTGGAGAATAAAACCGTCGAAGAGAGCGGCGCCGTCCAGCCCAGCATCGAAATGGTGAATGCCTGCATCAAGGGCACCCTGGAGATTAGCCCGCGGTCGGCCAAGGTGCTCCTGAGCTGGGCGCACAACAACGGCATCAAGCCCGATATCAGCACCCATAACATTATTCTCCGGCACGCATTTGGGACGGGCCCCGAAGACGTTGCCTGGATCATGGACCTGATGGAGAAGAACGGCATTGAGCCGAACCAGGCCACCTTTGTCATTCTCATTGAAGAAATGCTGTCGCTGACGGGCCCCGAGTCGCCCGAGGCACAGGTCGAGGCCGTTGACCAAGTCTTTGCCGAACTGTCACGCTCCAAGTTTGCCCTGAACCCGGAGCTCTATGCCAAGGCGCTGCACGCCGTCGCGTCGCTGGCCAACGCGTCGAACGCGGCCGTCGATGCGGTGCTCGCGCACCTGCGGCACCAAAATGTGCGCATCAACCCGTACATGGTGACGATTCTGATTGAGCGCTCGCTGCAGCGCGATCCGCACTCCTTTGCGCCGGTCGAGGCGCTGCTGCACAAGTACGACATGGCGGACACGTCGCGCGGCGACCAGACGCTGTGGGAGCGCGTGATTCGCGCCGCGGCTATTACGGGCGAGCCCTACGTGGCCCTCAAGCGCTTCGACGAACTGGCGGCCGCCGGGCGCCCCGTCACGTCCCTCCCGTGCCTCAACGAGCTGTTGCGCGCGCTGTTGGCCGAGGGCGACGCGGTCAACGCACGGCGCATCGTCGACTCGGTCCTGCACAACAAGATGCTGGCGCAGGTGCAGAGGGGTGGTGAGACTGACGTCGACGAAGCGCGCTTCTGGAAGCATCACTTTTGGTACCTGGCCAAGGAGAATAATCTACTCGACGACGCAAACATGCCTGGTGGACTGCACAAGCTGATTGAACATTACTGAAGATTGGGTAAAGCGTCGTCGGGCTGTTGCTTTTGTGTGTTTTTATCTGTACATTATATCACGGCTCATGGCCGGCTGTCGTATTTGACTTGTTTTTTCTTTAGACAGATGGACAGATTCCCAATCTTCAATACCATGTACATTTTTTTTCAGGGACTAACCATTGCAATGGAGACTATCATGTAAAAAGTGTAAGTGTGGTTGGAATTCGTTATAAAGCCAACGTCAAATGACCATGCCCAGAGTGATGATACGCCGATATCCCGCTTTCCCAAAGCAAATTCCAAGTGTGATATATACAAGCACAAATCCGACATTGATCCCCAAGCCGCTACGACTTGGCCATGTCCTCGTCCTCGTCTTGCCCAGCGCCGCTTCCCGGGACTTGCTCTTGCGCTGGCGCCGGCGCTTCCTCCGTCGCGGGCTGCTGCTGCTGCTGCTGCTGCTGCTGCTGCGCGCCCAAGGCCGCCGCCACCGCCTCCAAGCCCTCAACCTCGTCCCTCGCGAGGCCCCTCCCGGGACCCTGCCACTCGCCGTCGCGCACCTCACCCGCGGGGCCGAGCTCCACGCCCGCGACCGTCTCGAGGTACCGTCTCGACGCGGTTTCAATGTACTCGGCGCGTTCGCGACGCCAGCTCTTGCCGTCTTTTGCATCATCCGCGTCGCCATTGTCTTTGTCGTCGCCGTCGTCATCAATATCCGGAATCAGGCTCCGCAGGGACGTCGACAGCGATCTTAGCGTCTGCAGCTGCGCGAGGATAAATTCAGTCGTCGTCGTGATGGGGCGCTCTGTGCCGCCTTCTTCCAGCGTGCCGCGATTGTGCAGGAAGCCCAGCGTATCGGTCTGCTGCTGCTGCTGCTGCTGCTTCTCGGCATCATCGCCCCCGGCCGCCTCGCCATCCTCCTTCTTCACCGACGCCGACGCTGCGGGCTTGCTGACACCTACCGCGGCGCGCAGCGTCCTGAGAAGCGCGTCGTTGCGCACGCGCTCCGTCTCGAGCGCGACCTGCAGCTTCTGGCTGGCGTGCAGCCTACGCCGCAGCTGCGTGACCGAGTCCAGCGTCGGCTGCTGCTGCTGCTGCTGGGCGTCGGCACCAGCAGCCGCCGGCGGCGCGTCGAAATCGAGCCCTTGATAGTGCGCGAGCTGCATGTACGGCTGGTCGTCGGGCTTGACGGTGAGAATGTTGCGCATGACGTAGAGCTCGAAAATGTCAAAATTCTTGTCAATGGACGCGTTGAGCAGCGTCTCGAGCTGGTGCGTGCCGTGCTCGATTTCGCGCTTGGCGGCCTCGTCGGGGCTGGGCGTCGTCGTCGCAGTGTCGGGAGCGGCGGGGGGGTCGGCGCCGGGTGCGCCGCGCTTTTTGGAAGGACCGCCGCCGCCGCCGAAGCCGAGGCTCTGCGCGGGGAGCTTAGTGAGGGCGGTCTCAACGGCGCCGAGGGCGCGGTCGGCGAGGACATTGACGGCGTTGATGATGTCGTCGAGGAGAGACTGGACGGTTGCGGAGGGTGTTTTGTTAGTGGTGGCGGGTGGGCAAACACGGCAACTGGGTGCGGCGGGAGACTGGGCACGGGGCACGTGGGAGACGTACGACTGGAGGGTAGCTAAAGTGCTCAGTGAGCAGCTCATACTCTGCATTGTCGGGTGCCGACATGGCAAATGTGATGGTGCTGGCGTTGTAGAGGGAAAACGGCGTGCCGGGTGAAGTTGGAGGAGACGCGCTTCGCCGTACAAAACGCGGGTGGGTTGGTGGACGGCCGTCAAACCCATACAAACAGGGTGCGACAGCGCCGGACCGTCTCACTGGCTGAAACGGGGTTGCCCCGCCGTTTTAGCTATCAATCAGCAGAAAGAGGCCGTTGGGCCAGTGTATAATAGAACTAAAAGAATATATTGGAAAGTTTAAAAAACTTCCCATATAAGACTTGTCATTTTGGTCTTTTCAGTTGGGTTAATATAAAAAGTAAGGAAAAGTCAGAAGTAATGACAATACCATAGTAGCTGAGATTTTCATCTATGGGGTATTTTTCGGGCAAGTTTATAACAGGATATCATGGAAGTTTAGCCGGAACGGGCGTAGAAATGCCTTTGTGGAGCGATACACCTTCACTTGCCGAATACCCCTATACCTATGATACAGTTTTCGTAGTCATGCTTAGTAGGACTAATAACTGCAAGCACACATGGCCGTTTACGACGGAAGCTTTTCATTCGATTCAACAAATTAAATACGTAAAAGCGCACGATTAGGTGTACGAAATAACCGTGGCAGCAATCGCCTCGTAGCTCTTCAAGACAGCCTCACTAATCTCCCTATTAGAACTCTTCATCGCATCTTCATACTTGTAGATTGTAATTCGTAGGCCATCGCTCCCATGCGGCCGCGTTAGATGATCGAACCTCAGTACATATCTGGTACCATTGGTCAACCATCCTAAGGATATATGGCGTCCAGAATCGGTAATTATGTAAAACTCTCCGTCGCGCTCTGAAAAATGTAGTTCCACACCTAGGGCGATGATGCAGATGTACTTGTCGTCTCGGTGGGCATCATACCAAGGTAGAGTATCATCCGTTGTGTCTGAGCTGGGTAGTATGCCATTGTCACACTGTGAGGGCGATCTTCCTAGGACCATGAATCGGCGTTTGGATTCAAAGTTTTCATAGTCAACAGCGGTCTCGATGCCGTTGACAACTTGCGCAATTCCAACAGGCATGACTGGAGATTGAACTTGGTCAAGGTAAATCAATATGATTATGAAATGTGTTGGGGTAAATTTGCGGAAAGAATCTCTGAGGTGGGATTGTGGCCTGAAGACTTTCTAGGTCTAGATAACTGGCACCAAGCACAACGGCCATGTATTATAGCCATAGATGTTTGTCGGGCGTACAAACTGTGAGTATGCAAACCCCGCTTCTAAATGATTCCATAGGATCGCAGAGCATGTCGGCAGTTAGGCCTCGTGCAGATTCCGTAATGTGAGACAGCATGGTCGTTATTATCCCCCGTGTGAGCTGGTGCAGCTGAATATTCCTCGCATATTCATGCAACCTCAAATATGTACGGTCGCACACTACCTGCGCTGCGGTGTGCATTTCGCGCATACAACAGCACAACCAGGCGACGACATACTAGCGGGCACTTTCAGAAAGAGAAACACACACGACATAACCTACAATTCACTACCTACAAGGAAGAGATGTTCCTCTAGCTAGTCTACAAGTTTTGAACTGGTTTTAAAGTAATCAGACTATTATATATGAGTACAAGTTTAGATTGAAAAGCGTATTAGAGTGTATACGAGTGTATATGAGTACACAAGTACAGAGAAAAGAGAGTAGGTCTACATGGGTGCGTGGCACGTGCAATTGTGAAGCGACACTATTGAATCTTTGGGCAAATTCTGCGTAAAATCTGAAAATGACATTTTTATTCTATTCATAGAAAACGAGCAGCCAGCAAATTTCAACAATGCGCTAATCGCACTCCGTGATTGTTCCGCCCTTGGCTTCTCTCGGTTCATTGCAGGGTGTCTAGTTCGCTGAATGCTTAAAAAAAATTAATTTTTGGGCAGTGCGGGCCAACGAGTCCTCCAGCTGGGCCCCCAGGTGTAAATGATTGGTATGAACAGGATAAAAGCGCCCAGGATTCCAGCATACATGATGAATGTCTTGAGGTATCCGAGTTCTGCAACCCACTCTGACACACGAAAAGAGAGCACAAAGGCCACGATGAGACGGAAAGATGCAATGTTGACCAGTGCTGGCCCAGTGAGGTGAGGGTACGACTCGAGAACATAGACGATGCCGATTGTATTTGTGGCAAGGAAAGCGAATGCAATCATCCCAAGACCAAGAAGGAATAGCATCCAGTGGTATTTGGCAGGGTTGTCGCCCGAAATGGCAAAGACAATGCATCCTATCAAACCGGCAAGACAAGGGATAATCAGGTTGAGGGCTTGGAACTCGGGGTTTCGCTTGCCGTTTCGTCGTGCCAACCAGTTGGCAACCTGATCAGCACCCCAGCCGGATATTAAAAAGGAAGCGCCCGCCGCAACAACGAGCGGGAATAGACAGAAGCCGAGATGGTAAAAGTTCCAGCTCCAAGGGGCAGCAAGTAGTTGCGGTGCTGTTGTATATCCGGCAGCAAGTGCCATTGCAATGACGGCCGAGTTGAGCAGCGTGACGAAAAGCATGTGGGGGTAGAAGAATGTGCGAAAGCAGGCCAAGAGAGCATCAATACCACTTGGCCAATCAACCTTGCATTGAAATAGCTTAATGTCGTCCTTGAAGCGGCGGGGAGGGTAGCTGACGTGGTCAATATCAGGGCGATTCTGACCGGGTCGAAGAGGTACGACCGGGATCCCATCTAGAAATAGGGTCAGTACATTATTGCAAGCAGCAAGTATTTGTGGGAGACTCGCTTACTTTTTTCATTTTCTGAACGATCAAACTTGGTCTCGGGCAAGAAGAAAAATAGGCAGACCCAAAACAGTAGACCGGCGGCCGCAGTTGCAAAGTAAATGACTCTCCAGCTAGCGTGGCCAATAATGTATGGCGAGGCTACTCCAAGAGCAACAATAATGAGACCCTTTGTGGTAGACAGATTGTGAGCTTGGACTGCGAGTATGAAATGGGTTCGTCGCGCAATGTACACGGCTTACCTGAGTGGCAAAGACGACGCTTATGGCAGCGTTGCGCTGGTGGTAAAAGATGATGTCCTGCAGAATAAACGGGATGAGGCTTTCAATTGTGCCCGCGCCGACGGCTTGAATGACACGGCAGACAAGGTGCGTTGCCAGGGAAGTACTGAATCCAGATCCCACGCAGCCTGCAATCGCGACGACGCCAGTGACGAGCAGGACATTTCGCCGACCGGTGGCAATGGCAAGCGGGATGAGAATGAAATTGGTCGCGCCCATCATCAAGATGGGAAGGGATGCCAGCAGGTAAATCTTCCAGATTGGCGGTCCGGGAAACTCGGAAAGGATCGTGAGCGCGTTGATGCCCTCGGGCAAATGAACCTTGGTCAGTAGCTTGGGATCAATACCGGCATACTCGAAACTAAAGACGGGTAGCATGGCGCCGAGAACCAGCTCAGCAGCGGCTGCCATGGCCCCAAACAGGCAGAGAGAGCCAAGGGCTGCCATCTTTCGCCATGTGGGCAAGTTCAGAGGATCTTTCAGGAACAAGTCAGTGATGATTTCAGTGCCATGCTCATCAAGCCTCGTCATACCTCTTGGATCTGCCGTGGGCATGGGAATGAGACAAAGAGACTCTTCAGTCTCATTTCCTGTACACTCGTCGATTTGCTTGTATCTTTCACCATAGAAGCCTACATCCTCGCGAAGCTCAATCACGGTCGTTGCCGTGGTCTGGGCGCTCAGCTTGTCACTTGAGCGGGAAAGCAACCTCGAGAGAGATGACATGGCTGGAAGCAGACACTTTGTTACCAAGACAAGAATCCAGTGTAGAGTTTGCCTTGATCAGGGGTGGTGACTATTCAAACGCGACACACGATCAAGATCTGGGAAAGCCGTTGTCGGGGTTGGCAACGGTGAGCCATGCATATGTATAAGTGAAGCGACGGGGAGGAATGATCTGCGACGTTGAGCTACCAAGGAGAATTGTCAAAGATGTGCAAAGCCAAAAGTAAAGTTTCACTAGAGTTGGAGAGGTTTTGCCAAAAAGAAATCTCGACTCAGCCGCGGCTCGATGCGGGGAGAATCGAGCCTGAGCCAACTTGTAGTCAAGAAGATTGGTTATGCACGGAGCGAACAACTCCTTTTTTTAGAAACGAGAATGCGGAGAAGAATGGCCCGCGTATCAAAGCAAGGTTTTTTTTT